TGTCATCATCAATCTCAAAATATAGATATTTTAATATAACTCGGCCTGCACTAGCCTGTATTTGGCAACCACAGTCTAGGTTTGAAGTGTAATTTTTCTTTGGAAAATTTGGACTGCCTATGAAGCCATGCGTCGCTGTTATAGAGTGTTGTCTACATATATCCAAAACCTCTTGACCTGTGAAATGGAAATTGTAGAATAAAAAGGGGATTCATTTACTCAAAGCACAGAAACTAGCCAAAATTGTTGCTATTTATTCTTTCTTATATGTGTATATTTTGCTTTGTCATACATTATGATGGAAACTATATTATAGCACCAAAACAAAATAACTATTATTTGATGATATATGTATTTTGAAGTTATTTGATGAAACAAAATCATTTGTAAAGTAAATTTCATACAAGATATTTGGAAAGTTTATTTGACAATATATATATTGACAAAAAAGAAAAAAGGGACCTACTTGGTATACATGTATAGTTCACCTGAAGGTACCAAGCATACCCTTGGCAGTTGGGAAGGAATGGGTTACTAACGGGCAAGGCACACCTCTGCCTGCCATTGCAATTCTGGGACACTTCAGCAGACTCCGTGCAGTGGGAGGTGGAGTCTGAATGGTAGTATTCGTATGAGCACGTGTTATTTTTGCGTAGTCTTGGGATGCCGTAAAAGGGGGAGAGCACCTTGATTAGGTAGAAGGCTGGGCAGGTGAGCTGGGCTGTGGGAATTCCTTTGATTTGGAAACAGCTACTGGTGTTCTTCAGTTGATATTTTGGGTCTGCAGTCAAAAGAAAATTGAGGAGATATTAGAAATACAGGATGGTTATATCATGCACAAAAACTATGCAGTGATAGTGCACAGTATTTTGAATAACTCATTATCTTATTACCTTAATAACTCATTATGTATCATATGGAGACAATGGATTAATTACTTGCTATATGCTAGTTTCATTTTTAGTCATATTTTCAGTGCATAGGTTCTTATTCAGTTTATGACATTTTATTGTGAAGCTAGTTTTTTAAATGAAACTTTCATTAAAAAAGTATTGTAACAAAAGGGAATAATGTAACAACAAACAGTGAGTTTGTAAACAGTATTAAAGATATTTATGTTTACATTTATATGTTATGTACATTGGTTTTTAACAAAAAATGGCACAATCATCATTCACTCAACATGGAAATGGGAATCAAAATTCTTAACGAGCGATTGTTTTCCATTTTTCACCATTAAAGTCAATGCCCAAATTATTGAAGAATTTGTAATGAACTGAATGTTGATTAATTCTATTGAATGCTGTCATGCCATTTGAACAAAAAAGTAATTCAACTAACCTATAAAATCCTGGCTTTTGCAGACATTTTTCAACAGAAATGTTGATGCCAGAAGTAAAATCCTAGCAGTAATAAGCTGGGTTATTTGAGTCACCAACATTTCTGCACAGCTCCCACCAGCCGTAGTAAGTAAAACAGTGAACCACACACCCAAGAAGGTTGCCTCAGTGTTTCATTAGTACGTGTTTTTCGTCCATTAGGTAAAGTTACTTGAGTTGGTTAAGATGTCAATTAGTTAGGAAAAATTGTTGGACACTGGCATGATTTCCTTTCTGTTGCACTGTGCAGTTACTGCTGTTTCCGTGTCACATGAACAGTACAATGTGTTGCATGCCCCACCCTTTATTAGCCCAGATGGTGTCTTTGGTAAATACTGGAGCAGCCCCTTATGCAAAAGTCCTTCCACAGTGTTCCCATTCAAATGTACAGGCTTGTTCTATATGTGTCCCTTTTCCCATACCTGTTTCGTATGTAAACTGCCTTTGTCATATAACCTAAAAAAAGAATAAAATGTCAAATATTTTATTGAAATATATTTACATAAACAAATTTGGCTGACTTTGAGGTGGCATTTTCACATTTGACAGTTTATAATGTTATTATGAATGATAAAAAGAAAAGAAAACACTGTAGAAGAGACTACCAGGCATAGCTTAATGTGGAGACATTGGCCCTGACTGAGTCAAACTGGGTGGCTATCAATTAATCTTCTTGAGCAACACATGATTTCAGGTTTCTGTCTAGCACACTGCTAATTGCAAATTTACAGATAATGGTTTGGTAATTAGAAATATACAGTCAAGTTAAGTGATTTTCTTCAACATACATGTAGGTCAGCTAACCTTATCTGTGTCTTTAGGGCCAACTTTATTTTCTTTTTATGTAACAGTTCATAAAATGGAAAGATGCAGCTGATACAGTCAAGTGTGCATATTCTTACTTGTACTTATATTAGGCTAACTTGCAAAAAAGTTGAAAAGTTGGCTCTATGTTATCTTTTATTCAAAATGGAAGCATGAAAGCGTTTTATTTAATGATAGGGGCCATTCATAATGATTTGAGTATTAACTGATCCGCCAACTAAATATGGCCAACCACTCTTCAAAAGCAATGCTGCCAATTCCCAATTCCATTAAATGGATTAAACCTTGGCTCGGAGGTTTAATTGCTAGGCCCCTGCAGCAATGGTGCATGTGGAGGCAGGTATACCATCATGGAATTAGTGGCATCGCTTTTGAAGTAGGGTCAGCCATGTTTTGTCAGCAGATAAGTTAGTACTCCGATCATCTATTCTGAATGGCCCAATACTCTTTTTTTTCTATTTCAGCAACTTACAGAAAATTTTGCTTTATTATTATTATTATTATTATAATTATTTTTGTTGCTTTATTTTATTTCATAACCTCCAAGGAGGTCATGTTTTCACCTCCCTTTTGTTTGTCTGTCCTTTTGTCACCTACTAATTCATAAAGTTATGGATCAGTTTTGATGCAATTTGCTGGATAGGTCTGAAATGCCGGCCCTAACTTAAAAGTGATTAGATTTAGGTGATGATCCATTAGTTAATTAATGGTTGATTATTAGTTCATTATATGTTTTGGTGGAGGTCTGCCTTCTGGGTGATTTTTCTAGTCTTTTGATGTTAAATGTGTTTATACAATTCTTATATGATTTTTAAAGCAAATATCTCTGTAAGGAATTTTTGCCAATTTATAGTATTCCAGACAAAGTAACTGACCAGGAAATTTACCTATAAATGATCGAGTTTCACTTGACCTTTTGATAAAGCATCATATTTTTAGCACACTTAAGTTGTTATCATGACACCATTGTAAATGGACCAATTTGGTGTCTTTGGGTTAATATTAGAGGACAGTTTAAGTATAATGTTAATGTTCCTATGCTTTGATGTTTGTTAAGCTTAAATGAAAATCTTTGCTTCAATTTAAATACATTTTTATAAGTTTGGCAACCAGTACATGCCTTAAATGCCTAGAAATGATTTATGGAGGACATCATTTTCTCCTTCAATAGTAACCTCACATTGTAGAGCTGGTATGGTTTTGATATAGCATTGGTTTTATATTGCTGGCTCAGCATAGAGAGCCTTATATTATGGTGGTCAGTCACATTATGAATACCAGTGCTTGATTTCTGGCCATTTATTGCTTTTAGATGATTGTCAGCATGCACCTTTCTGGTTAAATCCTGATTTCTTTGGCTAAGTCACCAAAGTCATTGACTAGAAGTTTTTATTTTTAATTTTTAGTCTTTTAATTGGTGATATATACCCAAACTCTCATAAAATTCAAGTGAAACAAAAATAGTTTGGCAGTATTACAAAAAAAAAGTTGGATTTTCAACAAATTTTTATTGATTTCCTTTTTTTACGTATATTTAGGTACTGTTTGTCCCATAGGTGCAAAAAAAATATATTTTTGATTTTGCTGGCATTGCCTGTCTATTTGATTTGAATACATCATTCTTCAGCAGTGATTTGTCATTTTAATACTTTTTTGTCAGTTTCCACATATATCTTGACCATAAAATCTCAACCAACTCTTCTCTATTGCAATTAGTCCATTTGTGGTGACATCTCACATTGTTCTTCTCCAACACAATGAATTGGGTTATGTATGGGATCTTAGCCACAACTTTTAGAAAAGTTGGGACATGATTATGAATATAGAAAGTGTGCATATGTAAGATATATATTGATATTTGGTTGAATATGTCTAGCATGGACACAACTTGAAATGGGCATTTAAGTCAGAGTAAAAATTGAGCAGAAGAATTTGCAGATATAAAGTAACTGCCAAATCATATTTCAGTTTAGTTAAACTTTGTTATGAGGCTCTCTGTGGACAAAATACAAGGTAGTTTCAAATCATTAAATAATTTTTTTTTCAGAAGTTACCACATGTGTTTTAGTATCACAAGTACTTTTATATCTTTATCCACATAACAGCCAAACCAAATGACCCTTTCTATTGAACTCTGCAGGTACGTTCTGTATTTTGGAAATGCGAGCATATTTTGAAGTGTATAGTGATAAAAGACATGTTTAAAAAGATGAAAATTTTCTTGGAAAATTTAACACCCAATTTTAAACGCCAAATTATATTACATTCAAATTTTTTTTTTTGCTGAAAAGACCCAATCATTTTGGCCCTGTATTAAATAGGGAAGCCACAAATTTCAAATGTAATATGGTCTGTCAGCTAAACACACACACACACACACACACACACACACACACACACACTCTCCCCCCCTCAAGAAAAAAAAACTCACTTTATCAGATAATATATTGATTTATCTCATTTACATTTTTATTATTCAGCAATGTTTTGAATCTCAAGTGCTAAGTCATTTTTATTGTATACAAATGAAATGTGGATTATGGTGTTTGAGAACATCTCCTTCATCATCAAACTACTCATATTTTAACATTCATTGTACCACCAGCGTTAGCGCTGGCGGTACACATGGTTTCGGTCTCGTCCGGATCGTTCCGCCGGCTCCGCCGGCTCCGCTGGCTCCNTGGTGGCTGCACCCCTTATTTTGTGTATGTGGGGGTCTAAACGAATGCGCTTGCTCCAGCTGGTGGTACAATATTCGGAGGCGGTATCGCCTCTCTGATCCTCTAGTTTCTTTTGTATTTTCACATTTTGTCTCTGTTCTCAAATTGAAATTGCACTTCCACCAATCATGATAGAAGTGCCTTTTCTTTTCCAGTATCAATTCAAGAATATGCCAATATTCTTACTTTTGTTCTTATATATATCCATGATGCAAGATTATATTTCTCCTCTTCACTAATTCAGACTAATGAATATCTACTGATTTCAATTGTCTGAGGAGATTTTTGCCAGCTACAGAATGAGTAATGTATGCATTTTGATCCCCTGAGGCCATCTTTCAATTTACCCGCAGAAAAAAAGTCTTTGTTTATTTTTGTATATTGTATCATTATTGATGGGGTACAACTTCATGGGTGCATTTGAGTCCCAGTGCCAAGAATGCTGCTTATTAATATGTCAATATAACACTGTCATCATCAGCAGTAGGGTAAAACTCCAACCTCGTGGCAAGGTAGACGCAGTTCCAGCTATTACAACACCTAAACAAGAAGAAAAAAGGAAACATTCATTAAAAGTCAGCTTAATTGTCTTGATGCAAGGTAGATACAGTTCCACATATTACAACACATAAGCATTATCAAAAAAAAAAAAATATTACTCATTAGAAATGAGTTATTGGTATGATGGAAGTATTTTACTGCTTTGTATTTTATCATGATGGAGAACAGAGCACTGCCTCCAGAATTTTATAATATATGTTACTCCTATGATGACAAAAAAATCACATTTTTATCAACTATATGTTGGCATTAAAATAATTAATAAAAGATGCACTGCCGTCTTTTATCTTACCTCCCTTTGGAATTGGATTAGGTGTATAACTTTGAAGTTTCTTAGGCTTAGTAGGACCACATTTCACTAAAACCTCATCTTTTGGCTCAGCTGTAAGAAGAATAATGTCAATAGTAACAGAAAATCAAATAAATTATTAACTGTTTTATAACGATATAAACAATTAATTAAAATCAAGTTTCTCTTGCATAAGTGCTAGGGTTGTTTGATTGTATCCATTTTTTTCATTGATGATTAAAAAATACAATCTTAGTTTATTCAAATCTTTTCAGTAGACTAATATCACTGTTTGAAGGTAATATTTTCTCACATTTATCAAAGAAATAAATATAAGAATATCTGTGGAAATAAAAAAAGAAGAGATTTGTGTAATGAATCTTAATTATTGCTCAGTCACGGGGGAGAATGTAGCATAAAATTCACCACCTACAGCTGTGGCTTCTTCTAACATGAAATTGCCACACTATGAACTTGGCAATTCATCTGCTACACCAGTTAGTATAGTCACATGTGTGTAAGCAGTTATTTTCTCATCATTGGTTTTTAATTGAACTTTGTAGTATATTATTTACTCTGATAGTGTTATACTTACCATTTGACATGTATTAGGTCCAGTTGTTGCCTCTTTGGTTTGAAATATACAGTGTAAGACATTTTTATCAGGCAGATACAAGTTTCACTACAATTTTTGGCTGAAAATTTAGATGCACCATACATCCTTTCATGTTAAAAAAACAGAGTAGATAATGAAATACTTTTTTGACCACTGGGCATACCATGTTCAGGAAAACAATATATATAATAATTACCATTGAAATATACCCAAAAGCCTTTGAGGTTTCTTTGTGTATTATAAGAAAATGACTGTCTCCGAGTGTTGTTAACGTCTGTGTGAAAATGTAACCGTATCTGAGGTCCTTGCCAAGACACATTCTTCATTCCTGTCATGATTTCTCCACAGTTCAAATCTTTGTAGTCATCGTCGTAGATCATCAACCAATCAGCACATTTCTTTCCATTCATCTCCAGGAGGAGATCATAAAAAGAGACGAGCATGCGGCTCTTTCCAGACACTGAGATGTTACATTCACAGTCCCTGTGTATTGGGTAGAATGAAGGATAGTTGGGACTTTTTATGTAACCCTCTGTCACATAAGTATTGCTTTTCTCACAGATGTCAAATACTTCTTCATCTGGAATGTAATGGTAAATTAAGCAGGCTTTAAGATATAAAGTTCATGATAGTTATAAAAACGAGTGATCACATAGTTTATCATATGTGTGACATGTTATATTGAAACATTGTTTAGGTTATGATATATGTAAGAAAAAAAAAGTGTGGTTTACTCATTACTAGCTGAAGATTACAAATGACACTGCTTTTAAGTGTTATACCAGCAAAATTTATAATGGTGCACTGTACATACTCTTTACACACTGATAGTCAATCTGCAGGTATTTGCTGTAGTTTCCACATTCTCTTAGCCATGACTGTTTCACAGATTTAACGCAATGTTCAGCACCAAGACAGTTTGACCAGTCATAGTAAGGTGACAAATCTCCATCCATACAGTCCCCTGGTAAGAAATTACAACGGCTGATGTTCTGGTGGTGCATGCCATGGAATGCTCTGTTGATTTTGATCATGTGATTAGACCCACAATACAGTGTCACAAATGGATTGCCCCTGACGTGGAAACACTGACTGACAGTCTTCAAAATATGATCTAAGAAACAGTAAATTTCAGCATTAGATGATTTTTGTATGATCAGTAGAATGCTAGTCTGTTATCATGTGCATTGGTATAGGCTAAGTCTCCAAAGATAACAGGATTCCTCTTTGGTAACCTTCATTTTGTTTTTGAATGAAGACGATTCATGAAAGTTTACTTTTATTATACATCAAATTTGTTTCTAATTCAGAAATGTTTTTAAATAACATGAGGAAAGAAAGCTTAAATATATGCCATATAAAACAGACATGTTTGCCGGTGATATGTGCAAAAATAAGACTGAAACATAGTAAGTATAATGGAATTTTGGTATTTCAACAGCTGCTCAAGATAATGATCACCGCTACAATGTACTATGCCATACACTCCTTGCATACTTATGAGATGGTATACCAACCCAGATTAAGGAGACAACATTATAGCTTTAATTGTTATACTTCATGTCTATTGCTAGGCACACTAGAAAGTTGATTAAAATTTTCTAAGTGTGATGTTGGACAGAGATTCTAGGTCAAATGTTTGTTGGCAATGATTTTTGTGTGGCATAGAGTCTTTCTTTGTTAAACAACTAAACACACATTACTCACTTTCATTAGACTTCTCTGCCATTTGCACATCCCGTTCTTCCAGTCTACCATCATAACAGTGGACTTTCCCAAAGCAAAGCAGGAAACAGAGAATGATTGTAACACTGTAATCCATAGTGGTCATCATTGTCTTCCCCAAAAACCGAATGCACAAATGTGTGCAATTTTTTCAGCTTTTTTGATTACCCAATGATACCATTCAGGTGCAGCGATTTCATAAGTGCGTGACACCAACAAAAAGCTGAGGAATTATAGAGAAAGCATATGGTGCCATAATACGTGCTGCTGCAGGGTGTGGTCTTGCAAAAGAACGGCTGCTATTGATTCCAAAGATGTCTCTTCCTTGAACATTACATGCAAATTACCTTAGAAAATTATCACATCAGCTGTGGATGTGCCTGTTGCTGGTGTTAAAAATATAATTGATAGAAGAAATGATTTGGAATTTTAGACTGAAATGTTCATTTGTGACATATTTTAACAAATGATTTTCTGGCTGACCATTATTTTCTGGCATGCTTTGTTATTTTGCTAGCATTTCAAAAAGAGAGTAAATAGAATAGCTGTCACATCTTTTGATAAATGGATAAAGGCATAAAATGTTTTGTGGCAAATTGTAAGGAATATTACTGCAAGGACATATTGTCTTATAATTATGTAAAAATGTGATGGAACAACAGAACAGTAAAAAGCAGATCCGATCAGTTAAATATATACACGTTTCATCATTTCTATGTTTAGAACAATAGTGCTTAATATGGAATCAGTAGGATGTGACTGAGCATTGATATTCTAAATATAATTTCTTTTTAAGAAAGTAAAATTTTGTTTTCTATAATTGGCACCCTTTTGTTTCAAAGCAAGTCCAATATAATCAGAGACTTTACTTGAAGAGACATTAACAATATTTTGTTGCCATTTATTCCTATTTTCATTTTTAGATGGCCTCTGATTATGCATTAAAGACAGGCAACAAATTCTGAATATTGAATTAAAGTACATCTCAAAAATCACTTTCTTTAACAAAGAAAAATTACATAGAATGCATGATACCATTTACTCAACGTAGTTCAAGTGAAAAGAAAAGTGTTTCTAAAAACACACACTTTTAGCTTAAGAAAACACTACAGTGATGGTACACAGATCTAGAGCAGTAGCAAGTTTTTGAGGATGCCAGGAAAGTTCATTTAATCTACTGTGTTTCTGCTGTATACTGTCAACCTCTTAAAAGCCAAACACCAGCAGGGTTTCAAAGATATTTTGCAGATAATATTTTGAATTGTTAACAAACTTTTTTACAAGCAAGAAGAAGAGAACTTGATGAAAACAGCAGTTGTTATCAAATAGTTTGTAAGCTGGACCTTGAATGTGATGCCATGATTAGCAGGCAAAGCTGTGACAGTTGTGGTACCTGGAATAATGAAGTACACTGTACATGCTACAGTTTGAGAGCGTTAAAGAGTGTTCTCATTTTAAAAATGATAAAAAAGTCTCAAGTAAATGGTTCATGGTTCTGAAAAATAATGTTTATTGTATTATCCTAAAGAAAATATTAAGGACTTAACATTCCTGCTATTTACCTGACAGTGTCTTACTTGTAGCTCGAATCTTTGATCCTTTCTTTTTCTTTGGTTCTGATTTGAGTATGGTTGGTTCGGTGTTGTTCATTTTAGCAGTTTTTCCCTTTTTATCTTTTAAGTTCTCTTGCAAATTTTCTTTTTTGGGTGTTCTCATTTGACTTGGCACTTTAAATTTTCTATCTGAAATTGAACATAATCTTTATATAAGTATAATTTCTTATGGCCAATTGATTATGGTATCAGTTAAATAAGAAAATATTCTCTTTGAAATTCATGATTATCCTTATCAATTGGTTAAGACATAATATAAAAGTTGTATTTTAAACTGTTGCAGTATTAATGGTTGTAATGCTTAGATAATTACCTTCAGTTTTCACGTATATTTTCTTTTTCACTGACTTGGGTTCAATGTGGGAAGTGGGACTACATGTCACAGTGATCTTGGTATCAGCTTGGCTGCCTGGAATTCACAGACCATATGATCACCAATGAGCCAACGCCAATGTGTTCCCTTTATTGTGTAATGGCCCCATACAGTTTTACAGTAAAGCAGTTTTCTTCATTTCCTAGCAATTTTGTATATGACATGGCCAGACATGCCAAGTAAAGGGAGTTGAATGTATTTTCTACCCTTACTCTTCATTAAATAAATGAAATGTTCATTTCTTAGTGACTCCCCATCCTCATAATAATACTGGATTGCTTGATTTTTTAGTTCAAATTTGATTTAAATGAAATACTTGAGCACCCCCAAAATATTTTTTCTCAATACCTCACCTTTCATATGCAACCAGAATCCTTTCAGTTCTTTAGTTTTGTCATTGGTGACTTTAATCCTCTTGACATCATTGGCATTGCTACTGAAATAAACATCGGTAAAGTGCTGCACTTCCACTTTTGCAGCACTTGGTAGCTGTTGGCTGCAGAACACTTCTTCTTTTGTTTGGTTCTGGACTAGCACCCAGTCTTTACACTCCTTGGAGGTGTCTTCCAGGGCCAGGTCAGCAAATGTCAAATACAGCATCCCTCCAACGGCCACTAGATGGCACTTGCAGTCAACACGAGCCTTGTAGGCAGATGGGTAGCTAGGACTACTGATGTAACCCTCGTAACGGATTTGTTTCTTAGTGTTGCAGATATCTAGAACATCTCCCACTGGTAATTGAATATGATATATAATTTCATTTTCAAAACCTGCATAAAAGTAGTTTGTTAAACAGAGGATAGCTTTTAATTTAATTATGTCACAGCAATTAATGAAATGCCTATGAAGTTAAACATGAAATAAACCATGATTAACTTTACTTTTTGTGTTTTAAGCTGTTCAATATGTGTATTTAGATTAACATTTGTATCTTGAATAAAGAAAAAATGAAAACTTAAGAAAAAATGATCATATTTGAAAATTTCAAAAAAAAAAAAAAAAAAAAAAAAAAGAAGGAAGAAAAGAAAAAGAAAGATAGAAATATAAATGAAATAAATTAGAAGGGGTTTGTATTCATGCACCTGAAACACATTCATATTCCACTTGCAGGTACTGGCTGTCTTTCTTGCAGCTTTCAAGATAACTTTTCTTCACTGGTTGAACACAGTATTGTAGTCCCATACACAGGGACCAGTCATACGCCTCTGCATTTTCTTCAGTGCAGTCATCTAACATGGCCGTACAAAGCCCAATGCTGCCTTTATGTGCGCCATGAAAAGCACGCTTGATGTTTATCATTAGCCCATAGCCACAATATAAGGAAACAAATGAGTTTCCTGTCCCATAGCATTGTCCAGTCACCTTTTCCAGTTCTAAAACCAGAAAATCGAGATGAATAACCTACTAGACAAATACCCATCATATTTTCCTCTTAGTAACAAACAATTGTTTCATTGGTGATTATCATATCAACATAAGATTTCTTGTTCGTAGATCAAGTACATAATGAGTCTCTGTCAAAAATATTTGAGAAAAGCAGTTAAGAATAACAGATGTGTCACAAAACTGCTTACCATCTTTTCCATCAATAAGTAGTACATGGAGAAGAAGTATCCATACACAAATAAACAACATTTTCTTCTTCTTGGGGAAGATTAGGTCGCAAATCAAATAAATGTGTGTTCCAGTGGTCCACTGTTAGCAGCTAAATCTTGGGTGTGGTCTAGGTCAAGAAAAAAGAGAAGCATTTTGTAATACTAATTATTCACAATGTCATATAACAGCTGGGCAAATACATGTACAGTGAGCGTCACATAGTTTTGCTTCCTGTGTGTACAGTGTCATTTATGGCTTGTTTTGTTGTATTGGGTGGATAGATATATGCATCCTGCATTTCAATTTCTCAAAAAATATTTAGCGAAGTGTAAGGAAATTCCACTATATTCCACTGGGTGATATTGCCTCTGGTATAGAAAAAAATATCTTTGTAACATTCCTTTGGTGGTCAATATAAACATCATCCAAAGCACTGTCCTGGAATGTTGTGAGTGATTGGTGTTAATTTTCATGTATCAGTTGGCAACAAATGAGAGAAAATGCCAATGAGCCAGGAATATGACCACCTTTGTATCAAAGCATATGCCAATTAAAAAATATGTATTACAATTATCCTAAGTTAATCTGAAACATGCTTTTAATTATAAACAAGGTGCAAAGATTTGGAAAATATTCATTTCTGTAGACTTTTTCAACCTAAACATTTTTTATTAAGAAAGCCAAGCCAGGTATTCTCATACTGGTCTCTGCAGGAGGTGAAAAAAAATAGAAATCGTCATTTGGAAATATTATACGTTGATTGTTAACATTCAACTTGTGAGACAACACGCTATCAATGATACCTTTACCACCTAACCAAGAGGCTTAATATGGATATAAGAATATAATTATTTGGCGGCTTAATCGACAATGCATTGAAATGTCAAAAATAACTCATTCAAAAATATTCAGATAAGGATTTACTAAAAATGTCATGTAAAAACAATATTAGACAATTGAGAGGTTTTGATGTCAGGGTTCATGAACATTAAAAATACCAAAATAATGAAATTATAAAACTGTTATTGTGAATATTAACAAGACTGACGTTAAATTGAAAAATATGTTTAAAAACATAGTTTGTTTTAAAATTAACAGTAATATATTTATTTCAATATAATTTATGGATTTTTATTTGATTTTGCGGTGAAATGTTTTTTATTGTCTTTCATACAATGATGATAAAAATAAATCATTTCTACAAATGAGGCATGATATTTTGACCTTCCTGTTAAATCACATTAAAATCTCTTTAAAGATTATTTACTGCTTTATCAATATTTTAATATGGTGACACGTCACAGTGCTGATATAACCCCAATTTTTTTCAATATCAACTTAGGCAAATTCATTAAATGCTAGCAAGTAATAATGGAATGATAATTCACATCAAAATGGTGTTTTTTGTCACCCTCAATAACAACATAAAATAACAAACAACATGTTAAAAATCAACTTTTATTATATGATCTGGTACATTTCATTGAGATATGCATTTGCAAATACGAATTTAACTCAAGAGCTATAACTTTAAGAAAATGGAGGACAAGTACACATAATGACTGATTCTGTTTGGAAGCATGTCTATAACTCGATATTTTGAGACAGGATTTTTTCGAAGTGGCTCAGGTTCTATTTAAGTCATCTCAAGATGCATTATGAATGTCTAAAACTTTAAAGTTCTTCACAACAGGGTTAGAAGCAGCAGCAGTACAGTTGACACTACAGAGGTGAAGGCCAGGTTCAGGCTTTTGAAATCCGCTGAGTTTACAGAGTTTCTTTTGGCAGTTGCTGAAATTGATTAAAATGAAAATGTAATATTTATACAAAGTATATCAATTCAGTTTAGATTTTTGAATGTATCCGTAGCACATGAAAAATGAGATGGTATGTTCTGTCTGTTAATAGAATTTAAATGGTAAATTATGTAAATATAATTTGAAAAGCTTATTGCAGCATGGTTTTTATGAATACACGCTGAACTGTTTTGAATGTATAGATTTTCATTGAAAATTGTTTTGCCAGCAGTTGAATGACAGCTTACATTTTGAGTCATTGGATTTGCCCTTATTTCTACAACTTCTTCCTCCATCTAGGCATGTAGTTTTGTGCCCTCTGGAATTGTTAGTAGCGTGTGTGGTGGGTTGGGTGGATCTGCTGGTGGTTGGAGGGACGGTCACTTCCATAAGGCCAGGGTCATCTGGTGGAAGTCTACCACATGATATTTTCATGTTAGACGATACAACTGAAATGAAAATGTCAATGGGATTTTTTTTCTATCTTTGATATGTGGAATATGTTTCATAGTTTGTATGTAAACTTAAATGAAAAAATGGTTCTTTTGCATGTAATTCTGTTGACTTATAATCCTGCCTCCAATGGTTAATACAAGCATATTGATAGAAGTTAATTTTAAAATTTCAAAAAATCTATACTTTTCCTTACAAAAGGCACATGAAATGTATTTGAAATATCTGCAATACATAGGTAATCAAAACCAGTATGCATACAGTGAGGAAGTTAAAATGGAAAATTATGATTAATTTTTTCTTACCCTTAAAGTAGAGCCAAAATCCTTTGAGAGTCCTAGTAAAATACTGGAACATTTGTGTGCTGACATCATTGGAGTCAGTGTAGAAGTAGACGTCCACCACTCTACCAGGAACCGTCATTGTTGTGTTGAAAATCTGACCACAATGTCTCATCTTCGTCTTTGAATTCTTGATGAGCAGCCAGTCCTGGCACTCCTTATCCTTGTTCTCCTCCAGCAAAAGTTCATATATTTGGAACTCCACTCCACTCTCTCCCCAGGAAGCCTCCAGGGAGCACTTGCATGCCTGGGATGCCTGGTAGTGGTTGGGGTAGTTTGGAGAACTGATGTACCCATCCCTGACCCATCTCTCTGGCTGGGAGCACACATCAAACACATCTACCTCTGAAGAATAATTGCTTATAGTGGAGAAAAGGGTTAAATGTAAATTTTTTATGCAGACTAGTGGCAGCTAGACCCTTTTTGAGTCAATCTTCCTAAAAGATTGAAAACATTTGTGGTATTAAATATGTGATTGAATTTTTTCATAAATGCTGTATCAGTCATGATATTAAATATTTATTGGCAGAAAATCCAGACATTTATTTATATGAATATAATGTGTTTTATCCTGTATCTTTAATCTTCTATTAAAATCTTGTGTTCAAGTGCAGGTACATGGTATCACAAATTTCATACCTTAAATTTTCTAAATTGTAAACAAACAATATTTTAGACATTTTTAGCAATATCTGATTATCTAGAAAATCATTTACAGATAATAAAAAGTGACTTCTTACTTGGAATGCACACATACTCCAAGTAGAGATAATCGCTGTATTGCTTGGGACATTTTGGCATGTTGGTTTGCATGACATAGTGTGTGCAGTTGGACGTCCCCGTACATTTGGTCCAGTCATAGGCCATGGTCAGGGAGTCATCAATGCAGTCCTCAGGGCAGTAGATGCACTTACTGTCCACCCCATTGGCTTTGTAACACTTGGAGCTGTCAAAAGACGCCCAGTGCCTGTTGGTCGCCTTGCCATGAAAAGCATTCTTCATTAGAATCATGGCTGTCCCTGGAGGCTGCTCACATGTCATTGTGATCAGGGGCTGACCTGTCTTCACATTGAAACACTGACTTATCCATTTTGTATCTGAAATGAGGGTGATGAAAGAGTTGGTCATTTATCAGTAAATTCAAGTCTTTTCTATTGTAATAACAATACACATGTAAAGTTGTGTCTCATGTTAAATTCTAAGGATAACAGAGTCCAGATATTATATGTTTGCTGCACATTACTTTCTTGCAAACCTTTTCATACATTAAACATATGCCTTTACAATAAACAAAAAAGCAACTTTTTTAAAGTTAGAAAATTGAGATTATTTCAATTATTTAAAAAAATCTATAATAAATATATCACAATTTTCCTACCCTTTTTACCGACAGTTTTGCCCAAGGTAGAGAATGTCCCATACAGCAGTATACATTGAGTCAGAATTAAAAAGTTCATACTCTAATTTGAAAACAAGAATAATGAAATAGGAGTATATTATAAAACTCCTATGGTTGATGGCACATTTCCCTGCTCCTACAATAGGTCTCCGAGTCAATGGACTGGTATGTCTTCCTGGTAGTGTAGTGACACCATCTGTGGCTAATCGCAGTTTTAGGAAGACCAGGTCTAGCAATGGGCAGAACCCGCAGGCTTGTCCATGCTGCAAAATGTCAATATGCACATCTGGGTTTCCTCTCTCTCTAAGTCTGTTGCATATACACATATGATTAACTCAGGTTGTGTTTTTATAGGTTTTAACAGCAGTAATTTTTTAAGGTCAAGGTTCAGGATGTTCTTTATTGCAATACACCCAGATTAATAGTTCTTTGGTCCCTCCAACTGTTCCTTGGGTTTACTCATAACTAAGAGATTACAGATGGATTGTGCTATAATATGCAATGAAATCTAACACAATAACCATTTTTGTTTAATTCTTTTATATTTTGACCTGGTCAGATTAAATGATGCATTTTAATCAACTTTCAGTCTATGTTACTATTGCGTGTGAACATGTCAACAAGTTGCCCTCTGCATGCAACAGATGTTGTAATATTATGCTAAAACAAAGGTTGTACTGCACATTATGTTACTCGGTAATCAGTAATTTTTACATGACATGTGTTGTCACTTTGCCAATTAAATGAGGAAGTAACCGAGTTGAGATTTAATTTGTATGTTTTTCTGTATCTGGAAGGAAATGTGATTGATTTTAGAACTTTCTTGTTCTCTTTCAAACCAAATTTGTCCTTTGACCTTGTTTGCATTTTTTCTGCATGGTTATGTTGCCAAAATATTACTAATATAAAAATATATCTATTATAAACTAATATTTTGATTTTCCATTTATGAAATATTGTCTTTCTTTTTCTTTTTCATGTTGTTGCCTTGGTACCTGACTCCACCTATTGTGTTTGACATTTTCTGGTCTGATGAAATACCTTACATTTACACACATAGGTAAGTGCTTTCCTCAGTAGTTCATGTTTTATTAGTTGACCCCAAAATTGCCTCCCAAAGAGTCTTTAAAAATGTGGAACTTCAAATTTTGTATGCTTGTACTAAAATGATGCCTATCAATTAAAAATGTATTTTTACAATTAATGCCAGATTTCGAGTGTATTCTGAATAGGCTTTAAATTGTTTGGACTTAGTTAAAACTCTGAAGTAATAAACATAACTTTTATCCTAGTTGACAGTCAATACACAAATTCTCTATGATGAGTTCCAGATTTTTAGCATATATATTAATTTGCCTTGACCAGCATTTTCATAATTCTGGTGTGTGTGTGTGTGTGTGTGTGTGCATGCAAGAGAGGGAGAGGGAGAAATTGATTGATTGATTGTTATCATATTTCGAATTGTGAAACAGTTGTGCATATTGTCATTTATAATTATGTGCTTTAATATGTAGATTTTACTTATGAACAATGTTTTCTTAGACACTTAAGTATTTTCCACTGAACATATTTTTATGTTACATGTTGTTGTTCTTTTTAGATCTTTTGTATATAATTTGATAATTACTGAGAGAATGTTAATTCAATTTAAGCAGAACAGATTTCCACAAGTCATTAATAACTTGTACAGGACAATTCCATTACAAAATAAAGAAATGACATGTGTTATCATATGAAATGCATTGCTCTAACCCACATTTGTTGTTTATCACAGATATGTTAAAGTTATAGTCTCTCTATTTGCATGGTTGGCATATTGGTTGATAATGATCATATCACATTGATTGCCATTTTCTACCTGGGTGAAGAAATTTTTCTCTCTTTAATTTTTCTTATTTGTTGATTTTCTTAAAAACTTTTAATTTGTGGTTATAGAAGATGATGTGCTTTGTTATCTATGAAGTCAGACTAGAAGAACAGATAAATGCCGTCAAAAAACTATCAGTTAACAATAATCTACATTCTACATTCATTTTGCCTCATGAGTCATTATAAGAAACTATATGGCACAGCCATACTGTTGCATCCCAGATTATGTATATAGTACAGTTTATTTCCCAAATATTGCATATGTCACCAATGCATGTGAAAGAAATTTGAAAACATCTTTTAAGGGAAAATTATTATCTTTGCCACTGTCCATGCCAATTATTTATTTATTTATTTATGTCATTGGCTTTAAAATCATTCATAATAGGCTATGTTATGCCTATAGTAATCATGAACAAATTACTTCAGATTCCTGAAAACTTGAACGTGTAGTTGTGTCCATATTGTATAGAACAAAAATTGAGAAGTGTCAGTGTTTATTTATCATGAAGCAAATTTTTAGTAAAAAACAACATTTATGACCAATTTTTCCATATTGTATTTATTGTAATATAATTAGGCTTATTTACATCTAGGTGTCTCCTTTGACAAGCTCATTTTCACCACATTGATGGAGACAGTTACTTTTATTTAAATTATGTTGATGTAATATTGTCATTTTCACTAAATATCACTTCCATTTACACATGTATTTAAACCTTTTCATTTTTGTCAAGTAAGGTTTTTTCAACAAATGAAAAAGAGATTCATGAGTTCACACTATGTTATCATTTCTACAAAAAGCACAGATATACAAATAAGGTCAAGTCTCTAGTTATTTCTCCAGAAAATAAATAAGAGAAAAAATTGTACACATGGAAACAATGTTACTGCCATGGAGTGGGGAGGCTGTGTTTGCACCTTTTCTCTTGGAAGTTGCTGAAAGAAAAAAAAGTAACTGTTACATATATCTCTTTGCAATCTCCTTCTTATTATGCTTTGAAAGAGAAAACGGATAGTAGTAAGAACATAATTATAGAAATATTTGTTAACGTGAATGATAAACAGTTTAAAGTTTGTTTAAACAGGCAATGAAATAAAAGCAGTAAATGCCATTTATTTAGATTTTAACAACACTAATGTTTATGAACTATGTGAATTTGGCAACAGTAGGTTAACATTTGCAGCTCTTAAATATTGGAATTACTGTCATATATATATATACTTCTACCTTACCTTCATTTTCTTCACTCTTAGGAACCGATTTCTTTTCTTGGTTGTCTTTGTGTCCAGGTTTTTCTGAACCATATGCAGTGTTATTGTTTCTGTCTTGTCTATTTTTTGCGACTTTTTCATCAGCCTGTGTGCTGTTACCCGGGCTCTCTGATGTCATTGGAGGAATGGTCATCTCCATTAGTGTAGGGTCATTTGTCTTGAGTTGACCGCAGCTGACTTTAATGTTAGACCCCACAACTGGAATAAAGAGTATTGCAGGATTATAATGACTGCTGCAGATATTGGTGCAACATGTGCTTTTAATGTGTGTTTTTTAAAGAAAAAAGGATATGTTGGTTTAGATGTGTTTAATTCAAACTTAATCACATATAGTTGAAATGATTGCACTATGGCATACTTGCTGGCATTTTTAAAACAGTGATTCTGATAGACATAGATTTGCTTTTTTTTGGAATGAATTCTGATGAAAAAGGGGAAAATTGCCCATTTATTCTATTCATTTATCTAACAATCTGCTAAAGTCCTATGATACTGGATTACAACTTTACGCACATCTGAAATGGAGCCAGAATCCTTTCAGTGTTCTGGTGAAGTATTGGAATACTTGAGTGCTGACATCGTTGGAGTCAGAGTAGAAATAAATCTCTGCCATACGACTGGGAACTTTGATTGTTGTATTAAAAATCTGGCCACATTTTCTCTCTTTCTCATCGCCATTCTTGACCATCATCCAGTCAGTGCACTCTCCATCTGCATCTTTCTCCAGTAGGAGTTCGTATATTTCCAGTTCCACCCCGCTGTCCCCCCATGTTGCCTCTAGGGTGCATTTGCATGCATGTGATGGCCCATAGTGGTTGGGATAGTTTGGGGTGCGAATGTACCCTTCTGTAACCCATTTTTCATCATTTGCACATATGTCGAACACTGATGTCCCTGAAAAGAAAAAACAAGGATTTTACTTTTTGTCTTGGGACTTTGGGAAATTTTTATTCGGTGTCCCTTTTAAACATATATTACAACTGTTATGATGTTTTTTATTATTATTCATATCTTCTATTTTTCTTTTTTTTTTTTCAGTTTCCTGTTTTAGTTCTCAATTTTTTTTAGTTTTTAGTGTAGATTAGTACTGACTTTTATACAAAGATTTCTATAAGGAGTACACATTTAAAAATTAGTGCCATTAGAGGAAGTAAAACAATTTCTGTGTTGCACTCACTTGGTATGCACATGTACTCCAAATGGAGATAGTCGCTGTATGTATTTTGACAGTTTGGCATTGACGCCTGCATCACATAGGTGGTGCAGTTAACCATCCCCGTGCACTTGGTCCAGTCGTACGCCACCATGATGTCTTTGGACTCATCCGTGCAATCATCTGGGCAGTAGGTACACTTGATGTCATCGCTGCCAGCCCTGTGACATTTGTCAAAGTTGTGGTTTGGCCATTTTCTTGGGGTAGTTTGTCCGTGGAATGCTCTCCTCATCAGGATCATCCCTGGCCCTCCTGGCTCAGCGCATGACATGGTCACCTGGGGTTTGCCCACTTTGAAGCACTGGCTGGCTCGCTTTAGCTCTTAAAAAAGATAAAAGAAGAAGTGAAAAAAGGAATGTTATAGGCATTCTTTTCAATGTTTTTTTTCTTTTCATGAAGTTAGTCTTATTTCTGTGTCTTATAGTTCCTGTGAGATATTCAAGATAAAAGATTCTCTTTTTGGTTTATATTCTCAAGAGTATTCATCAATTTTTTTATTTATAATAAGTCATGAATTGTCATGTAAAAATTTGGTTGCATTGATGGAAAATATATTTGACACTCAATGTGCATATATACAAATTTACAAGGTGTAGATTGTACTTACCCAGTGCAAACCCCATTATTGGTGGCAAAAAATAGAAAAGCAGCACAGTTGAGACTCTGATGTCCATCTTCATCTTTATATCAAACAATGCAGATAAGATCAGTGGAATCGCATGTATAAACCAAGTAAAAATATTGTTTGCATTGACAGAGATACTCGTTTTTCAGGTAACCAATACAAGAATAGAAGGACTTGTGTCTTCTTCTATATTCAGACTGGTCTTTCTAGGGTGTGTCACATGTTACATTTGTCGCAAGTCACAGATGTTGATAATTGCCAGCCACTTTTAACTTTAACCAGGTGACACACTTCGGAGGATGAAGCCATGGAGTGGCTCGGGGTTGAAAATTAATTGTTTACGGGAACATGTTGAGTTTAAAATGACACAGCTGTTGAAGTAAACATTATTTTATTGTTTGTTTTTTTTTTTACAAAAAAAAAGGAAAATTTCACAGTTGCAAATAGGCAGGTTACAAACCACACTTCAGTGCACTTCAAACTGATCACAGCTACATGTGGGGTGTGCTTACATGTGATTTTTTATATTATTTCATTTATAATTTTCTTTGTAAGAAAAATTGAGAAACCAACTGCCACCTGCACTAAAATTGCCTGTGCACGACTCAATTATTTACAAACTGCTTCGACAAAAAGTGTATTATATTAGTGTGAGGATAATGTGTGTAAAGGAATATATTGTAACAGTTAAAATTATTATACTCAAATTGGGGTTAAAAGTATGTGTTGCATATTTGAAATTACGAAGTTTTTTATAACTTATTGGTAAGCAGTTACATGTACCATCTGTTTTTCAATATCGTATTCCTTTTTCTCAACAATTTTGGAATGTGCAAGTCTATCACAGATTATGATTGCACCCTTTTTTTAGCCCAATATACATTAGAGCTCAGCAGTTAATACTGTTTCAGGTAGATGCCATTTTGCATGAAAGTAAGAGTTATTTACAAATATTTTGCTATCTGTGCTACATGTGCTAAGTTTTGAAATTGTATATAAATACTTGATTGGCACTTGATGAGATTGTTCTGAGACAGTTATATCTAACAGTCTGTCAGAAAACGTGGTTTAGTCTGAGTTAGGATTAAGCCAGTCGAAGTCTGATTTGGGACTGTTTGATTTTTTCACTGATGGTCTTTTGTTTTGGAAAGCTCCTTCGCTTCTTCTCCATTCCCCCTTCTCAAATATGGTATCCTCAAAGTGAACTTTCATAGCAGGAGGTGTAGAGGATTGTGGCATGTCTGAAACGGACACTCGTCTGGGCTGGATTTGTACATTTGGCATCTCAAGATCCTCGAGAAACGCCTGGTTGTTAAAAGCATGAAGAGCAACACTCTCATACTGGTTGCCCCTTTGGGGTTTCAGTTGCAGGGTTTCGTCATCTGCTTGGTATTTTCTTCTTTGTCCAGTCAGTTTGATTGGCATGGACCTGCTGTCTGTATTCCCACTGGGACTCATGTCTTGGTCATCATTTGTGTCTGGGATATTGTCGAATTTCTCAAACCTCTGGCTCAACTGCTGCTGCCTACGAGTTTGTCTTTTTTCAATATGTCTGAAAAATAAGGGCTTTTTAGAACAGGTGTCTATATCTGTTACACTGTTACATTTATCATATTCTTATCAATGTCTATTCTTTTATTACAAATCCCCCCCCCCCAAGAAAAAAAATTAGGTTATAATCTTTAGCTACAAAGCATGTTTCCTATAATCCTATTACTAATTTTTTTTGCAGTTCTTGTAATGAATGTTTGCATGGCTCATCCATCACATATGGTTTTGTGTGTGTGTGTGTTTATTTTACTGCTGTATATGGAAAATATTAGAAATATGCTTGTAAATTACCTTCTCCTAAAGTAGATAAGAGTAATAGCAAGGAAAAATATCACAACTGCACTGGCAAATGCAATGCCAATCAGCCAGCCTGAAAAAAACAGAAAAACCATATTTAGAGTCAACTTGAAAAGTGAGTCCATGTTGTTAAGATGTTTTCAGATGTCATTTTGTTTTATTCTTACTAAAATATACAAGCTAAATCAGTCATATATAAATACAGGAGTGAAATAAGAAAAATCGTTTGCTGGCTACACATTTCATAAATTCTGCTTTAATTTAAATGCCACATCTCTTTTGCAATGACTGGATTCAGAGGATAATTCAGGTACAAAGATGCAGATACAAAGATAAGTTATTGTTAACAAAACTGCAAAATTAAGTACTTATCATAGCCATTGCCATACCTGCATTTTTGAAGGCCACTTCTTTTGGTGTTAATTTGTGTTCAGGTTGGTATGGAACAACCTTGATTGCAGTAGTTGTGCTGCTGGGAGCAATTGTGCTAGACTCTGTCATTGATGTAGTGGTTTTATGGGAACATGTCAGGTTTATTGAAGATGGATCTAGAAAGAAGAAATGCTCATTTTGTGGCATATTTATAATGGTATATAAATAGATAAGATATTTGAACGTGGTATTAAAACAGTAGTAAAATTGATTTCATGAGAATTGTAAATAATTTTTTTGTGTGTGTGAGCACACAAACAGTTTTCATATAACAGTTTTGGCATATGTTATTACACAACACATTCATTTGTGGGTATACTGAATTCAAAATTTTGTGTATTTTAGAAATAAAGTAATTAGTCATTTACCTTGGATTTTTATCCAGAGTCTACCATATGGGTTAGAAATGGCGTTAGAAGAACTTTGGAAAGTTCTGTTTCCAAAAGGAATATTCCACGCTGGAGACGCACTGCATATGTCATAGGTGGCATTCCCTGAGTAGAGCTGAACGAGGCCTTGGCAATGACTTAGCAAAACAGTGATGTTGACACTTGCTGTGGATGTCAGATGGCACTGACAGTTGCTGTTGTTGTTACTAATGGGGAATTGTTCACTGAACATGTAATCCGTTGGAGCTGATGGTGAACAAAATGAGCTGGCAGTTTTGGCTGAAAGCAGTAAAATATGAGTAACAGTAGATGACAGCATTGTGTTAGATGAATGACGTTAAGGTGAAAATTGCCATACAATATTCTGAGGACTTGCATTAAGGAACAAAAAAATGTATATTAATTTCTTGCTTTCATTGTATTTATTTATTTTGTTCAAGCAAAAGTATATGAAAAATGGGGATGGAGAGCAATGTCCTGACTATTATCTTTTTATTGAGATTAACAAAAATAATGTTATTTTATCACATGCCCATTGTTAATTAAAGGAAAACATGGGCATATGAAAGACTTCTTACCAGGTATGCATTCATAGCTTGCTGTAAGTGAGGTTTGAGGAGTTGTCTGGTTGATGTTGTACCCACAACTCTTGTTGGTCAGCTGAAAGGTACAGTTGGTCAGTCCAGTGCAGATGGACACCATGTCGGACATGATGTGAGGACGGTCACATTGAGAGGAATCACACAGCGCTGTGGTGTTGTCTGCCTGGTTGAGTAGTCTTACAGAGTGAATGTGGATCCATGTGTCTTCCTCGCAGTGGAGGTGGACTGTATTTCCAGTGAGACATGTTTTGGCTACTGATTTAAGCTGGTTTATACCTATGAAAAACAGGTTTATCTAGATTAGGTTAACTGTGAAAATGTATATAAGTGACCTGATTTTGTATTCATCTCACCAAAACATTACAGGAATAGGTGTTGTAAAAGTAAAACTTGCTTAATATCTGACAGTCATTTTTATAGGTCATGAAATACAGGTAAAATTCACATTTCTTTTTAAGCAAGTAAAAAAGTCAAATTCAAAGCAGGTGTATCAAAAAAGAAAGGATTAAAAATCATTAAGTTATTTGTTAGATTAAACCAAATTTACTCTAAGTTTTCTCGCTGTATAAATGTACAAAATATTATACATTATGTCAAACTTTTAAATTTTAGTTATAAATATATTTCCTCATTTTAAATAGTTATCCCTACACTAAAATAATAGTGACATTTTGTGCTTTCCTTATACAAAGCAATAAGTTTTGACCAACAAAGTCAGTTGCAACAGTGAGTACAGGCTGTACAGGAACTCTAATTTAAAACCCTCTAAATAAAAATGAAATAAAAGTCTGTCACCACTGCAATTAGACCGACACACCATGTTGAACATTTACGTTTAAAAAGCTTAACGTAATATGTGACAGCTAAGAAAGTAAAGCAATTAATTCTTTTGAAATGAAATTTAATTTGTTGTGTGTAATTTTCCTAACACTTACCTTGTACTCCTCTCCCACTGATGACAATGACAGTCACCAACATCAGAACAGCATGTAAAATACACAATGAGTGGTTACTCATGTTAAATGCAGAAATAAATCACCCTTGAAACCTAAATTTATCCTCTGTCTATACTAACGGCAGCCATAAAATGGTGGCCAGCCCTGGTACAGGTACCTGTTCAATGTGACTGTACAAGTCAAACAAAACAAAATATTGATTTTGATCACGTGACTGTGGTTCATAATGAGAGGTCCTTGAGAGCACTCTGTGTAACTAATCAACCGTAAATACCAGGCCTCGTTTCTGCACACACTGTGCTGTTCTTCCATTGTTCTAAAAATCAATTGTGAACTACAGAAGTTTTCCACTGTGCTGCCATCTACTGGTACACTGTATTTGAACCTGATTATGATTGTAAACCTGGGGATTTGACTGAAGAAAAATTTTTATGCAGAAAATTTTCTCCCTGTACATGACTCTGCATATGTCACAGAATGTTCAACCTCTAGACCAGTATTCAATAAATAATCTTTAATGATGTTGTATAATGTTTTTCAATTAGTTTATAAAATCTGTTGCAATGCATTAGGATAATCTAGGCACCAAAAAAGTTTCTTTTTATTTTAGTCACACACAACTTGTTCAAAGATCCAAGATGCCTCTGATGATAATATTTTTAAATTGGATCAGTCGTGAGTTTGGTGAAAATAAGAAGCACAGAAAGAAAGAATGATTTATAAAAATATGAACTCTTCACACTTGAAATTTTTTCACATTTGATTCAGTTTTTCGAAACTTGCCTTTGTTTAAAAGCTGCAAGGATATGGTAACAAGTGGAATTGTTTGTTAAAATTTTCTACATGATTATGAGATGTAAATATTTTTTTATGTAATACACAATTAAATTACTGGGATACTTTGGCTGTAACAAAAAATATATATGGTAAGTTGCAGAAAGTTTATATGAAATTGTTAGATACTGAATATCAGCAGCATTTGACATCCTTCCAAAATATACAGGTACCATTTGTAATATTTTTAGGTGTTTGTTTTTCAAATTAATGGATGGTCAATTTTAAAAAATGGATGATATTTAAATTGACCCAGCTAGTTTAAATCTATAGAATATCAAGATAAAACAAATATATATCTGAATTAACCCATTTTTCCACTTATTGTGAAAGAACTAAGCTCTGTATCCTCATTTAAGTAGACTGTTACAAGTTTAAACTGTCAAAGCAAACTAAAATTTCCATTCTTTCCCTTTTTGTATGTGCATTTGTGTGCGAAAGAATCTCAGCAGTGTTATATATCATATTTCCATAGTAAAAATGGTGAAACCAAGTATTTTTATTCGATATGAATAATACAAACCTTTGATGTTATACTTTAAAATGCATTTATTGAATAGAATACTTTTTTTACCTTTGTCAAAAAGGCATAACACCATATTAAGAAAACATAACACACACACTGTACAACCTTCTAAGTACAAAAATGTTTTTTTTCTCATTGATAAGCAAGTCCTCATGATTTTTCAGGCATAATGTTCTGAATGAAGCAGGAAACATCCTTATCACTATCTAAAGGCAGGGTTTTTATATCCCCTGATGTTTTGACTGCTGTTAATAGATCTTGGCCTGTTCATTGAATTACTGCTTTGTGTTCTGCTAGGGGGCCCTCCATTCCTTCCCTGGTTGTACTTGTATCTTCCCATAGGTTTTTCCTGTAGATGGTGTGATTTTCCAGGCAGTGGCATGGTATTACTGCCATGGTGTTGAATTGGGTTGGAGTAGTTGACTTTGTTGCTGTTGCTGTAGGTACTGGAGACACTATCGCGCTGGCCTCTCTGAGCTGAGGCACGGAGACTGCGGTGGCGATCCCTTTGCTCTCTGTGGTTTCTTTATAAAAAGAAGAAATATACTTTATTCTACCACCTTGCTATTAATGTTTACATTATATCTGAGCCTAGCTGCCTTCTGTCATTGATTAATAAAAAATGACCTAAAAAAGACTTTTCACAAAATCAGAGACAGTCCAAGTTAATGTGACAGTTTTTGAGAAACTAATCCCTGACTTATTAAAATATGGGCCCTTACTGAATTGACTGTAAAAATTTATTTTAAATTTCAAATAACACAAAAAGATGATGATTAAAAGATTAAAAATGTGTTATCTCCTGAAATTTGGTGCCACAAAACATTAAAAACACTACAAAAATTCTGATTAAATTATTGAATTTGTCAACTTGAAGGTAAAAATAATTACTTGGATTTACTCACTTTGCTTTAAGGCAAATTGCCACTATGATCCCCACAATCAACACCAAGACTGCCAGACCACCCAATACAATACCTGAAATGAATGTTTACATTCCAATTTAGGTTGAAGTAGAAGTACTGATGATTATATTTATTACTTACAAGAACAAAAGCTTAATCTTGGCTGTATAGAATACTTAGCATTTTAGATACTGGTCATAATATAGATTACACATGCATTGTCACACATTGAATCAAAGAGATTTGTAAAAGAAATTATTGATAATTGCAATTGAAAAATGAACAGTTAACTGCGCTATGGTCCTATTTTTCTGTAGGATGTTTAATATAGTAATATGTTAACTGATGAATTTGAAAACATACCCATATTAATATTAGGATCTTCAATGAATGTAGCTTGAGTTGTTGTAGAGTGTTCTGATACATTGATGGAAACCGCTTCATTTATCTCATTTAGTATGATGCCAATTTCTACTGTGTTTGTTGGTTGCACATCTGTAGTTGTTCTTGGTGTTATCATGTCATCAGATTTGTACACGTTTGGTCTTTGGGAAGGAGAGACAGGATAGGGTGTAGAAGAAGCATCAAAAGTTCTAAATGTGGTGGTGGTGCTAGGTGTAGTAAGTGTTGTGGATGAAGTGGTGGTAGTGGTGCGCCTTGTGGTGCTTCTTCTGGTTGTGGTGGAAGTTGTAGTGGTAGTAGTGGGAGGAGTTGTAGTAAGTTTGACTGTTGTAGTACGAGGGGTAGTTGTAGTGGTGGCAGGAGTTGTGGTAGTTGTAGTAGTAGTAGTAGTGGTAGTTGGAATTGTAGTTGTAGTTGGTGTTGTGGCTGAAGTTGTAGTTGTTGTTACTGGGATGCTTGAAGTACAGTTCACTGTTACAGGACCATTCCTGGCTGTAAATATATAATAATATAAATATTAACCAGGATGTTCTTTACCATGCACCATAGTATATATATATATANTATATATATATATATATATATATAGTTTATAATGAGCATAAAAAAATTCCACATGGAACAAAAGAAGATTGGTCAATGTATTTTTATGATAAAAGCATTAATTTTGGTAATTTCCTTACCATTATAATGAAGCTAAAAGCTATGTATGGACAAATACATTTTTATGATAAAAGCAATCTGTAATTTTCTCACCTTTATAATGAAGCCAAAATCTCCCTGCATCCTTCTGAACAGTATTGAGAAAAGTAATGTTGACCTGTCCACCAGCAACTTCATACATCATGACATTACTTCTTTTGTCACAAGAATAAACACTGGTGGACCTGCTGCGACTGTTTACTACGAGTTGCTGCTGGTGCTCACATCCTAACTCGTCGTACATGTGGAGCTCAATGGCAGATATGCTGATGCCATTGTTGGGCTCTGCGGTAATTGCACATGTGCATTTGCGAAAGTCGTTGCCTAGCACAGACCGTGGGTAGTTTTCACTGAGAATGTGGCCATCATCTAATATACGGTCTCCCTCCTCACACATAGTGTTTGTAATACTTACTGCAATTAAAACAATACAAAAATATAAGATTGTGTAGTGATGGCATCAGGCATTGATTAGATTATAAGTATTTTTATGTTTCTTTTCTACCAAATCTAAATATAATAATGATGAGGATGATGATGGGAGCTTATATTTAATGATGAATTATTCATTGCATGATATGATGTACAAAAGGAGCAATTGCTAAAATGATGAATTATTACTTCATTTTATCATCATTGATTAAATAGTCTACTAACAGAAGAAAAAAAAAAGATACAAAGCACACATTTCATTCATGAAATTCTACTGACCCGGTATACATTCATAGGTGATGTTGACATAGTTGCTGGACAAAAATTGGCTTCCACACATGCCCTGGACCCTGTTCACAGGCACGTTACACTCCCTGTTCCCGAGACAATCCCCAACCATGGTCCTGTACACCCCTGGGGTTCTGACAGCCAGGGGGACAGTGCAGTCTGTATCCCTGGGGCAACACCTGTGGGGGCAGGAGAGGTCAGGGGCACGACCATAGATGGCGTCGTGGATCCTTATGTGAGTGCCGACGTCACAGAAAAGAGTTATGTGGCCTGGCAGCACACCATGGCACATGGACACAGTTGTCTTTAACACTGAATTAAATTTAAACCAATAAAAGGATTAGAAGTCTTGTTCTTGCACATTTTATTAGTCATTATATTGTTTCAAGGAAGCATGATTAATTTTCATGAGAAAAATACATACCTGTTGATATTATTTCTGTTAAAAAGTTCTAATGAAATCAAACTGCCAGCTTTTGTATTTGTATAAATTCTAAACATTTTCATGCTCTGGTCACTCTCTTCTGTGTAAGCTAACATATTCATAAGTCACAAGGAAAAAAAGTGAGATGTATTTTTTTTGGTTTTTTGGCATATTTCTTTGGTTTCTGATCCAGATGTGAGAATAAAATTGTAATACATACCTTTGACACATTCATACACCACATGCATGTAGTTGCTATAGCCTCCACCAAATGCACACTTGACTCCCCACATTGGTCCCTGCTCAACCAACACAACACAGTGACTCTGACCTGAGCACTGCTCAACCAACTGCTCATAGGATTCTGGTCGGCTCTTTTCCACATGAACTTGACAGTCTGATTCTTTTGGACAGCAGATGTCACCACAGCTGCTTCCGTAACTTCTCCCATAAAATGCACTAATAATCCTGATGAAAGTCTTGGGCTCTGGGCAGCTCAGTTCCATGTGTGGAGGAATTTTTCCGAAGCATCTCCCCTGAAGTTGGTAATTTGGGTTGGTTGCCAGAACCTTGTAAGAGGTCAAGAAATCATCTTGCCCTGTAGTATCGCCACCTCCATATTGTCGTCGACGGCCAGTGTCGGAGGCTGTGTCTGTTGGGCGCGGGGTATTGCTTTCATCTGGATTTCTATATCTGTAGGGCTGTGTGACCTTTTGTGTAGTAGGTATGGTTGTTGCTCCAGGTTTTGGGGTGGTGACTCCCACTGGTTCAGTGCAGTTCAGTGTGACATTTCCAGAAGAGGCTGGAAGTGTTACCAACACAAATTGATCATTTGATAAACGTATTATTATTTTCATGTGTAGACTGTGCCTTAATTTATGTGTACCTTTGTGTGAATGTGCGTGTGTGTACACATGCATGTTTTGATTTCAATTTTTTTAAAGTCAGAAGACCTATGTGACTTTAAGCATTCAAAAGGTAGTTACCTAATATGAGGTTTTATATTATTTCAGTGCATTTTTATTTTCTATTACCTGTGTACTCTAACCAGAATTGGCCCACATTTCCAAGTAAAGTGTTCAGGAAAGTCACATTGACTTGATTGCGTGTGGAGTTGTACATCCAGAAATCTACTCTGTGTTCACATGAAAAGCTGCTAGAGGGTTTTCTTTGCTCTTCAAATGTCAGCGTTTGCAGGTCTTGACACCGTGTGCCATTGTAAGGACTAAAGTCAATGGCGCGGACAGCTATGGTGGCAGCAGGTGGGGCAGTAAGAACACATTTACATTGGCGGAGGTTATTCCCTGGGATCTTTGTAGGATACTTCTCACTCATGATGTAGCCTTGATCTAGCATGTTGTCCTCTTTGGAGCAGAAGTCGTTAACAATACTCACTAGATTATAAAGAAAAACAAATGAATGATTGAGGATGTGTGAATTTTTTTTTCTTTTTTTTTGAAGATTAACTCGAAAAAGGTATCAAGGTGAGAGAAATGTTTTAAATGGGAAATTGGAAATCGAAAGAAGTTCTAATGTGGGGGATGTATTATTTTAGGCTGAATATTGAAAAATCATTTGATAGATTAACTTCACATAACCTGGGGCTGTTATTTAGTTGTACAGGGTCATGTAAAAGAACTTATTTAGACTGGAAATTTGCAACTGTCTTACTTTATGGATAATGCAGTGGTTATCTTTTAGAACCCCTCTATAATCTAGACTATCACACTGAATTTCAAGCAGTAAATATAGGAATATTGCACAAAATGTCTATTCACAGTTTCACTTGGTACCAATATGGCCATGACTTACCTGGGACACACTGGTAGGTGATGTTCATGTAGTTACTGTTGTAGAACTCGCTTCCACAGGTCCCATGCAGCCGTTCCACAGGTATACTACACTGTGTTCTACCCAAACACTGACCCAGTATGGCAGTATACAGGCCTGGATTTCTGGTGCGCACTTTCTCTGCACAGTCATCCTCTCGAGGACAGCAGCGGCGAGGGCACGGTTTGTAGTCACTTCTTCCAAATATGGCATCTCTAATATGGATGTAGGTACCAATGTCACAGAACAGGTTCATCTCTGGAGGATACTCACCATAGCACTTAGAGATGGTTGTGACCTTGGCTGTAAGAAGTTAATTAAAGTTAAAGAAGTGAGGGTTTATAACATTTTAGTTAATGAGATTTTTTTGCGATTGTTAACATTTGCAATGATTTTAAATAAGAAATCTATTAGTGTACTAAAACTATTAATTTACTTCTTGTGCCAGATTATCCCATATTTTCCTACTTATTTAAAATCGTGTACAGTTCTTTGTTTAAAGTTATATTCTTCACAGTACCTTTGACGCATTGGTAAGCAACCATAAGATAATTGCTGTATTTCCCTCTGCCACACTCCGCAGTCCATAGTTCCCCTTGCTCTACCAACACAATACAGTGCGTCTGACCAGAACACTGGTCTACAATCTGTTTGTAGGACTCGGGACGGCTGGCATTTACGTGGACTTGGCAGTCATTGTTGCTGGGGCAACAGATGTCATTGCATCGGTCATTTGTGTTCAGTCCATATACTGCAGCTTGAATCTTGATAAAAGTTTTTGGTTCTGAACATGTGAGCTCCATGTGTGGTGGACTCTTTCCAAAACATCGTGATTGGTACCTCCAGGGTTCTTCTTGGCTTTGGTCACCAGTGTCGCCACCTTTTGTGTTGGGGTCTGGTACTATAAGGATAGATCTGATGCTGGAGCCAGGGTCAACTTTCACCATAGGTTGTGTCACTGGTGGGGTGAGGGTGGTTGTGGTGGTAATGGAGATTGCAGAGGTGCAGTTGACTGTCACAGTCCCCCAAGATGCTGAAAATTTAACCAATGAGGAGTTTTATTACTTCAGAATCACCAATGTTACTATGTTTGAAGGTCGCATCTTTGGTCCACACATGTATAGATAGCAGCTTACAAAACAAAGTGTAGAAATTGAAAATGGCATTCATGACATTCAAGAATTTTTAAGCATTATCCACAGAATTAATCCAATAAAACATCTATTTATCTTACCACTGTATTCTAGCCAAAATTTCCCTTCATTGCTAAACAACGTGTTCACAAATTTCATATTCAGTTCATTTGCTGGTCCATTGTACAGTATGGTATCTGTGATGTGTTGACAGCTGTAGGCTGCTTGGTCAGTTTTCGTAAACATGGCCAACTCTTGATGCTCTCTGCAGCCTGGTCCACTGTACATATTGATGTCAACAGCACGTATGGTGATTGAACTGTTCTTGGCTGTGGAGAGTCGGCACTCGCAGGAACGTAGGTTGTTTCCTGGCACCTCTGCCGGGTAGCCCTCACTTTGGATGTAGCCCACATCAATGGCATTGTTCCCCTCCATGCAGACCTCATTGACAATACTAACTAGAAAAAATCAGTGATAGGTTCTTGACCATTGTTTGACAATAGGAAAATGTTAACAGAATTGTTGAAGTTTGTAGCATATAGCTATTTGGGAATATGAGAGGAAGGGAAAGTCCCTCTTTGTGTAATTTGGACCTGAGCTGGAAATTAGGATAGAAATATACTGTAAAAAAGTCATAATGCTTGAAAACTTTGTTTTAGTATCTGCAAAAAAGCTAGACTAAGTGTATAAATTGGTATTCTTGGCAATGACCAACAGATAATTTTGATTATTATTACCTGGTACACACTCATAAGTCACATTTACATAGGTGCTGACATGAAACTGATTTCCACACATCCCAGAAATCTTGTCCACTGGAATGGTGCACTCTGCCCTGCCCAGACATTGACCCAAGATGGCCGTATACAGGGGAGGGGTCTTTTCCAGCAGCTTCTCTACACAGTCGGTCTCGGCAGGACAGCAACGCCTTGCACAGGGTGTGCGATTGCTACGTCCATAAACGGCATCTTTGATGTTGATGAAAGTCCCCTTCTCACAATAAAGATGCATCGTGCCAGATGGTTCTCCATAGCAATTGGATTGGGTTGTTATTTCAGCTGTTGTAGAAAAGTAGTGGAATATGACAAGTTTGACTACTGTTTCAGCAAGGAGATATGGCTAAGATTAACAACTTTTACTTAATATGATTATTGATTGTGCAAATGCAGTGAGAAATGTTCACTTTATGAAATTATTTTGATTTTATTTTTTTCAAGATGGGATCAGATACATGAAGTTTTACATACCTTTCACACACTCATATTTGACTTGTAAGTAGTTACTGTACTTTCCCCTGCCACAGGGAGCTGACCACAGAGACGCTTGCTCTACCAACACTATGCACTCTTGTTGGCCAGAGCACTGACCAAAGATTTGGTTATGGGTCTCTGGACGACTCATATTTACTGGGACCTGTGAAGAAAAAATCAGTTTTATTTTCACCTTTGCAAAGCTTTAATTCTTAAAAAAATTAATTAGCATGCTGACTCTTTGTGTTAGTTCAGATGCAAAATATTGCATATCTAATGTCATTTAGAAATTCAACTAAAGCAATAGAAAAAAAGACATTGATTTCCACTTATTTTAATTAGATCAAAATTGGGACAAAATAACAAGTGAAAATGTCAACAAATAAGGCATTATGTATGTTATATTATTTTAGAATAGATATGTTATGTTTTATAACATATAATGTTGTCACATACATGTACTATATGTGCATATCCCATTTCCCAAAGGCACTGCATTTTCCGGTCTTGTTCAAGTTCAAAGCTATTCTGCTATTCTAACTGTTAAGTTAACAGGTCTTAAAGTTAATGATATATTACAATTCCTTAATTACCTGGCAGTCGTTGACTTGGGGACAGCACAGGTCCCCACATGCTGTGTCACTGCTGAGACCGTACACGGCAGAGATGACGCGCATGAAATGTTTGGGATCCGTGCACTCCAGCTTCATGTGGGGTGGAACAATGCCAAAACACCGTGATCTGGTTATCACTTTGATGTTAGACGCATGCTGGTGTTGACCTTGAAAAAAAAGTTAACGTCTAATTAAATACTTTGTTTTTTCTTTTTGGGATACCTTTTGATAAATTTAAAGGAGATTGATGATGGTGCTTCAGTATATAAGGTCTTTTTTGAAATGGATCATGCCAGTGCAAAGCCCTTAGCTGTTTGCATGAAACTTGACAATAAAGCTCCTCTATTTTTTTATTAGTTTATAGTGCACTCACTGGCATATCTAAAAATGCATTATAGGTTTCTCTTTAAAGATAACTGATAAAGTGGTATTTCATGATACTTAAATCTGGTCTGCTTTTGGTGCATGAGTAATTATTATTTGGGTGTTATTGTGTATGCAGTTTTAACAATTACTTGGTCTGGGTAATTATGCCCTTTTAAAGCAGAGGACTATATTGTATTTCAGCATAATTACCTGGTCTAAATTAGATAACAATCTTTGGCTGAGTAACTTTGTACAGGTAGACTAACTTATACTTGTAGAACAGGAGTGATGCTGTTGGATATGAAGGTATCTTGTAGTTGTGTGTAGTATCATATAGACAGAATCTGATTTTTCCAGATGCTTTCTGCAGAAAAAATTTTTCTCATTTGATGGTCTGTGTTTACTATATATTTCAACTGTTTTCAGTGTATTTTTTTTCATATTGCTGATAGTGCTGAAATGACTAGCTACTAGAAAACAGTCCCCTTTATGAGTTTTGAATAGAATTAAATACATTTCACAAAATGATACTAATATACTGCTATTCATATTGTGTTATATGTTTACAGTGCATTCTTTGCTGAGATGGAAGAAGCTATTAGTTAATGATTTTGGTCATGAAACCAGGTTGGATAATCGCTTTGACTGTGGTCCTTTTTTAATGTGTTAATGGTACAAAATTGGCTCAAATGTTCTCTTTTCATGTTTAAAAACTTCTCTATATGTAACACAAAATTTTGCTTATACAAGAATCTTTGAGGCACATTTGTACTAATAAGAAAATTCCATTTTGAATAGTTTCTTTGACTGAGCTTCTTTCATGATCTATCTTATAGACATGCAACTTTAAAAAGAAAAAATATTCTGACTTACCATGAACAACAACAACAAATGTGAAAAACCCCATAAACCACAGCAATAGCATAATTTCCCAAGGTGCTCCAGTCTCCAGAAATCCTCAAAGTTCTTTAGTATGGTGAGGTTTCTTACCACCACCACCACCGCCACTCGGGTCTAATCTACCTGCATTTGCCTGCCTCCCCGTTCATGTCATAGAAACATTAGCTCTATGTTGTTCCAGTCACCAGTGGAATGAATAAGCAGTTGACTGAAGAAAAGACAGTGTGTGTTTTGTTATTCTTTGCTCCCATCTGGTTATCTCTAGGACAGACCTGCACAGATCAGACATATAATATAGTAATTGATAATTTAAATCTGTTTGAGTAATATTCTTCTGATTAAATTCATCTGATTATATCAAGGAATTACATTTGGACAATTTTAACTTTATGTTACTGAGAAAGGAAGGTGGCATTTGCATTTTTATTTATTGAGATGTGAGATGAGATTTGTGTCCCTGTTGGAATGGTGTTTAAAATATGAAGCTTACAACCTTTTTACTGACATCACTGTCACTGCCCAAATCATGAATATTGATGAATGTGTGTCACTGAAATATGTAATAGGAATTTCATATTTCAAATGAAAAACAAGTTTCATTGTCAATTTCGGTGATAAAATAATAAAATTACCAAAAGGAGAAATTTGGGGACCCCTGATTTGATGTATAAACAACTTTTGTATTTTCTGCCCAAGTTGCCAGAGTAGAAATAACCATGATAATGGATTGAAATCACTTTGTTGCTAAATTTGAAGTTAAATCTATATTTGCAATACCATCAAAGGTTAGATATTTAATTTTCAGTTTTTTTAAATTTAATCATTTCTTTATTTATTCATTTATTTATGGTGCAAATACATGCATCATCTGTAGAGTTATTAAGTCTCTGAATTTAGATTTATTAGGGTGAATATACAATTTTAGTATCTGTTTCCGTTGTTTGTCATGTCATTTTGCATTACTCTAAAGTTACACAACAGATAACAGTCTTATTAATTTATGTTTCAGCCTTGGCCCTATTTTATAGTGAAATTTGTTATCTTGGTACCAAGTGACAAAATGTGTGAAACATGGGACCAGTATGGTGTTTTTTATGCATTTTTACTGAATTATACATATTTAGTGCAGACGTTTGTAATAATGGGATATACTTTGACAACTTTATAACATGTTTACCGCCATATTTGCCTAGTCACAGACCTTAATCAGAGCCAGGATTTTGTCCTGTCAATAATGCTTGTTGCTTCAATGATCATGTAGAATTGGGAAAGCCAGCAACCTCAAAGATAAATTCTTTACTTTTTTAAAGGGGTAATTAATTTCTTGAAGTTTACAGCAGTTTTTTTAAAGCATCATCTAATAAAGTTTTCTTGGGATAGTTTCAAATTCTCAAACATATATACAGTATCCATTTTAAAGCTTTTAAGTTGTTTTGTCTTGCTTTTGAATTTAGGTAAATGTTGGAATAGCCCAGCTCTTGAGGGTGTTTTTTTTTATGCCCCAACCTCTTCCACGTACTGGGTACACACACACACACACACACACACACACACACACACACACACACACACACACACACACACACACACACACACTGGTAAATAGTTTAAAGCCCCTGTAATGGCATCCTTATATACCGTGACAAGCACTATTTATTTTCAACAAAGTTTGTACTACTGGTACCCCAAGAGTTGCACAATGTTTATCTTATATCTCTGCATTTTTATGTTTTATTTACAGTAAATTCTCTGGATTTTTCATACAAAAACAATCAAATTTTAATGCAAATGGAATAAAGATACTTAGGTTATAATTTTCAGAATGAGAAATAACTGTTAAGTATTGGTTAGGAACACTTGCCAACCAGGGTAAACTTTGGGAAGGTTAAGAGACAAGTCTTTGCATTACTTTGAAGTTGTTTATCCAAACCTGAAAGATTTGTTATATGTGTGTAAGAATGTTGAGTAATTGAAAATTAATTCTACAAAAAGATATAAAAATCACCTAATATGATGGTCATCACACTTTAACGATGTTATTGAAACATGAGTTCTAATATATTTTTATTGAATTAAAAAAGAAAATGCATTTTTATAAGCACATTTTATATTCTGGGATAAAATCTGAGATAATTTGTTAAATATGTGTGGTTTTCATTTACTTAAAACAATCAGTTAAAATGATAAAAAAAATTGTGTTAAGGTAATAAATTTACACTAAAACAGCTTAAATCTGACATTCACTGCTACTACAGTAATATTAAATATTTTTGTATAACATATAATTACTAGTACTCCTCAGGCACATCATTATAGCTATGTTATGGAATGTTTCATACTCCATGATTGTAAATTGTAAAAAAAAGAAAAAAGCATTTGTGAGTTCAGCACATCTGTTGGCATCACTCCTGTAACAATTGCCTTCATTTCAATATGTCATTGCTTGTCCTCCTGTGAATGAACATCTTACAAAACAATCATTTGGCTTGAATCTGTCATGGCTCTAGCACTGTTTCCATATCTGTGTCTCTTTTAATTAACTCCTTTCTTAAAGGGTTGATATTTGATATAGAAATGCCAATCAGCAGAAGATGCATTTTCTACATTATTAGCATCACTGTCACAAATCAATTAAAATGACATATATTGTGTGATATTAAGTACCTTCATCAAATGATGGTCATTTTTTAGTTTCTGTGATACATTTTTCATCAGAAGTTTTTCTGCTGGTTAAGAATGTATAAATAATGTATATCCGTATATATGGAAGAACCGGTTAACAATTTTTATTAATTATGTACTTGATATTATGTTTTACTGGTTATTTAATCTGGTGTTATTTCAATGTTGGTTACATAAACCGCACTGCCATTTTGCTTCTGTTCTGTCATTTCTTCTTGATTAGGTGGGTGGCCATTTTTGGTTGGCGATTCTTTTCCATTTTTATGAGAATGCTTCTTTGAACTTTTTGAATCTTCTTTGGCTCCTTTGAATTTCACAGTTTTGCCTTTCTCCATGCCACCGAAGAAGAACTTGTCGTTATATGCTGGAGAACCCGAGGTATGACTTCCCACTGATGTGGGGGATGCTGCACGTGAAAGATACTGCAACCTGGCTTCTTCATATCTCTTCTTTCTAAAAAAAGGAAAAAAATCATTTGTTATAATGCAAGTTATTCTCTCATTACAATTGAACATAAGGAATGAAATTATTCTGAATTTATCCAGAATACTGTGTATTTGAGTGTTGTATTCCTGCCCCCAGCCCACAGCCCATGATGGTGCTTGCATTGTCAGACTTTTTTTTGTAAATGTAGGTCCACTTTCATTTCATCAACTTATTTCAAAGTTTGTGAACCACAATGGCAGAAAAATGTAACTTACTGTAATGAGATTATACAACAGAAGATTTGCAATGGAAATTGTTGTAGATGATGGACTGTCAGATTTGACTCTCATGAGAATCATAATCATGCCTTTTTTAATGCTTTGCACAGCTGATTCAGAAAAAGTGAAAGATGAAATTTATTTTAATGTGTCTTTAAAATTATAAATATCTTTGAAATATTGGCAAACAAGATGCATTTAAGTGCATATTACTGCAAGGAATACTCACCGCCTGTTTAATATACATATTCCAGCAATAATGGAGGCAGCTATCAGGATTGCTGCACCTGCTATGCCAACGACAACTAAAAAAGATGGAAATACAGACGTCTTGAGATTTAGGCCATAGTGAATTTTTTGTAGTTGTTGTTTTTAAAGTATTATGTTATCTTGTTGTAGACATTTTTTTACATTCTTTTGTCCCTTCTGTATATTACTCACCTAACAACAAAATTTACCTTCATGTGAGAAGGGAAATCATATGTTGTTAGCCTAGCAACAGGATACCTTTCAGGCAAGCTTTTGTTAAGATAATTTTGGCCCTCATTTTATATATGAAGGTATTTTTGTGTGTGTACACTGTATATATATATATATGTACACAATAAGAAGGTGTCATATTGGGGCAACTTTGCTTGGTCTCCTCATTCACTCATTCACATTCATGTTTTGAGGCAACCAATGTTACACAGCCTCTTATGTGCATCTAATTGGTTGGATCATTACTGACCAGTTTCAAAATAATTTAGTTTTAAAACATTAAGTTCAATTTTACAAAAATAAAAATCTTCATATTCATAGCCATATTAAATTTTAGCCCATGTACTGTATATCCAGATATCCACAGAAAAGCACTCCCACCCTAAGCTGAAATCAAACTAGGAAATTGCAAAGGTAGCCAGCAGTCCAGTTCAGTTAACATTTCTGATATATTGGTAAACGTCTAAGCACATGCTGGTTTTTAAAGACGTCAAATAGGCCCGGAAACTCTGGGTGTCCAAATACTATTGACGTGATTATGTCCGAAATGAAAATCTTCCAAGCTATTAGCACTACGTGATGGCACTGCGTGAGAATAAAAAATGTCCAAGAATCTATATGGGGTGGGGGTAACTTTTCAATGACAAAGGCATAACTCTGTGTGGTTGGAATGTCATCTTTAAGAGAGCAATGAAAAAGTTATTGTTGTGCAATAGACTGTAGAGAGAAAACGAGCAGAAAAATATTTGTGCATTGATGTTATGCTTAGTTGTTAGACATTGGACTATCTTCGATGATTCCAGTTGAAATTGAATGCCTTCCATTTGTAATTGGGGGAGGGAGGCCAGATTTAGAATAAAAAAGGAATTTCAAAATAAAATAATGTAAATAAGAGAGTATTATTGCAATATAGTTTTGACCCCATGTTTATCTATCATTCTTTGCTTGTGCATCATCTCTAATCAAAATATAGTTATATGTTCATACTTACTAACTATTATAGTTTCTGTTCCTATGTAGGTACTGCTGGTTGTAGTCACCCCAGGTAGTATGGTAGTAGTAGTAGCCATGTTGCAGAATAAGTATCCTTCCTATAATCTTTCACCTGTATATGGTCTTTCACTACAGTTGATGAAAGGGGCTGAGCTTGGGTAATGTTGCAATGACTGCTTTACTAAGCCCATATAATCATCTCTAATCACTTATCGTCAGTGGTGTTGATCAATATCTTCTAGTACTTCCATGGACCAAGTGACAGCATGGTATTCAGTGTGGTATTTGGTTCACTGCATGGCATTTGACCACTCCTTATTGATTTGATCTGCCAGGAAGGCCCCTTTCGGAGGTCACTAACTGTAGAGGTCTGAAATCAAGTATGATATAAGGGTATACAATTACAGAAAATGGAGTATTCTGAACACATGGCCCTTTTGAACCAATGTCACTGAACTCTTATTTCTATATACAGATGCAGTTTGCACACAGCTAAATTTATCCTATTGTTGTGGCAGTGAAGCCTTTAAAGGTCAACATGTTTTTGACATGTATTTTCCATTTTAAATTCACTGAAAATAACGTATTATAAGTGTAATGCTGAGTCTCCAATGAACATCATCAGAAAACTATAGAATTCCAACTAACAACATGATTTTCCATCCTCAAAATCTCTTCAAAGCAGCCCTGTGGCCAGCAGTTTCAAAGGTGGTTATTTTTTTGAAATAGTGTACCTTTTTACTCCAAAACTTGTGTGTGTTCATAGAAACCGTAAATCAAATTTTGATTCAGTGGGGAACTTTCCTGGCCAAAATGTTGTTCATTTAAATCAAACAAGCCTACCTACGAGCCTGCAATTACTTGTTTCTTCTTGGTATTACAGATTGCAAAAGAGATATGGAGTAGTCCTTTGGCATTTGAAAATGAGTGTTGCTTTGAGAAACAGAAAAATTAGCACACCAATGTGATACATTGCTGTTTTGATGGATATGACCTTAAGAGAATACCAAGTTGAACACAGAAGAAACGTGATTCCATTCAATGTGATACATGCTACTGAATATACCCTTTATTATGTAGAATTTTAAAAGAAAAGTTATTATACAGTATAGGCTCTGTCAGTCAGTGATCATGTAGAATATCTCCAAGATGTCTGCCACGTACCAAGTCAGCAAAGTATTGAACCACCTGAAAATAATCCCAGTCAGTGATAATTCCTATAGGACTGTAGCCCCACCCTTCTGTTTACAAGTACTATAACTCACCTTTGGTTGAAGCTAACTTTGCAGAAATGTTAGATGATAAAATCCAGCAAAATTGATCAGTGGCTGTTTCCAAGTAAAGTTAGCCATGAAACAAAGCATTTGTGTTAACCTATTTCACCAAAAACTACCTTAACTTCCCCTTACCTTACAGTTACACCTCTTGAATGCACACTTTTCCGCCAACTCTCTTCAAATGTATTTACTCAGTGGACAAAGCACAACAATAACTATCAAGTGTTTGGGTAGGATTGTATTACTTATACGTCACAACAAAGCCACTGTGGTATTTCCCAGTAGTAATACACTTGAAAGGCACATGGTTGGTCAAGATTGTTGAATCAAAGTCTAAAAGAATCTAGCCGTTTAGATTTCTCCTATTTATTAACATACCTATAATCCTCGTCTCTATTCAGACAGGTCATTGTATTTGGCAGAAGGCTTGGGGACATTGGATGTTAAGCAAAGGGGGGCATTGTGGTGTGAATATAATTATATAACATATGATTAAATGGGACCTGTCCAGATTTATCAATCGATGTGTAGAAGGTGTGGTTGTTTACCAGGGGTGACTAACCATGAGTGATAGTCCTCAAGTAATGATATATACTAAGACTTTTGTAAAATTGACATGGGGGCCACACCCAACATTAAAAAATGGGTAGTTTATGCAGTATTGGCAATCTTTTGCCTTTAAATCAAATTTTCATTGAATTTTGTTTAAATGTTATATTGATTGAGAAAGTATGACATTATTTTAGCAATAGACTACAAAGAGCTTCAGCGTCAGTATAAGGTCCCTAGCAGTAATCCAATAACACAAGCTAAAAGCATGCTGTACTCTTTAGTTGAATACTGGCTGATAAGTGGTTGTGGACAAATTCAAAGCAATTGCTGTGATGGAATATTTTTCCGTTAATTTGGAAGTGAGGAGAAAGCAAAATGCTATAGTGACCACTTCCTAATCGGATTTTAAATTGAGAGATAAAAGAGGTAACTCAGGCCTTTCTCTTTTGTCAATTTTTTCACATTCTCTGATGCTGCTGTCTGTATGGAATGGTGGGAAAAGGTGGTCAGACATTCACAGTGGCCTTTCTATAACCCAACTAGCACTGTTAGCATTAACAGTAAATGCACGTTTAGAACTGTTTCAACTTTTGTCCTTAAGCGCTCTTCCTGCATAGAAATTTCTTGCCTATTAATTCACTATAATAATAATATGGATATAGCATTGATTATAATGTTTTTTTCACATCTGGCAAATTTACCTTTATGCATCATACCAAAATAGGTATATCAGGTAATTAATAAGAAAATAAAATTTGTGCTTAAAACAATAAAGTTTTTATTTTAAAACATTTAAATGATACATTATATATGAGTTTATAGATAACTATAAAAATGTTGTAAAAATGAGGAAATGGCATGGATGATTTTAATGTTATACTCAACAAATACACAGTTGTGTAAAAAGCCAATTCCACACCTAAAAATGTCATCAAAATTAATACTCTTTTGAGTCATTACACGCATGTCTCTCAAATTCGTGTACTGAACTTCAAATAATTATTTTGGAGTCCCTTTTGGAAATTTATTGTTTTTTGTTTTTGTTATTGTTTTTGGAAACTTATTGTCAGCAGCACACTGTGGCAGTCATCTGAAATGGACCCAATGCATTAGGACACATGATGTCTGCATCCCCATATGCGGTGTTACTATCACCTACTCTCTAGAAAACTCATGAAAATGCACAACTTTTCTAAGTGCTGAACGATATTTTGAAAATTGATGCTATATGAGAGAAATGCCTTCTAGTGCTTCTTTTACAGTTACTCATTCTTAGTCTTAGTCTTAATTATAGACATCAGTAAGTACAATGAAACTATAATTTTACTCTGGAAAAAAATGCTTACTTAAGATACAGTAACACATTTGTCTTAGCTATAGGCACCAGTATATGGCCTTAGAATGGTATTGTCCATTCTGGAACTATTTATGCAGTCTTATTTTTTCATTTATGTTCCAAATGACAAAAATAAGAAAGTGATATATTTCATTCAGTAATATGGTCAATTTTTTTGTTTGCCTTCATGTGAAAGAGCATTTTTAAGTTGACCCAAATCTTCAAAGCTATTGTTCACACACGCACACAGACACATGATACTGCAAAACTGAATCTTTTTATTTCTAAAGGTATGAGTCATAAAGGTAATTACAGTGTCCCTTCATATACATCTCCCTGTTAAAAAATGGAAAAACACTTTAGTGTGGCTGGTGTGAAAAAAATACAAAGAAAATGTATCACAGGAAAGTGAATGATAAATGATATGAAAATGAAATTAATTAAAACATTTACCCTTCCTGCAATGTACAACTTAGACTTTGCATATCTGTACACAAACATCCAGAGTTAAAATGCATTTTTTAAGCAAAATCCTTTCCTTACCTTTCAATCAATGATAATAATCCATGCTTCAGCGGATAAAATGCCTTAAAATATCCTAGATTTTGAGTTTTCCTGCACGTATTTGTGCATGTAATGCCCTGCCTCACTGCAACACTAAACTGAATACATTATCACATTATCAGCAGCATGTCTCCCTGGTGCTTTACATTTTCAACCTGCACATGCTTGCACATTGCAATTGCTTAGACTAATCAGAGAATTGAGCTCAACAGACATTTGCAACACTAGGAAAGTTAAGATACGAACAATGCTGCATATTGGTGTATTCTGAAATAAATAAAATCTGCTTCTGTGCAACTTTTTTTTTAAACTGTGCTGGGTTGGATCTACCACCTGCCAGGGGTCTTTTTTTTTTTTTTCAAAATAAAGTAAAAGACCCCTGTGAGATTTGAGCCCCCCTTCCCCCCTGGTGTTGCTGTTGATGCAAAATAGTAGAATATGTATTTTAGTCTACATAGGGGTCTAGTTCCTTTTATAGTGTAAAATCCACAGGAAAAGAAATGAAATGTGCAATATCTCATAATTTGTTTCAGCTGCTGAGCTCCTTGGCATAACTACTTAGCTGTTTCAAAGGCAACACCATGAATATAAAAAAAGAAAGAAAAGAAAAAAATCTCATTAACCTTTTTATCACAGAAAGGCTGCTAGTCACTACACAATGAAAATAAGAGATAGAATCAAGTCATTAGGCAAGCAAAAAAAGGTCCATCAGACACTATTCAGAATAAAATGAGATACTTATGAAGACTAAACAGGAATCAAGGAAAATTCCCAAGGGAATACTTTGTGTTAAGTGGCAGGAAAGTGAATATCACCTCATTTGTTCTGCATTGGATACATTGTAATGATCATCTTTCTGGGATGTTAGTCTTGCAAGGTTTTTGCATTAGTTCATCATGGTGTGTTCTCTTGTGAGAATTACGATTGCTTGTTTTGGTTTCTGTTATGTGGCCCATACTTCTGTTATATTTGCAAGTCTGCACAGACTCGTCGAATCATTAGAAAAGATGTACTGGATAACAATGATCAAAAAGAACAAAAGATTGTGATTCTAACCAATATATGGTACGTGATTAAGCAGTTCTGTTATTATTGGCATTTGGGTAAATTTTTTAATCAAAATAAGGCACCTTTAAAACATCCAAATACTTCATTTAGCAGTGAACTATATCTTGAAATTTGAGGTCACATATGGAGGCATTAATGAATTTCAAGAAAGAGCAGGAAGATTTTTTATGAAAATATTTTAGGGAATACATTAAGATATAGCTTTTTGATTTTTCTTTTAAAGTAATGCTGACATTGGTGGGCATAAAGGAAAAAGCATCGGAAGTGTAACAGTTTACTATAATCAAAATCTATTTAATCGACTTTTTCCCAGCAATAATTTGTCCCCTGTGCCTTTATCTGACAGAAACAGAAATCAGGTTTTTAGTGCAAATACTTTTTCATTACAAATAAATATATATAATACGATCTGTAGGAAGACACTTCATAGTTTCTAGATGTATGATTTGTTAATGGCAATTATTTTGTCATAGAATGATGCCTAGGGATATGAGGCATGCTGATGCCTATACTGGATTGTGCAGATAAATAACGTCATCTTGGCTACAAAGGATGATACTGAACACTTCAAGTTCTCATTAATCACATGTCTCGAGACCTATATATTCAGATCCGAGGTGGTCCGTATATCCCAGAATGAGAGCCATACAACTGATTCCTCACTAATTCCACATCACTTTGATACTCCGAGCTTGGCCCAGTGTCCGATGGGGATGATGTCGTCACAATGATATCGGGGATGCGTGAATTATCGTAAAGATTCCCACTGCTGTAATGATATGGCCTTTTCCCGGTGTTTTTATAGTGTGATAAAGGAGGGTTCCAGTCGGTGTGATCTGGGTTTCTGTATCTTTTCTTCACAACTTTAGCATACAGGCTGTCTATATCACTCCGCGTGCCTGCTTCTGATGGTGAATTATTGGCATAGATGGATGTAGCATTGTCACTGTCATACACCCTGCGACTTGATGCTGGGGTCAAGGTGGATGGGGTCAAGGTTATGTCCTCATAACTATAATTTTTCCAGTTACCTCGTGGGTTGTTTGCAGGGAAGTGTTTTTCATAGTTGACAGCAGCTGCAGGACTGTCGTACATTTTGATGTAATCTTGATTCCTGGGTAATGGCTGCAATACGATGTCATCATAGGTCGTTGGCTTGTCATCCTCCAGGTTAGAAAATACAATGTCATCATTAGAAAATGCTGCATTGACCTTCCCCTCCAGTTTACGTCTGTGCTCCTCCATTTCCTTCTTGGTGATATTTCTTCTGTAAATGGTCATTAAATGGATATATATTAATGGGTTAAAAAGAAAGTGAGAAGTGAAATTTATAAAGCATGCTTTGATGATTTCAGACAAATTAATCAACTGAGAAGTCATAGTCAGTTTGCCTGTTGTCTTTATCATATAAATAGTGCTGGTTTCACAAATTGTCATAATTTTCTTTCTTTCTTTACATATATATAATTAGATTTTTCTGATTTTAATGCCTCTGAAATTGGAGAAACTAGGCCAGCATTAAAATATTTTCAGTTTTACTTTATTGTTCCATACCTTTTACGGACAGCAAAGCTTATCCCCACTATGACTGCAACAATCACCAGTAGAGCCACAGCACTGCCAATGCCAATCCCTAGAAAGACAATTGAATTATTTAATTTAATTCATCTGTGCATACTTAAGTCAGTAAGGGTTCCTATCTCTTTCAAAAAATTATTTAATTATTAAAACATATAATTTTTTTGAAATTACAAACAAAAAGCCTTTGCATACTGAATGATATACATGTGATTAGAAGTCAATTAAAAGAAAGTATATTGTGTGGATTTGTCTGCATGAAAATAGGACTAGTTTTGAATTAGCAGAGACACATTCATTGTGAGTAAAAGCTGGTTAATATGTGTGTGTGTGTGAAGTCATTTGCTGTTTTGTTAAACATACAACAAATATTTTTTTCACAGCATGCTTAATGTTCTATCCAAAAGGAAAATAAATCACGTTTAACCATCTTCCTATGGTTTCTTGACACTTACATAACCCTGTGTGATTTTCGTCACCACTTCTAGTCTTTTCACCATCTTGAAAATTTGACGGAGCTTCATCGCCTTTTGTTCTCACTGTAGTCTTATCCTCAGCAACATCGATTCCCCCAGCAGTATCCAGAGAGGTGGGGCTAAGTGGAGGACGTTCTGTTGGTGCCACGGTGCTGGTGGTCACCACTGGTGTGGTGGGCACCACCATTCTAGTGGTGCTGGTGGAAATGGGTGCATTGCTCCAACAATTTACTGACAATGGCCTGAGGTTGTTATAAGCTGGAAAATGATCATGAATATGATTTAGATCATTTGAAAGTTGGTTGCGTGGAGACTCCATGTGTATGCAATGAAGAGGGCAATTATGGGCACAACGTTTTTGTAGCTCATTATCATAATAATCATGCATGGTTAGATTATCAAACATGTGAAGAGAATAGCCACTTGTATATCAGAATGAAAGGTACTGATGCATTGTTTTCAGAAATGCTTTGTTTTTAAAATTAAACTTATTGTAATAGGTTTTTAAGCAAGATTATGCATGACTGTGTTACAATTAATAAATAAATAAAAATGTCCTGTGTGCAGAAATTGGAAAAAAAAAGAAAACTCATGTATTAAATTTTTTACGTACCTCTATACTGGATCCATAACCAGGAGTCAAAATCTGATGACTTGTCCTGAAATTCTAAGTAAATCTGTACAGGTCCAGTCTCAAATTTTGTCCATTGTTCATCATTATTTTCACATGTGAAGTTTTGGCTAAAACCATTGGAACTTTTGATATTAAGATTCTGTCCACAGCGACTGGCTATGCTTTTTTCAAAGGAAATGTCAGAGATTTGCAGCATCAAGATTCCATTGGTTGGCAGGTTGATGTTACAGTTACAAATTTGTGGCCCAGTGGAAGGTGAAGACTGGCTAGACTGCCTTATTATGTGGCCCTCTGATTCATTGTTGGCAGTAAAGATGCTGCACATAGATTTCATTTCACTGTCTGGAATAAGAGAATGTTATTTTTCAATACATTTGATATATATTCATTAACTATCATAGTAGTTCTTTGACTTGAACAATCATAATAAAATAATTACAGAAACACCAGTTTCAAATTGATGGAAAATTTCTGCTTTTCAATCACCAACAAGGTGGTCTATATAATCTAGTATAGTCTCCTAAATCATTAACTGCACAGGAAACCATCTCAGATACATTGAAACCTGTTAGAAAACCTGTGGGAAAAATGGTAAAACATTACAGGAGATCATGAAATTTTGATCATTGAGCATTTCTGCTGCAAAATACCATGGTACCTACATGTATGTGGAATAACAATCCATCTAGAAATTACATAAAAGTACACTAAAATTCATTGACCTCTGTATGTACTGTGCATATAACAAGATTTGCAGTATGGCAGTGGATGTAGTACGAGTGTGAAAAGTTCAGAACCTGAGGTTCTGTCATTGCCAGTGGTACCTTCATTATTATTTTTCAGATTGCTTGAAACATGGGCTCTTGTATGGTACATTTGCGACTAATTACAGTACCATTATCCACCAGTCTTAATACAATCTATTGGCACTGTTTCAACTTGATACATGCACAATAACCACTAGTTTACCTTGACTGAATGATATATATATAGCAGTGTGAGGTAATTGAGCTTAAATGTCTTTTAGAAAAAAAAATACGTAGCAAGCTAGTTTTTTTCCTGGTTGAAAAGCAATTATGGTAAACAAAGTAATCACCATAGATTGAGTTTGTCCATGGTACATGTGTAACACAGATGATACAATTCCCTAAAGGACTTGGGGTTGAGGGGGAGCCAGGTTGCCTTTCGTGGCATTCAGTCTTATAAGTTTATTAATTCACCATAATTCAACTTACAAGGTATGCACTCATAGTCCACTGACACAAAGTCGCTGAAGTCAGCAGAGCAAGCGCTTGCTCCTGGATACTGTATCTGATCAATAACATAGGGACTGTTGCACTGACTTCGCTTGCGGCAGGCCTGGAGTAGCTGGGAGTACAACGAGGGTTGTACTTCTTGCATTGGGCTCATACAGGCCTCTTCTGAACCTGGAGGACAGCATCTCTGTAGGGAATTGTCGCAGGGGTCACTTGCCCCATAACTGACATCTTTCACATTTACCAGTTCCCTGTGTTCACAATTCATGGATGCTTGGAAGCCATAACAAGTGTAGCCTCGCTTCCTTGTCACTGCTGAAATGTGAAAATACATAGATTTGAACACAATGTTTAGTTTTTTTTTTAATTAATATTTTCATGATGTGACATGCAATTTGATATAGAACACCATTTGGTGAAAAAGATCCCCCTTATGACGTGTTGTGAAAAATATTATTTAGGATGATGTGTTTATAAAGATCATAATAAATTGCTGTGGTTTTAGTTATCTTCAAATAGGCTTACCTGAACAATATTATAATTTTTTCATTTTATCTTTTTATGCATTAATTAAAAATGCTTTTTTTACTAATACAGAAGTGGGTGGAATTCTAATTTCAAGAAGTATAAGCATCTTGCCTGAAATTTTTTTAAATGTTCATAGGACAGTGGACATGCTTGATATCTGTGATTTTTGTGCTGATGGAATATTAGCATTATATACAGAAAAACTTTGTCAGAAATTTTATATTGCATTAATTTTTCTCAGGATATCTTCAAGACCATTCCAGAGAGGGAAGAAACCAATGTATAGAATTAGAAGAAATAGAATTGGTCCCTTGAATGCTGAGGTTATTTTTTCTGAAAGAAGACATTGATGAAATAGCAATTACAGAGTTGCCAATAAATTTGCCATCTGCTTGACTGATTACAGCGGACATGCAGTGTCTTGATCTCCACTCAGTCAGGCAAAGCACCTCTTTGCAAATGAACTACGAACCATGATGTTAATCAAACTGGTTTTGATCTGGTTTATCTTTTTCATTGTGAGTGCACCTTTGAATATTCTCATGATTTCTTTGTAGATAGGAACATTAACTTTATGAATGTTGATTGCAGAAATTCATTTTTTTCCAATGCGTTTTTGCCATTCATGACAGCCGACATGCCTTGCTGTCCAAAGTGTACCAGTCAGTGCCTGTATTTTTCCTTATTTATTTAAAATGCCAAGGAGATTAACACAATTATTATGATAATGAATATATCTTTTAGGGTCAAAGGAACTATGTGATATGCCACTAATTTGAACCATTCTCTCAGTAATACTTTTTTCCGTGTTACTGGGACCAGAAAGACATGACAATTCATTGGTGACAAGTTGCTGATCACCATCTTAACCACCTCATGCCATCAGATAGCATTATATGAGCTAGGGACACACAACATTCAGGTTTGTTCCTGTTTGCAGCGGTCCTATTTCATAAGCAATTAAGTGCCGTCCCTCTCATAAGACACAGAACAAACTCAGTGTTCATTTAACCAGATGAGTAAGGATAATTAAAAGATGGCATGTGCCTGAATTAATTAGTGGTACCCAATGGATAAGGTTAAATTTTGATGTCCAGAATGGAAAACGATAACAGAAAGAGTATTGTCTAACATCAGTTATTACAGAATATTAGTTAAAGATGATTTTATGACAGAAACCTTTTTGTTGATCTTTGCCAAAGTGTTTACTAAAAATGTGCCCTGCTGCCCCTCCCATTAAATTGGCACCTTTGCAGGTGTTGGAGAATTGCGCTATTGGCGACAGGGTTTACTTATGGGTCTTAAACAGCCAGTGAGTCATGAAGAAATGTGATGATTGGTTTTCTAACAACCACCTTGTGAAACAAGGAAACGAGAAGATGGATTGAATGCACGATAGAAGTTGATATGATTCAGCATCAACTATAAGATGGGATGCCTTGCAGAACTGTGAGAAAATGGTTACTCTCGAATGTAGAAGTTTGTTTATAACCCCTTATATTGCTTTGAATTGTGTAGAAGTTAAATTTGCAGTGATCTCTAATTGAAAACATTATATCAGATACAAAAATATACAAGTGCATGTACTTGTGGAAATTTTGTGGTTTGTGAACTTCTCACCTTAAATAGTTCCATAAATAAGGTGGTGCTTTACTAGTTATAATGATACCTTTTTTTTAAAAAATTCAACAGAGGTACATGTACATGAACCCAACTGCTGATGGTAGTGGGTTCTCTCTCTCTCATTATTGTTTTGAAAAAGGATTTTAAGAATTTTACCATTAAGTTTTACCAAAAAATTCAAGGATCACGCAAACTTGGGCCTCTGTTTTTACAAACCGTTAAAGATAATAAGCTAAAAATCAGTTGTACTTAGTAACTTCATGCAGGACTGCTATAAATCTAAGCAAGTGAATATGGATTTTAGAAAGAATCTTAGGACCAGTAACCTCGTTATTTTCGTAAGCTAATGGATTGAAAGTTTCTTGGCTTGTGTTTGATATTTTTCATATATGATCTTATTTTTTAGTTTAAAACTAAGCTCTTACATGTACTGTAGCTCAAATTCATATATCAGTTCCTGTAGTTTGGTCACTGGTTCTTACTCTCTCTGGTGACAATAATTAAAACTACTGACGTACCAGTAGGTAGTATGCCAGCTGCATTTATTGTGAGATGATCACCCTTCAAAGTATGTCGCAAAGTTGACTGAAAGTAATTGACTTTCAGTGTACAGCAATTAAAGTCAAGCCCAAAAACTGAAGACATTTTGGAAAAGAAGCCCATTTGCTTAGTAGTACATGTACATGTATATCACAATTAGGTGCTACAGTATTCTTTTTGAGAGTTACTTTTTTTCCTTACCTTGTGTACAGGGGTGCAGAATTGCCAGCAGGAACAACAGCAGTATCCCCATAATCTTATAGTCCAAATCTGTGGCTCAGCAACTTTTTGCCCTTGTTGTTTGAGATGGGAACATGGCACTGTCAGTAAGTCGTTGGTGGGAAGAAAGATCACATGCAACTACTGTAAATACTGGAGTATCTTGGTGCCATCATCAATGGTGGGTGTATCTATGTGTTTTCCTGCAGACTTAAGTATAGCATTGTAGTCTGTGTAATAGGTAAATGGTCTCAAGATAAATCACTGACGGATGACAAGGACCCATTACTGGGTGCTAGGTGAAACAGTGACTGGGTGACCTCTTCTGATTACCATATCGGGAGTTGCATGTGAGGAGTCCAAACATATGGCACCAGGCAGGCAGACAGGCATGGTGACACACACAAAAATGAAAGGACTCATCTGATATGAATTGCAGGAAAATCTATTAAATCTGGCTTAAAAATAAAAAACAACAAAGAATTGTTATAAATTGTTCTGGTCAAAAGTAATTTGCCTTGAAAAATTAGAAACTTTTTGGGATGCTGTCAGATATACATGTATGGTGTCAAAAAGGGATGGCAGATTTTTTTTTTTTTTATTTTATCATTTTTTTTTTAGTGGGGTGGTAATCACCTTTCTTGCACCCACCCCTTCACTTTCAAGGAAGATTTTGGTGTAGAGAGTATAAAAAATATGTGCATCTGTGGGCCTACTAGTAGGCTTATCTTTTTCTCGTCTTTTGGAAAATGATGGTGCTGGATCCAACTTTTAATAAATATTGTGCAATCCTAACTTCTTTATACATTTTTCAAGTCTTTTCTGTAAACCTTTCTTAAAATACTAATAACAAATCCACTGCACTTAAACAGGCTTCATAAAGGATTACATAATACATAAAGAAAACAGATGAGAGCAGGGCAATGTACAGTAGGATGGATGATTTCCGTCTTAAGGCAAGGGGTTGCCATCTCCTTGTGCATTTATGCATACTGTTTTTTTTTTCAGTATTTGTTTATAATGTTTTTAGGTATATCATTCTTTTGTTCATATCATGTTTGACGGGAGATCTGCACTTTCTGAGTACTGCACTAATGACAACACCTTAAAGAGTGAGTATAAATGGTCCTCCTTGTCCACACTGTCCCCCTCCCTGGGTTACCCTCATGCTTTATTTTATTTAAATACATAGCATGTGTTTTGTCCTTTATATTTAAGTGGGACCATTGTGATGTTATCACAGCCCATTGGTCATTTAGACGAAGTGCTCACCTTTGTCTGAACAAAGAATAAAGAGAATGGAGGATAGAGATTCCTCAGATAAGAATCTCCCTGGTGTTAGAATAATATTATTGAGAAAATAGGTGTGACTAAGTTTGAGATTTTTATGAGATATCTTACCAGAAATGTATTTTTTATTTTATTTTCTTTTTTTATTCCATTCTGTATCTCAGCAGTACTCTAGTTTGGATCAAACTGATGTGCCTTGTGTGTGTGTGTGTGTGTGTGTGTGTGTGTGTGTGTGTGCCCCATAGCTCCTGTGTTTAAAGTAGTTTGGTAAAAATGTTAAGAAAATAGGTGTGATTAAGTTTTAGTTTTATGTGAGATATCTTACCTGGAATGTTTCTATTTTGTATTTATTCTACTTTTAAAATGTAGCAGGATAGTACTCTGGATTTGTTTCAAAGTCATGTGGCTTATTTTTGTGTTCCAAAACTATGTGATTACTTTAAAAATGCAGTTGAATAGACTCGAGAATTCTTTTAAACTTTCAAGAACCCAACTACAAGGTGATGCACAGGCAACCATAAAAATAATGAATCGAATTAGAATAAATGATGTCTAGGAATACAAAAAATTCAGTTTGCAGAAATCATTTAAACTTATGTGAAGAAACCAAACCAAAGTGCAACATACTTAGGAAAAAACAGTCTGAAAGAAAGCACAGTTGTAATAGAGGACAACCACAAGGGGCTCAAGATTTCTAATGTTACCAGGTAAATTTCCGAGTCTGCCAGGAATGTCATTATTCTTGTAAATTTTATAATAATAAATACATTATCATTAACATACAATGTCAGCAGCATTACTCTGGGTCAGTGATCAGAATGATTACCAAGTACTTCTCTTTTTAGCTCCATTTGTCTATCTATCTGTCTATCTGTTATTAGCAACATTATGCTAAAAAGATGTTGATGGATATTGTTAAAATTTTCAGAAACTGTTGAGGGGAGGGAGGGTGAGGACCAAGTAAGAAATGGTTAGATTTCAGTGGTAATGCATTAATTAATTTATGGTTTATTAATGATTTGTCTGTCAGTCTGTCTGTTAGCGACATTATGCAAAAAGTTTTTTTCACATTTTCAGAAACTGTTAGGAAGGGACCAAATAACAAACAGTTAGATTTTATTGGTGATTAATTAAATTATTAGTTAATCAAAGTCTTAACAACATTATGCAAAAATTTTATTGATGAATTTTTATGAAATTTTCAGGATGGTCACATGCGGGCTAGATTTTGGTGGTGAACTGTTAATTATTTATTTTAATAAACTTTTAATCCATTAAAATTAATTGATGGATTATATATATAATTTTAAGATTATGATATTTAAATGGTTAATCATTTAGTTTATTGATAAATAATTAGTAATGATGAAATTGAGCTGACTTGTCAGAGGTCTGAGCGCTTTAGTAGTTTTATTTTTTTAATTTGGGTCATTGGTCTTTCTTTTTATTGGAATCAGATAGCATGAAATTTGTGAAATGCTTAAAGCATACGTTTTCCATTTCTTCAGTTTGCTGTAAGTAATTTCTGACTAAGAAGGGAATGAAGTAAAGTAAAAATGACACACCAGTTTTATTTTAAATCTTTAATATGCCTTGCTCGATAATTGCACAATTATTTTCGTTGAAATAATCATTTGTAATTTTTGTTAAAATGTAATTGATAAATTAATGGCAATTAATGGGCTATCATAAAATGAAGAATTGGTGCAGGTTTTATAAGAAAGAGTTAAATTAGATCTTGCAAGAAAAACGAAAGATGCATCAATGGCAAGGAATTTTTAAAAATGTGTCAAGAAAAAATGCATGGGATGTGTTTTAAAAAATGTTTAAATTATTAAGCTGGAAAGTAAGATCTGGTTTAAAAAGATATGAACATTTGGAACTACCCATAATTGAATAGGAAAAATGAACAAAACTGTTTGATTCTAAATTTAATAACAATATTCCTGGTTAGTATACATTTATATGAACAGATAATATTAGTGATATTGGCACAAAATGAAGCTTACTATATTGATAACAAGAATGACTATGGCATCTATGACTATTTCACATATTTACAATCATACAAAACAATCAACTTGTCATAAGAAACTGGGAATAAATGGTTACAAATGACATTTATGTTAGCCATCCCACTGATGGCATTGTAAGCACAGTGCAGCAACTTGTAGTTACATTAGGAATGGTGCTAGGTGTCAAAGGAACAGTATTTTTATGAATAAAATTAGGCTTGAATGCAATTTTCAAAAACTTAAGTTATTTAAATTATAATATTTAAAAGGAAAATTTCAATACATATCCAGACTTTTTATACAAGCACAAATACATGTGCAGGTAAATAAGTTTAGGTGAACTGTTTGTGCTGTACTACTGTGTCTTAGTATGTAAGTCACAATTGGGGCAGACACCTGAATGGCACTTTTGCATGCTTCCTGTTGATTTTTTTTTCTTTTTGAAAGTTAACATTCCCTTTGTGTTCACAACGATGGGCTGATAGTTGATGTCTGCACACAACTGTTTGTTTTAACAATGAACCCTTTAACAATGCGACATGCTAGTTTTATAGAAGTACCATTAATTCTGGTGTGCTTCTCAGTATGTTTTTTCTCTCACTCTCACTTTTTGGCAAATAGCCTTACGGGTGAACATTGTCATAAGAAACTTGGTACCACATTGTATTGAATTATTTAAGATGATATTATATTTATCCCTCAGGTAGATGTCACATGAAAATCAGTGGTGAAAAAAATCCCATCGGTAATTCACACTGTATGCTCTTTTTTGAGAATAGTGTGAGGGAAATTAAATATTTTATATGTCTTTAACATTTTTATTAACCTAAAGATGGAAAGTTTATAAGGAAATATAATCTTGTTCATACAGAGATTTCTGTGAAGGGTCAATGACCTCTGATACTCTCCTCTGGTTGAAGGCAGGGTTTTGGAGGCCTCCTTGGTTCTCTTTTCCGGTTTGATCTCTCATCATTGGTCCTTCACTCCTTGCATCCACGTTATCCTCATCCATATCATAGTCGACCTCAAGGTCTTCTGGGTCTTCGCGAATATCCTCAAGACTGCCAACACTTCCACTTCGCCCACTCCTGCTTGCGCTCTCGTGCTCCAGGCCCATTCTGCCAGAATCCATGTACCCGTTTCTTGCGGAATGAGGTAGACTTCCATATTCTGAGCCTGCACGGGAATCACTCAGGTACCTTGCATTGCCACGTGGTAGACTGCCAGTCTCGCTGATAGCATGGCTAGCATCCAGGTGGCCTGAATTTCCTCGCGGTAAGGTGCCAGCATAGGAACTTGCACCTGCGATGGAGCCTTCAGTCATCCTGCTGCTAAGGGGATGCTTTCTGCTGTCTAGGGAGGCCATGGAACCCCAGCGACTGGCAGATTCTCCATTATACAGGCTGTTACGAACGGAAAAGTGACTGCCAGCATAGATCTCAGAACTCAAGTCATCATCCAGCTGTGACCTAAAATAAGAAAAATGAAACTGTTATTTTATGTGACTAAGTGATATAAAATTAATGTAATACCCCCAGCTCTGTAGGCATGCATAAAGTAAGGCAACTTAAAAAAACTTTTTCCTATTAAAGCATTAACTTTTTTATCCAATTTGTGCATTAAAGTATTTAATACTATTAACTTTTCCCACAAACCTCCATGTTTTTTATTCATGTCTACTTTTACCTTGTTTTTATTATTTTAAAGAAAACTTAAGCCTGCATATGTATCAGAAAACCATTTTCTGTGCACTCTCCTCCCAAAATTCTAATCTTTCAACACCTGCATTATTTAAGCCCTTATCAGTTGACTAATCAGTTGACCACCCAGTTCATATTGTAATGCATATTATGTTAAAGGACGGCATTGTCCAGGGAGAGGTCAAGATTAATGTGTTTTTTTCATCACGACATGTGTCTTGACCATTTTTACAGTTGAGCTTTTGTGCTGAGCCTCTTGTGCTTCAGTGGACAAAAACAGTGGGGTTGTCACCCAAGGTTTATAGCCTGGATCCCTCTCCACTCAGGTGGCTATACCACTGTATATCTGCTTGATAGTCCATTTAGAATAACATAACTACACATTAAGGTAAATCTCTCAGATAATGAAGCCTTGAGGTCTATGGTACCTGGTATATGGGGAGAAGAGCTGTTAGCTTTAGCATTTTATATTGATTTTGTTATATTTAGCTGCTTTGGCAATTTAAACAAATTTGCACCACAACTCTCTCGATGCCAAATCTAAGCATACTGGTTTTGTATTTACATAAGCATGGTTAAGCTGCATTTATTTAGTGCAATTTGTCATTGTTTTTGGGAGGGTGGAGGTCTTTACTTAGATAGGGATCTAATTGTGTCCAGGCCATAAATGAAAAACCAGATTTTTATCATAATGGTTGCTTTATTTTATGCTGTTGAAAAGTATTTTGTTTAGAGGTAGTAACATCATGTGGTTGCTTTGCAATAAATTTAACCTACTTATTTTTCATTCTATTTCAATATTTTATTTTTTGAATATTTACTTATTTATTTATCATATTTTTTGCACAGCATTTTTAAATTTTCATTGCATGGTTTTATGTAATTTATGAAAACTATCTGAATGATATATTTGATGCCAATTTTTATCTAATTTTTTAAAAATATATTTACTCTAATATGTTTCATTTTTTCCTCTAAAATACATAATTAGGTATTGCTTCATATTGTGAATGGAGACTTACCCTTGGTATCTCTTGTATTTCTTGACAGACCTGCTAAGGAACAACACAGACAGTACACACACTGTTCCAAATAGGATAAGAGCCAGGCATCCTGATAAGGCAGCTAAAAAAATTAAAAATACTCATAGATAACAAGCAAGCCTTGAAAAAAATGTTTTTTATTTAGTTATTCTTCCTTTGTTTTTTAAGTAATAAAATATTGTAAAAGAAAGTCATATGCTTGCCATATAGTTCCATATAGTGTCATATAGTACAATGAATCAAACAATCTATGATCTAGACAGACAGGAGTCTGCATGGAGTTATTCCCTAATATATTCCAATTTTGATGATAGTAATTACTACAGAAACTGGACACTCATTCATCTTAATATATGATAAAGAAGGGACTTTGTTGTATCTATTTTGAGTAGTTCATTGTTAGAAAGTTACTGTGACTAAACTGACGCACCCAGCAGTATTTCCATCGGCCATTCTTCGGACTCGGTTTGGCCAGCAAGTTTGGGAGAATCTTCTGTAGTGGTAGTGGTTGGAGTGGTTGTAGGTGTGGTAGTTGTGGTTGGTGTAGTAGTGGTTGTAGTGGTTGTGGTTGTGGTGGTTGTAGGTGTGGTGGTGGGGGTAGTAGTTGTTGTAGGGGTGGTTGTAGTTGTAGTTGTGGTGGGAGTTGTAGTAGTTGTTGGGGTGGTGGTTGTAGTCGGTGTGGTTGTGGTAGTGGTTGTTGTTGTAGTTGTAGTGGTAGTTGTGGTGGTGGTTGGATCACAGCCTCTGCCCAGATTCTCATTACATGAGACACAAATGGAGATATCCCTGGAGTTAGCTGCAAATATTTAGAAAAAAAACATGAAATGATTGACTAAAATGATTATGAAATATATTAAAATATAATATAATAATATTATAAATGATATAATATAAGATATATTTCTCAGAATTTTTAGTACGTTCAAACAAAAATGATTTTTCTAAAATATGTAATAGGCTCCTTTACTTAAAATCTATTATGGTGCCCAAATTAGTGCTTAAAATAATGTTGTATTTTTGCAAATAATTTTCAACTCTGGCCCTCTCACCTCTGTAATACATCCAGAATCGTCCTCCCTGAGCTCTCTTAAGAGAGTTCATGAAAGTCACACGGATGGACTGAACTCCAAAGCTGATCTCGTAATTAGCAAAACCATTTCCTCTCAGAACCTCGGTCTGGGGGCGAGTTGGGTCATTACTGGACACGGTGATATTCTGGGAGGCCCCGATGGGCAGACCTGCAGCATCTTGCAGGCTCATGTCCACTATCATGAGTTCTACATTGTAACCTTTAGGGGCAGTGAGGTCGCATGTACAGATGTGTGTGTCCATGGTGTCCAGTTGGGTTGGTCTTGGCATGTCGTGGGGGTAGGATGGACTGATGAAGTGACCCTCAATGATCCTACCAAGGACGTTATCACAGATATATTGAGAAAGAAGTAGATAACCTGAAAAATAGGAAAACAGTTTCATTATTTGTATTGATATTTGACAAAATAAGTAGCATGGGATGTATTAAATAGAATTATATAAATTTGATGTCATATAAGTACCATGAAGTGTAAATAAGTGAATTTTTTAATTTTGATGTCAGCTGAAGATCACTACAGAAGAATAGGATAGATTTGACCGAACTGTTTATATCCAAGCCATGAATTTTCATGATTGCCTACTTAAAAGCTAGACTGCATTATCAAATACATAATCAGGTACCTGGTATGCACTCATATGTGACAGAAATATAGTCAGTGTATGGGGCACATGAATTGTCCTTGATATGAGCATTGTCTACTTGGATTTGCAATGAGCAAATCTTTCTTCCAGAACACTTATCGATGATGTTCTTGAACGTGGCTGGTCTTTGCTTCAGCATGGGGGAGGTGCAGTCCCCCTCTGCAGGACAGCACTGTTGGTTTTCCTTGTCGGCACATGCACTGACTCCATAACTGGCATGGTTGATACGGATAACATAATACCCTGCACCGTGCTCTCGTTGGCATTGTAAATTTAAGAAGGCTCCTGCATCATAGCAACTTCTTACTGTGGTTATGTTGCCTTCTGAAAGTGCATTAAGATATAGTTTAGTGAAATAGTTTTGTCACAAGCATCATGTTAATTTCTTTTAATATATGTTGATATATTTTATAAAAAATTTCTCATAGAAATCTGTTCATAAAAGGACTATTTGGCAGTAAGTACCACTTTCAGCCAGATAGGAACTAAGTTCTCCATAATTTTTTCTTATTTTAACAGTCAATTTCAACTATTCAATTTATTTTCTGTTTTAAATACTGTGTATAAATCTACATAATTTCCCCCTTTATAATTTTTATTTTGGTCCATCAGTCCCTTGCCATTTTAGCAGTTTAAAGCCTCAGTACTTTAAATGTTAATCTTTTTGTTAAATATATTTTACAATAAAAGTGTTTTAAATATTTTGTAAGAACCATACTCAGAGATATTAATTCAAAACTTTACTTAAAAAAAAGAAATGCTCATATTTTACCTTCATTTTGTTTTGGTTGCTATAAAAGGTAGTTCATTTTTAACACTTTCAATATTTAGAAGAGAAGTCAAAAAAGCCATTTTCATTAAGTATTAGTCATTTGTCCAAAACATGCAGATTTAAGATAAAATTCCTCAAAGATGAAGAGTCACACATGAGTGACGAGAACCACGATTTTAATAAATATAATTCAGTTTTTAATTCTTAGTCATTTGTCTCACTAATCTAATAATAGTAAATGTATATACTTAATTTCACAGAGGTCCATGATAGAGTTTGTAGTGACTGTCACATCTCTAAGTTTTCCAGCTTTTAATAATTTAGATTTTTTTTACCATTGTTAAACAGAATATTGTGGACACATGAATCAACTGTTGATTGCACAACTGTCAGGAAACATATGGTTTTAGATGGTTTTTAACACAGCCTATACTTGAAAACAAATTTATTCAAGTTGTTGTACTTTTATATGGCAATGTCATTTTGCCACTGCAATGATTAGTTTTTGGTTTTGGTAGTCTAGTTAAGATATTTATGACACTTGCTGCCAAGATATACATTTAAGTTTTGTTTTTGCCATTTCTGGTACACTTACAGGTATGGGGTGCTATATTTCAAAGGCTTACAGTTACTTTCACACGCAAGACTTTTCCAGATAACACCTACAGTTTATCAAGATTTTCTCAGGTGTCACACCTGACTTAAAAACAGGTTTACAAGAACCAAAATACAACACAAATGGACTTACCTTGGCCATGAACAAATAATATACCAAACAGTAGAAAAAGTAAACATATTCCTCTCCGTAAATTTTTGGTTGCAGTCTTCATTGGGCTGGTCTTTGTCTTCTCTGCTAAAATTCACTGACTGAGAAGTTAGCGGCAGCAATTTTAAAATGCAAATGAGATCGGCATGCACGTCACTAATGCATATATGTCAGAAGAAGGATGAGAAACACTTACTTATCTGATGGTGACCGAAATTATTAAGGGACATTAAACCAGCAAAGTGGTACTGTCATGAAATGTGCTTCCCTGTATGAAAAAAAAATTGTTTATGGTCAGAATTGTTCTTATCAAGTACTGAGTAAGAGCCCAACCCTTTTTCATACCGGAACGCACGTTTCCCTTTTATCCTCGAAACACCCCATGAAGATAGGTGCAGCAGAATTCTGCTTAGGATGTTGTTTTTGGGTGATTTTGGTTTAGAGGTGAAAGTATATTAAATATGTGTCTGCCTGTGCTTACCTCTGCACTCGGGACTCTTTTGTTTTTCAAAGACAATAGCCCCATTATCATAACGCCAGTGATAATTGGGAAACATCATGCTAGCATTTTGTTGCATGTTATTAAGGGAAAGAGAAATAGAAGCTGTCTGTATAGAAAATGAATTGTTCATGTAAGGCTAATGAGGCAATTGTTAAGTTCTGCTGAAGACATGTTTCAGTATGTATAAAATTGTTGAAAGTGTTCTGACATGTGTGAAGTACCACATTGAGCTCAGCAATGGTGGTACTGTCAAACAGATAAAGACTTAATTCACCTTTAAAATTAAAACAACCTTGCAGTTAGAGGTTAAAGAGTGACAGGGCAAACCACCACCTGGTAAAAGGCCAACTTTATCAGTAAATTAAATCAGTGAAAATATAAAATACAGGTGCTTCATCAACCTCATCCCAGTTACGGCCATGTTTTGGTATCCTGTATTCAATTACTTTTTTGTGATAAACCATCGTGATATTTTTTGTGAATTCTTTAAAGGCAAGATGGTGCTATGGCAATCTTAATTGATAAGAATCGGACAGAGTCATATTGAGTCAGTGTGCTTGGTGGTGTGAGTGTTGTGGGATATATCTTCACACCTGCATGCCCAGATGTGATACAATCAAGATCTCTGTCTTGACAGAAATTAATACTATCCCACATGAAGCACATAGGAAAAAAAAAGAAAATATATATTAAATTTAATTATTACATATTGTAACATGTTGTAATTGGTACTTTACCTTCACTTTATTTTGCGGAATATTTCTGTTTATTAGGAAATAGTTTTTAAAAGAGATGGGTCTGTTGTCATAATTTTTAAGTGTGGACTGTGATTGTTGTTTTGATATGAGACATTGATTTGGCTACATAACAGCTGTATCCTACATGATGGGCCACTGATTTTGTGATTTGTAGCAGGGGTAAATATGTCCATTTATGGCAACGGGTATGATTGCTGTCGTCAGGAGAGTTCCAATCCAGGGTTGTGTGATACGTACTTTCTTCAAAGAAAGTGGACTCATAATGAAACAGCAGGCATGTAGCCAGGGGTGTCAGGGGGTTCAAATGAATTGCCCTTTTTGCTGGGAAAAGGTCCGCTTTGGATAAAAATTGATATAGGTACACTGAGGTTTCATGGTCAAGGTCCACTTTTTCAAAAAAATATCCACTCCATTTGAAATTGCTGGCTACTGACTTGTTGTGAATAGTATATTTTCACCTTGTGATTTGTCTTTTTACTGCATTCAGGAATATTAAATGCACCTGGGATGAACCAGTCCTGCAATGTTACATCTCTGATTTATGTTTAATCAACCATTCAGTTTGCATAATACTTATGATGTGTATGTGTGTATATATAGCCATCCAGATAGACTGGTGAACATACGGGCAGGCAGATAAATGGATATGATTTGTGAAATTGAATTTTTTTCCTTATTAAGATACCTAACATACCTGTGGTTTTTGATACCAGTATCCATATGATGTTTCTGTGAGAAAAAAAATATATATCTGTGTGCATGGATGGCAGAAAATTCTATAAAACCATAAAGTGCTATTTTTTAAATTGTGTAAAAAAGAGGATGAATTTTATAAATGTTGTCATTTAGACTAAACATCTACAAAAAGCATATCAATTAATGCCCCAAAATGGTATGGTCATGTTCATTTTTATGTACAGACACAGATGTGTCTGTACATATAGCCATCATCTGCGTCTGTCGTCGCCGTCGCCGTCGTCGCCGTCGCCGTGCACTTTTACCGATAACACGATNTTACTTATGATTGCCAAACTTATGATTGCCAAAAAAAAAAAAAAAAAATACAGGACTAAAATGCAGCCTGAGTTGGAAAAGTAGTCTAATTGGCTTCTTTTTCTGGAAGTTATACATTTTCAAAGTGTGAACTTGAACTCCCTTGGGCCTGAAGCCTTATGCTTATTACACATTTTACTTACATTGTTATTACCTGTTGAGCATAATTAAAATTTGATGTTGAATTTGCAGTTTAACATAATGTACTTTTGCATCAGAATTGACAGTAGCCTATTTTGTGCATAGTTATTTCATGTTTTTTGTCTGTACATTTGACAGCTTTGCTGCCTTGTTTATAAATTTATATCTTATATATATATATATATATATATATATATATATATATATATATATATATATATATACACTTTTATTATTCATTAGGGTGTGTATGTGTGTGATTTCCACCTGTATTATGACATTTCTTGATTGTACTAGTATCTAGAAAGTTAAAATGCAGGTCTTTGCACTGTTCCTGCATGCACAATATTAATGTCAATGCTGGTATCAGAACTAGGATCAAAAGCACAACTTTGAAAATACATTTATAAAAAGAAGGAAGCAATTTTAAATGGTTTCTGTGGCCCAGTTATACAAAATATTTATCTTATGCTTGTGGCTCAATGAAAAAGTTGTATATTCTAGCCTGGATTGATATTAAAGATAAATGGCAATCCAGCCTTTAGCGGAGGGGGGAGGGGTCAGAAGCTAAAAAGAACCACCCTTTTTGCTGGGAAAAGGTCTGCTCTAGGTAAACTTGATCTAGGTACATGAAGATTTCATGGTAAAAGGTCCACTATTTCAGAAAAAAGACCCCTTCCCCTTTGAAATTGCTGTCTGCAGGCCTCAACTGGGCCTGGTATGTATAGAAATTTTTTAATTAATCAAGTTTTCAAACTTTTTCCATCACTTTTCCAGTTATTACAATTTGGATGATACTGATCATGACAGCATCAACAAGTTTCTGTCTTCACTCGTGGAGAGAGCACTGGTGGAACTGGAGGCTTCTTCCTGCATTGGAATTGGTGATGTAAGTGCAATATTGAAGGGTCTTTTTTAAAAAAAGAACAGAAAGATTGAATTTTAGGAAAAACCTGTAGATATATTGTAAAATTAAATCAATTTTGTCATAAACAAAAGTAAAGAATACCTGCAGCATCTTCTGAATAAGAATGTATTTTGTTCAAAAGTAAATTGGTTAATAAGCTACCTCAGCTTTGAATTTTTTTTCAGGATGGCTCTAGCATTGAAGCTCTTACTTTGGGGCGCATATCCTCTTACTACTACTTGAATCACTTGACAGTGAGGATGTTCCAAGACAATCTCACTCCAAACTCCTCACTTGAAGAGCTCTTGACAATGCTGTCGGTAAGTATCAATAATTTTTTTTCTTGAAAATGTGAAATGTCAGTATAGTTATTTTCATTATGTTTGTTATGAAAAGAGGACAGAGGAAAAAATAATCTGCAAGTTTTCCAAAATATAGCATCCATCCATACTATTAGCCTTTTTCATCTTTTCCGGAAATGGAAATTGCATTGTGGGTAGGGGAGCCTTGCTACATCGAAACACTTACAGCGGTGCTAAAAACCATAGGCTGGGTTTACGTGCTTTTTGTCCCGCTACTACAATAACAGTAAGCGAGATCGACACATGAGGTTTAATAAGTTCCCAACAAACCCGTTAGAATGAAAAATATGGTAGAAAGAGAGGAAAATATAGCAGGTTTGGATCAAAAGCAGGGCACCGCGTTTGCGCTATACATTTCGAAGGCGGGAAGAAAAACTATAATATTAGGAGATCAACAGTGCTTTAATAAAAAACAGAAATGCTTAGTTAATCAACGGATATAACGAACTATCGGCAAACAGAACTCGGGGGTAAACAATGCGAGAAAAAAACATTATAAAGATCCGAAGAAAAAATTGAAGGATAGGCCGGGGCCTAAAAATAAAGAAAAGACTTCAAGCATGAGATTATGGAAAAAGAAAGTAAAAGCTGTGAAGTTTTACACGGGGATTCTACTTACAAAAAATTCAAGACTTTTTGTGTAAGAACAACAAAAAGGTTTGTAAAGTTTTGTATGTAATATCCTTTTTGTGTGTGTTTTATTGATAAGTGATCATTTTTAATGTAGTAGGCCTATCACAGGTTTTAGTCTCTCATAACCCTTAGTAACGTGGGTTCTATTTTTTTTAAACATGAGACGTTAATAAAATTTTTATTATTATGTATCCAGTCCCGTATACGTATTACTGATTTGTACAAACGGGGCTCATATTATCAAGATCAACAGAGACATACGAAGAAGAAAGTACATCGGCTCTTGTTGAACGCGTTATCGGCAAAATAAAAAGTTATTTATTTCTGAACTCAATGACAAGAGCATTGGAAAATTCAATGAGCATATATATTTATAAAAAAATGCAGAAAAGCCTTTCTGTAAGCTACACGTAGGCCTACATAATACATGTATGGTAAAGACAAAATGGATAATAAAAATAATCTAACAACGTATTTGTAAAGTAATACAAATATGCTTAGTATTAAAGAAGGCCTTAGTATTAAAGTAGGTCTTAGATAGTTGAAAAGTATGAAATGTGTGGGAAACACTTTATTTGAATGATTTAATTGTCTGTGATTGAAAACGATGAAAATACGCATAAAAACATTTAAAAATCAAATAATTTGGCCTCTTGCTATAATTTTATTTTTGCCTGACGGTTTTGTTTCAGTTTGAAAAAATTTTCATACTTGTCAGACCGAAAGTCTGCCTTTTTTTTTACCTGTCGTAAAATTTTTTACATATACTAGAGTAAGACACGGTAAACTTTAATTATCGTCTGGGAAAGAGTCGAGAACTCCTGTCTCACCTATTTAACACTTAAAAGATTTTAATTACAGAGGAAAGGTCGTAGTTGTGGCCGCCCGCCTTACCGAACAAGTAACACCTGATGCCTTATCAGGTACCAAACGATTTCATCAGTTCACCGACGAACGATCTGCGTGTCAGTTTTACCTGTATACACAATAGGTACGAGTCAAACAATGCAGGAAATCTTTTCGTTTTATCACATCAAAAATCTCGTAAGACATCCTTCAAACAAGACAAAATAATCGTAATGAATTGACACTGCCGGTAAATGAGGTGATATTGCCACAGCTTGCATTGTGAAGACGTAGGCCTGCGCACCTGTCCACACTCTTGAAAGCTGTGTACGAGTCTACTGGCTATTTTGATTTTATATATAAAAAATAACGAGTCTCTTTCGCATATCTTTATTATCGGAAGCATTTAAAAGAACTCCGAAGCTTTAGTTCGTCATCACTATTGAAAGTGCAGCCAAGGCTCGGACGCTTAGGTGAAGTCTAGTTGTACAGCGCATCGTATTAAAACTGAGAAAGAAAACATTTAATTGCTTGATTCTCCGTCCAAATAGCTGTTTCTTGCCTACAGTTTACGCATTTCTGTGCTTCAGCCACCTTTTTAGTTTGACAGAAAGCAATGCGCGCTTCATACGACCTTTTTATATGTGCACCTTGTACATCATCTGCACCTAGCATTGCCATGCTGTAAACAGCAGAGGACTATCATGACCCCTGTGGCGCGCGNACCCCGACTTAAAAACAGGTTTACAAGAACCAAAATACAACACAAATGGACTTACCTTGGCCGTGAACAAATAATATACCAAACAGTAGAAAAAGTAAACATATTCCTCTCCGTAAATTTTTGGTTGCAGTCTTCATTGGGCTGGTCTTTGTCTTCTCTGCTAAAATTCACTGACTGAGAAGTTAGCGGCAGCAATTTTAAAATGCAAATGAGATCGGCATGCACGTCACTAATGCATATATGTCAGGAGAAGGATGAGAAACACTTACTTATCTGATGGTGACCGAAATTATTAAGGGACATTAAACCAGCAAAGTGGTACTGTCATGAAATGTGCTTCCCTGTATGAAAAAAAATTGTTTATGGTCAGAATTGTTCTTATCAAGTACTGAGTAAGAGCCCAACCCTTTTTCATACCGGAACGCACGTTTCCCTTTTATCCTCGAAACACCCCATGAAGACAGGTGCAGCAGAATTCTGTTGTTTTTGGGTGATTTTGGTTTAGAGGTGAAAGTATATTAAATATGTGTCTGCCTGTGCTTACCTCTGCACTCGGGACTCTTTTGTTTTTCAAAGACAATAGCCCCATTATCATAACTCCAGTGATAATTGGGAAACATCATGCTAGCATTTTGTTGCATGTTATTAAGGGAAAGAGAAATAGAAGCTGTCTGTATAGAAAATGAATTGTTCATGTAAGGCTAATGAGGCAATTGTTAAGTTCTGCTGAAGACATGTTTCAGTATGTATAAAATTGTTGAAAGTGTTCTGACATGTGTGAAGTACCACATTGAGCTCAGCAATGGTGGTACTGTCAAACAGATAAAGACTTAATTCACCTTTAAAATTAAAACAACCTTGCAGTTAGAGGTTAAAGAGTGACAGGGCAAACCACCACCTGGTAAAAGGCCAACTTTATCAGTAAATTAAATCAGTGAAAATATAAAATACAGGTGCTTCATCAACCTCATCCCAGTTACGGCCATGTTTTGGTATCCTGTATTCAATTACTTTTTTATGATAAACCATCGTGATATTTTTTGTGAATTCTTTAAAGGCAAGATGGTGCTATGGCAATCTTAATTGATAAGAATCGGACAGAGTCATATTGAGTCAGTGTGCTTGGTGGTGTGAGTGTTGTGGGATATCTTCACACCTGCATGCCCAGATGTGATACAATCAAGATCTCTGTCTTGACAGAAATTAATACTATCCCACATGAAGCACACAGGAAAAAAAAAGAAAATATATATTAAATTTAATTATTACATATTGTAACATGTTGGAATTGGTACTTTACCTTCGCTTTATTTTGCAGAATATTTCTGTTTGTTAGGAAATAGTTTTTAAAAGAGATGGGTCTGTTGTCATAATTTTTAAGTGTGGACTGTGATTGTTGTTTTGATATGAGACATTGATTTGGCTACATAACAGCTACATCCTACTGTACATGATGGGCCACTGACTTTGTGATTTGTAGCCGGGGTAAATATGTCCATTTATGGAAACGGGTATGATTGCTGTCGTCAGGAGAGTTCTAATCCAGGGTCGTGTGTTACTTTCTTCAAAGAAAGTGGACTCATAATGAAACAGCAGGCACGTAGCCAGGGGGAGTCAAGGGGTTCAAACGAATTGTGCATTTTGCTGAGAAAAGGTCCGCTTTGGATAAAAATTGATCTAGGTATACTGAGGTTTCATGGTCAAGGTCCACTTTTTCAGAAAAAGACCCCCTCCCTTTGAAATTGCTGGCTACGGACTTGTTGTGAATAGTATATTTTCACCTGGTGATTTGTCTTTTTACTTCATTCAGGAATATTAAATGCACCTGGGATGAACCAGTCCTGCAATGTTACATCTCTGATTTATGTTTAATCAACCATTCAGTTTGCATAATACTTATGATGTGTATGTGTGTATATATATAGCCATCCAGATAGACTGGTGAACATACGGGCAGGCAGACAAATGGATATGATTTGTGAAATTGAATTTTTTTCCTTAAATTAAGATGCCTAACATACCTGTGGTTTTTGATACCGGTATCCATATGATGTTTCTGTGAGAAAATAAAATAAATATGTGTGCATGGATGGCAGATGCTATTTTTTAAATTGTGTAAAAAAGAGGATAAATTCTTTAAAATGTTGTCATTTAGACTAAACTTCTACAAATAGCATATCAATTAATGCCCCAAAATGGTCATGTTCATTTTTTTAAAATTTATATATTATATATATATATATATATATATATATAAAATGCAGGTCTTCCTGCATGCACAATATTAATGTCAGTGCTGTTATCAGAACTAGGATCAAAAGCACAACTTTGAAAATACATTTATAAAAAGAAGGAAACAATTTTAAATGGTTTCTGTGGCCCAGTTATACAAAATATTTATCTTATGCTTGTGGCTCAATGAAAAAGTTTTTAAGGGAAAGAGAAATAGTGGAGGGGGGAGGGGTCAGAAGCTTAAAAGAACCCCCCTTTTTGCTGGGAAAAGGTCTGCTCTAGGTAAACTTGATCTAGTTACATGAAGATTTCATGGTAAAAGGTCCACTATTTCAGAAAAAAGACCCCCTCCCCTTTGAAATTGCTGGCTGCGGGCCTCAACTGGACCTGGTAACTGTTAAGTATGTATAGAAATTTTTTAACAAATCAAGTTTTCAAACTTTTTCCATCACTTTTCCAGTTATTACAATTTGGATGATACTGATCATGACAGCATCAACAAGTTTCTGTCTTCACTTGTGGAGAGAGCACTGGTGGAACTGGAGGCTTCTTCCTGCATTGGAATTGGTGATGTAAGTGCATTATTGAAGGGTCTTTTTTAAAAAAAGAACAGAAAGATTGAATTTTAGGAAATACCTGTAGATATATTGTAAAATTAAATCAATTTTGTCATAAACGAAAGTAAAGAATACCTGCAGCATCTTCTGAATAAGAATATATTTTGTTCAAAAGTAAATTGATTAATAAGCTACCTCAGCTTTGAATTTTTTTTTCAGGATGGCTCTAGCATTGAAGCTCTTACTTTGGGGCGCATATCCTCTTACTACTACTTGAATCACTTGACAGTGAGGATGTTTCAGGACAATCTCACTCCAAACTCCACACTTGAAGAGCTCTTGACAATGCTGTCGGTAAGTTTTAAAAAAGCAATAATTTTTTTCTTGAAATTGTGAAATGTCAGTATAGTTATTTTCATTATGTTTTTTATGAAAAGAGGACAGAGAAAAAAATAATCTGCAAGTTTTCCAAAATATAGCATCCATCCATACTATACAATATATACAATATATATAATGTCCTGAAGGTTTAGTAATGTCCATAGATAATTTGCTTCTAAGAGTTTAATTAGTCTGAAAATGATTATAATGATAATGCACAAAATTCATTATCAAACTTAAAGTGAGGAAATTAGAATTTACTATGGAACCATTACTAAGACAAACAACCTTTGAATCTGTGAACTGTTGTATACTATTGAATATTTCAGAAAAATCTTTTTAAAATTTGGAATGAATGTTTTGAATATTGAAATTTCAAAGTTGAAAATTGGCCTAGGTCTATGAAGACACAACATTTCATTTGATAATCAGCAAATTATTATTTATATCAGAGATTCACTATAGAATAGGTTTAGTTATATCTTTGTTTTAAAACATTAGGTTATATTGTGTAATAATGAAACATACAGGACAGAAACTTATTGTCATTTCCCTACTGCTATCATGCATTTTATCATTTTAATGGATAGAAAAACCTGATCTAACCAGAAAATGTTGGAATTGTTTTGGTTATAAACATAAAGGGTGCTGGACTCTCTGCTTTTGTATTACAACACAAATCATTCACATTTATTTGTTTATATTTATTTCTTATATTTATTTTGTTGTATTTTATTTTTATATTTTTATCTTTATTTTTGCATTATGATTGTAGTCTGGGATGGCCTTCAGTGTCAAAACTAATCTGTTCATTCCACTTGCTTCTTGAAAATCAGAAACGACCTCTTTTTAAAGAACATAGATTTATTTTTAGAAACCATCTGTACAATTTAAAGATAGCTCCCTACATTCATTCCCACTCCAGGAGGTGTTTCCAACCTCTATAAAATGTCATTTTTCTATGTTTTTGCTTATTTCCTTCACAAATGGCTGTTGTTTTAGGATGCCCATGAGTATGCTGAGTTACCAGTACGGCACAATGAAGATCAGATCAACAGGTACAATGCTATTTACAGATCTTTGGTAGATACTGCCATCATTTGTGTGCCACTTCATGTGCTACGCCCATATAGCAGATGGGAAAGCTCAGGCATATATAATATATAATATATAATTGTGCAGAGTTGACTTTTTTCTACCATGTAGAACTTGCTAGTAAATTGAGCTCTTAGTGCAGCATTATGCAACAAAGACAGCATACTTATTAATACAAGGCACGATTGTGCTTCAAGTTTGCAGAAGGTGCATATTTTACAGTGCAATTTTTTTTTCAACTGTAAATGGTCTCTTAAGACAAAACTTCAGTGCTGACATGTATTACAGAAGTGATTAAGTGTCCATGAACTGCTTTGTTTGAAAGATTTATGTTATGTTTATGTAGAAAAAGTGTGCATGCAATAATACAGATTGTTCTTTAATCTTACATCCAACCATTCCATATTTCTTGTAGATCTACTCTGAATTTACTGTTAATACAAGAAATTAATTTTTTTGCAAAAAAGTTGTATACTTAATGAAATTAATGTTTCTGGGCCATACTTAGAATGTTGCATGAATCACTTCCATGTAAGACAGGATGATATTTTTCTTTAATAATTCTTTATAGGAAATCCTATATAGGAAATGAGATAATATAACTATGAGAAATGAAATAATCTGATGGATTTGTTTTTGGTTAAAGGTATTTGGAAAATAGTCTTGATATGAGTAATATTCCAAGCTTCTTAAATACTAAAGTTAATTCAAATGAATAATGTGTTATTTCAGTGAACTTGCCCCCAGGCTCCCCCTAGCAGTGAACCCTCACTCCTATGACAGTGCCCACACCAAGGCTCATCTGCTGTTCCAGGCTCACTTCAGCCAGTCCACACTCCCTTCCACAGACTATCTCACAGATACAAAGTCTGTGCTGGACCAGGCTATAAGAATTTTACAGGTTATTTACATTCTTTCTCTCTCTCTCACGCACGCATGCACGCACGCACGCTCTCTCTCTCTCTCTCTCTCTCTCTCTCTCTCTCTCTCACACACACACACACAGACACACACACACACACATTGGTCTACTTCAACAAAAGATAAATCTGTAGTAGTCCAATAAAATTAGGTATTTATTGTCTGTCTGAAGTTTTTGCCACATTTTCTTGCTTTTTGTAACACAGGCCCAATATCCTCATATAAGTGCTCTAGTGGCTACTTTTGGGTCATAACCTTTGCCTATATACCATGACCAAAATAGTTTACAAAAAAGTTAAATTTAAAAGCAGGTGCAACTAACCATAATGATAATAAATATGAATCACTGTCCCTTTTTGTTGTCCTCAACCAGTGTCTGTTGAATAATTTGTTTTGAAAACTGTAACCATAAACAAAAAACAAATTATTCATTGGATATTTTATATGTGAATAAACAAAGTACATACAAATATGCCAAGAATGTTTTTTTTTTTGCCTTTAAGGCCATGTTAGATGCTACAGCAGACCAGGGCAACTTGATTCCAGCTCTGCATGTCATTAACCTGGTACAGATGGTGGTCCAAGGAAGATGGGCACATGAGTCATCCCTCCTTATTCTCCCACATATCCATTCTTATAACCTACACTGTATTAGGTAAGACGGGGGTGTGTGACACTGTGTGTGTGACACTGCGTGTTGTGTGACACTGTGTGTGTGTGTGTGTGTGTGTGTGTGTGTGTGAGAGAGAGAGAGAGAGAGAGAGAGAGATGATTAACTTGATCAAGTGATTATTAATATGTTCATGAAGCACAAGAAAACTTTTAAAGAATTTGCAAATTTATGATAAAAACTTGCCCTTAATTGCACCACCTGTTGAAAGAGCACTGGGCACCTTATAGCCTGGAGGTAGAATGTAATTTCTGGCCAATTATTTTTAACACTGCCATGTAGCTGTCATATTCCCCATGGAGGTAAAAAACTGTTACAATTCCTTCTATATAAAATCTTTGCTCGTCCAGACTATTGTTGGTCATTTTGGGAAGCAGATTATTAACAAGATGGTATGTGTTTTTTAATTTACAGGTATGTTGGAGATAAGACAGGAAAGAAAAGGACTGCTATTGAGAGCCTTCCTGAACTGATGGCTTACGCTGAAGACAGGTTTGAGTTGTTGTTGGAAATGTTGGAGGGAGAGATTGAAAGAAAGGAAATCAGTCAGGTCAGTGATTCTTTTTATTCAGTGGCAGGACATTGACATCTCACGATCTTAAGTTATCTATATTTTCTTTTTATATTTTTAAGAGCTTATTCCTGTAAATTAAATTCAAATGTTTTTGTATGTATACGCATATGAAGATACACTAATGAGAAGGTATAATATACAGACAAACTTGTTAGCCAATATTGAAACTCTATGGATCTTTTAGAATCAAAGAATGTTACTGTTGACATAACAGAACCCAAGATATGTTTTACTAATGTCATAATATTCTGTTATGGCCAAAATTAAATTTTGCCATTACGTTCCATGCATATTTTCAGTTGTTTGTTTTTTACAGGTGTACACTGTACTTCAGCAACTGCCAGTGATAGATGTGAAGATGACAGTCAGAGGTTGGTGGGAGGGTGAAACTGGACAGGTGGAAAAGATGGTGCCAATGTCTCATAAAGGTAGTAATTCTTTTTTATTTACATGTATAGTCCTTTTGGGTATAAAAACTCAATCATAGAGTCACAGGACTTATGATGCTGATATGAGGAGGTTTCTGACTGTTGTTTGACATGTAAACTTGTTTGCAAGGAGAAGAAGGAAGACTGTCTGAGTCAACATCTGGAAGGTTTTCAGAGCCAATTTGGCCAATTTTTGTTACACATATGATACATGTAGCTTCACAATTAAAAAAGTTAGAGGTATTTTTATTTGATCCTGTAAGTTAACTGGACATATCTTTTGAGGAAGTATACAGCTTTTGATAATAAACAAGTTGAATTAGGCAATAAACTCCAATGCAATTTGTTTATCAGTTTATGTACATGTATATTACTGTCATGCACTGTTCTTCAAGTCACCAAATTCTGGCAGCTTCTCTGAAAGTGCTTATTAATACTTTTAATTATATCATTTCCAATCATTTCCAATCATTCCCACAGGTGGATCTCGGCCAGACAAAGACTGGATTCCAGTTCATGCAGATCAGGAATATGTCCTGAATGTGGAGCTGAGAAGAGCAAATAAGGTCAAGGTAATGTGGGAACACTTTTTACATACAAGTTTTTTCATGACATTGGATTTCTTTTCTATTATTTATCTGCATTGATTAAAGTGGATTGTTTATTTAAATTGCTTAATTCACTATTTAAGCCAAGTGAATATACTGACATTTTATATTTGCTGGTATATTGATATAGCCTATTACATACTAAAGCATCAGATGATGCAGTGGGATATCTTTGTCTAGAATATCAGCTACCAGTAATTTTCTTTACAGAAGCATGACAGCAAGGCCTATACCAGCAGGTTTCCAAAACCAAAAGATGAAGGCTGGTTTCTTGTGATTGGGGAAGTGGACAAGAAAGAGCTGATCGCCTTGAAGAGAGTGGGTTATGTCCGCAACAGGACCAATGTCCAGCTTGCACTGTACACACCTGAGATACCAGGCCGTGTGATTTACACTCTTTACTTGATGAGTGATGCTTACCTGGGTCTGGACCAACAGTATGATATTTGCCTGGATGTTGTACCTGCCAGCATAGAGGCTCAGGTTAATACAGAGCTTAAGGAAGAGCTGGAGGGGCTGGACTTTTAGATTGGTTATACTATAAGGCAGGCATTAATCTGGCTTTTCAAATGTGATAATAACAAAAACTTGCCACTGTTTGAAAGACGGATTATATTAACACCTTAAAGTTGGGGGAATTGGTTGAGGGAAACAGTTAAAAGAAAATTACCAGTCAATAACTAGTCATTTTGTCTCTAATGCGAGTTCTTTGCCAATGTTAGACTGCGTTGAAAGTTCACACTTGATTTAAAGTAAAATTGACGAAGATAAAAGATTCATTGAGAATGATTTTTTTATCTCCATTCTTTATAATGATAGTAGTTGCTATTTATTTTAATTGAAACCAGTATACAAATCAGGCGTTTTATTAATCTGAAATTCTTTACAAAGAAAGTAACTTTATTGAAGCTCTTTTTAAACTTGTTGAGTGCAAACATTGACGACATAGTCAGAAAAAAATTTTGATGAAATGTTGAATAATCCACCTAAGCAATACTATAATACTCCCCTGGGGAAAGGTATTATGTTCATTAGGGACTGGTTTCATAAAAGAAAGACCAAAATATGGTGTTATATTGTGTAACCCTCAGACAGAACTTTGGTCTCCTTTAGTTCAGGTTAAAAATAACTGTCAGTAAAAATAGAATAAATGTTAGTCCAAAACAAAAGCCAGGTATTATTTTTATTATTATTATTTATTTATTTATTATTATTATTATTATTATAAATTTAGAAAATAGACTGTATTTTATATCAGTGACCTACAACTGATATAACTTGGGTCAAAGTTAATGTTTAAAAATTGATCTAAAAGTTAACAGCAACTTTCTGTCTAGAGTTCTCTGAAACCAGATCCATGTGGTATATGCAGATAAACACTAGGTCAAAACTTGAAAAGTTATTAGAAGCATGGCTTTGGCCAGTTAAATTACCATTTGACAAAAAAAATAATGATAGTTTACAAGTACTTGCTCTATTGGGTACTTTATGTGGCAGTCTGAATGTAATCTGATATATTTGAATGGGGTTTCCACATAAACATGTTTATTAAATGGGAAAACCATAGTTTTTCTGATATTTAGGTTATTTACTTAGCCCTTCTAATCACTTCTGGTGGTTGGGGGGGAGGTTTAGGGTGCACAATTGATAGGCTGCCAAGTGCTGCTGGAATTAAAATGCTAAAACTGTCTCATACTTGAAAAATATCTTGAATAAAATTCTGGATCAATGCATATCAATGTCTGTGTTCATTGCTTATATACACTGAGATAAGAAAATTTAAGTAGTAAAAGTCTATGTATTAAATACTATCAATATTATATTTTCACATTTTTCTTTTGACTTTTCAATATAACCTACTAGTGTATTCAAAGCTCTTTTAAATAGCTCAATTTAGTTAAAGCAAAGTCCCCAAATTGGATATCTTCAATCTATGTACGTACTTATTTATTTCATTGTATGACATAGATAATTCCTTAATAATTGGTCATATTATTAAAACTCATTGTAAACCAGCTTTACATGTTTTATATGACATACTATTTTCTTATATATATATATATATATATATATATATATATATATATATATATATATATATATATATATATATAAAAGCACTCATTCATACTCATGAAATAAAACAAGGACTGAGTTTATCTATGCATAATTAACTAAAAAAAAAGGTAGTGAATCCATACAGACTTCATAATATCATATTTCTTGCACTTGCATTATTGTGTGTTCCATATATGCATTTAATGCGGAAAAGAATGAGTTTAATATGACAGCTTCAATTCTTGAACCCATTAATAAAAAACGGTTTGTGATGTGCATACCACACACACATGCAAGAAGTATCATGCAGATTTTCACACTGGTCCTGTCATTTAAATAAATAAAGCTCCCTAATACATTTTGAATAAAACTAAAATAGATTTTGGCACTTACTGGGCAGTAGCTGCAGTCTAGCCTCTTTTCTTTCCCAGTCTATCCGAAGTCGCTCACTATTTCTTCATTCAGCGTCTAGATGAGTAACACAAAACTCCAGATGCTTTGGTTGTATGCCCCCCCCCCAAAAAAAAAAATGAATAAATAGATAAATTAATATTTTCCTTAGTCTACTTCTCTGCAGACACTTACAGTGTCTGTACACAAAAAGGAGCAAGAACAATTTTCCTAATCTTATATTATCTGATTGTCTGTTCAATTAATTAAATTTTTGTCTCTAAAATGTGCCAAGAACTTATTTTATGTTGTTCAGAATGACACCTAAGACAAAAGATAAAGGCACTCTCTAACTGCTTAAAGCATATCATCTTAAAATTGCTTGGTATTTCTTTCACATGCATTTTGTATAAATGTTTGTTATCTGGAATGCGTCAGCAAGAGGAATTTTACAATGAATTTTCAAACACAACGTAGAAGTAATGACAGTCACTGTATACCCCCTTGCTCAGAATAGTCTAAACCACAGAATTAACATGACAATAGACAGGTGAGCGAATTTTACCTGTCTAAACCAATAGCATCCCGACAGTGCTGAGTGGGCCCAGTATTGGGTTTTGGCGCATTCCGCAACGAGGGATTGAAGACATATATGTAAATGATTGATTAAATAATCTGTACCAGTCAAGAGACCACAAAATAAAAGTTTATCAATTAAACTATAAGATCATATAGATTCACCATTTTCGTGAAAATGATTATTTCAACAGCAACTCCCCAATCAGAATTCACCGTACCTGTTGTGATTTACATAACAATGCGTCGCTCAGCGCAGTGCGAGCTGTCTTCCAGAATAGTCACTTGACAGCTGGACCCTGAAAGACGAGGACGCAGGATAGGTGTGGTGAAGTCGCAATGCCGAATATCTCAATCAGGTTGGAGCAAATATGTTATGTGAGTAACGTTTCTTCTACAACCAAATGTTAAAAGTGAATGGGAATGTACGAGTCGGACGTAACGTCTAACGCAAATGTCTAGGCAAATTTTCAAAAAGTCAGGGAATCAAATGACTCATTATCTAAAGACACCTGTGAATATCTTGTGAAAAATCAATCTGTCGCCCTCGTAGAGGGTAACGTCTAACTTGCCTAACTAGAAAAAGCGTGCACTACTATCAGCAAGTATGCTTCTCCGCTATTGTGATTTGAATTTGGTATAACTTGTATTATATATGAGAGATTTTAGAAGCTTGTTTTGATTCACAATTTGTTGATTAGAAGGTAGAGTTCTTTGTCGTTTTTGATTTCAGATTTTTTGCACAAAGAGATTTCTTAAAATTTTTGTAACACGAGTTTAAATTACCAGGCAATAATATCCCAATTTTGGCATGTTCAAAATACCAGTCTGTCCGAGCGGTACCATGGATTTTAGAAAGGTTCTACGTTGATAATCTCTGAAATCTTTAAAAAACACGCTGTCAATGGATGCATAGATAATATGAAGGAAATTGCTTTCAAATTAGCTATTACTTTCGGGTGCCCTAATACTGTCCAATTTGTACCACCAAACACTTGAATACTTCTGCATTTGTGAATTTAATGTTTCAGAGTGAAACCTCTCAGATAATTCCATTAGAAACTGGTCTGCACTACATTTCGCTATAATTCGAGAATAATTTTCATTAATATTCATTTATTATTTGCATCTTAAAAAGGTAAACGAGGAAGACATTTTAATGTTTTCATGATGGCACAAAATGCTCATCATTAGAATTTATTACTATTTTTTAGTTTCTAACATTTTATAGAAGTGGGCTTTTGTATCATTCATTAAACAAGATTTGCTTTCACAAAAATATGAAATATGAGTCAAATTACTTGTCTTGTAGAAGACTGTGAACACCCTTCCGTTCCAATGTGGTGTAGGTGCCTCATTAGTTTATAAGCCTTTAACATTAATTTACACTTTCAACATATTGATTTATTTGTCTTGTCATTCTTTTTTATATTGTAACAAATATTAGTGTACGGCATTTTGTTGTCAAATATCTAAGACTTTCAGAGATCAACTACTTCCATCATATTAATCAATTTGATGTTTAATTTAAATAATTTTTCTGACATCCTTTTTATTTGAATTAATTCAATCTTACTTTTAATTTGGATTGTATTGGAATGTTGGATTGCACTATTAACGTTATTTTCTTATTTCAGAACACTGTCATCTGCTTTGCCGGGATTCTGCAACATGCACATGCGATTGATAGAAGCCCGCCTTTCCTTCTACCCATATTTTAGATCCGGATATACACATGCACGCACACAGTCGAACAAGCTTCATGGTGAAAATGATTCATTCTTTTACTGTGACTTATAAACCATTTTAGGTCTACGAACAATTTTGTACATAACAAAACGATGTCGGCTACAGAAATTGTCCCTTTTTCAAATTATTCAAATCGATCATTTTTGTTTTTCCTATGATCTTTATTTCCCAAAATTTCCCTCGAACCACCTCAAATGTATCTGATTCAATTTGAAACCCATGTATGAAGATGCCATTGCATAATGAAATATACTGTGTTTGTATATCATATCTTTCAAAATTGAAGTTAAAAGTGAACTTTTTCACCATATAGCTTGTTAAAACTTGAATAAAATTGCTTATCAAGTATCATGTGTTATTATGATTTACTGTATATAAATCAGCCTTATTGTGTTTACAATTTTCGTTTAAAGTATCAACTGACAATTATAAATGACAAACACTTATGCCTGAATAAAAGCTTTTTCTTGGGAAGTTTTCAATTTGATCTAAAAATTCAAGAGAGATAAATACGCACTGAGTAACTTGCTCGATTTGAAACAAACTTTTTTTTTTGCTTTAACTTTAAAAAAATCGCTTTAAATTTTTGTAAATTGAAAGTCTTTGCCCAAAATCGACGTGTCTGTATTGAAATCAGTTGGTAAGATGCAGTACAATGTCAAAATTTGAGAAAATTGTGGAAATGCCAATTTTAAATGTATATATTTCCGTTGAAGTTGCCATTCTCCTCTAGGCTTATTCTATGCATCACGTTGAAAAGAAATTTTAATGTTTATGAAAAGACTGGCAACTTCCCTTTTTTTCCGAAATCTTTTACATAATTTGGCACCATTTTTAGAGACAGTTTTTTGCTAAAAAGATATGATCATAATTTATCAAAATTTTAGTACAAAGTGAGCAGCCCCTCTCAAAAATTAAATTGATTAAAGAAGAGTGCCCGGAGTTGCATTTGCTTTTTGGATGCCAAACTAAGATGGATCGTGTTTTTAAATGTACCTATAGCGAAGCTTTAATAAGTACAATTCTGTTTCAATCCCGTTCAATTTCATTTATTTATCCGACCACGGGAATCACGGTATTATCTAATATAAGGGCGAAAACCGTGGAAAACGGAAATGAAATACTTTTCAAAATTGGCCTTTATTCCACGAAGCTTGGGGGATTTTATTTTCACAGAGCATTTGTAATAGCTTTTAATCATTTTCAATGCATTTGATAGTAGTTGATGTAGAATTATATAGTATTTTCGTTTGTATTTTTTGTACATTGAATTTGATGGTAGTTTTTGTAGAATTATGTAGTATTTTTGTTTGTACATTTTTAAAGGCACATAGTTAGTTTTTGTGCTTGACATTTCTCTTTCATTTAGTTTGTGCATGTGATAATTGACGTAAATTGTGATAGAGTTGAGCAAATTAAAAAAGCACATTTTTTACACGTGCCAAGATTTGATTTTGCTTGCTAGAAACTGGTGACATAAAAGTTAGTTGACAGTCTTGCATAATGTACATATTACCATTTGTTGAAATAAATATCAAAGCCTAGAATAAATTTTACAAAGTATATATGTTAAATTAAAGCATGATTTTCTGTACTTTTTGTTATCCTATAATAAACAATACATTTCAATCCGTTTTATAGTTTGGAATGAGTGTGATTGTGTTGGGATGAGGTTTGGGTGATGCCACTTATTTGAGGTGTAACAGATTGGGTCAGTCCGTTTCACTGTAGGGGTGGCAAGTGGGACATTTCCATTTTACTGAAGGGGTGGTGGGCTAGTCCATTTTCCAAGAGGGGTGACAGGTGGGTCGAGTCCATTCAATTGAAGGGGTGACAGGTGGGACGAGTCCATTCAATTTGAGGGGTGACAGGTGGGGCGAGTCCATTCAATTTGAGGGGTGACAGGTTGGGCGAGTCCATTTAATTAAAGGGGTGACAGGTGGGGCGAGTCCATTGCATNGACAGGTGGGGCGAGTCCATTCAATTTGAGGGGGTGACAGGTGGGGCGAGTCCATTCAATTTGAGGGGTGACAGGTGTGACGAGTCTATTTTTATAGGGATGATAGGTAGAACGAGTCCATTCCATTGAAGGGGTGACAGGTTGGGAGATTCTATTTTTCTATAGGGGTGACAGAAGGGACGAGTCAATTTTGCATGAGGGTTGACAGGTAAGATGAGCTTGTTCTATTGTAATATATAACATTGTAACTAGGAACCAACTACCATTTTTTGTGTCTGTTTAATGTCTTCAAATAACAGTATTTTTCATATTTATTTTCAAATCTTAAATAATACATAGTTGATTGTAAACAATGATATTCAGAAACTACCATTTTTAAGTGTTACATTTATAAAACCCTAAACAAAAAGGCAAGAAAATGTATGCATCAAAAATGTAATCACAAATGTATATGTAAAGAGGCAATAATAATAATCACAAAAATGACAAAAACTGTTGAAACAAAAAAAGCAAGAATTTATAAAACTATCCATTTTACAAAAAGTTGTTAACCCTGGGTGCAAGGGTCACACCCAAAAAGAGAAGAGGATGCATTTAGTTCATCTCGCAAGTAGGGACATCAATTTTTGAAGTTGTTTGGTCCATGTTACACCGTTTTATTAATTGTAATGCTATTTGCGTGTTTAGAGCAACATGGGATTTGTGTGAGAAATGAAAGAATCAGATGTTTGAGAATATCATTTGAACTGCGCAAAATATTCTGCCGACAACAGGATGGGTAAATGTGTGTTTAATCATTTACTATCATAATTCCAAGATCCAATCCAATTAAAGCTTTCCTCTATTTTCTGTTTTGGTTTTTAAACATATATTCATATGAGGATTTTAAGATCGTCCATTATGAATTTATTTGCAGCCGCAAAATCCAAATATTGATCTGAACTATGTAAAGAAAATTGAGAAAACATTATCTCTAGGGGACCAACAAGTTTTTTCTAAAGGATAATAAATAGCGATTACAATTTCTAAAGGCAAGAATGTAAATGCATTTTCTAATGAAGGTAGGTGGAAAATCGGACATTTTTTCAGGTTAAAGAATTTTTAAATGTCAAAATGCCATATGATACTAATTATGGATCATATTGGGCATGATTCAAAATCAATTTTAATGAATGAGTTTGTTCCAAGGGATATTAAAAAAGTATGCTTAAAAAAACAAGTTTGAAGTGAAACAAAATTTCAACTAGATAGTAATTGTGGAATATAAATGGAGATCACACAAAGATATTCAAAGAAACGGATCAATAACAATATGGATGAAAAGTTTTAAAAATTCTAAAAATAAAACTACAATACATACCACAATACTTGGCTAAAAGAAGTAAACGTTTCACCGTTCACAATTTCATGATTTTCTTTTAAACCATCAAAAAACAACTACATCAACAAATGCTCCATGTCTAAAATTATCAACTGAACATAAAAGCTCGTATAACACAGCCATCATCCTACATAAGTAAGCCATAATTACATCGGAAATTTAAAGGCAAGCGAGAAAGTAAGAGAGCATCCGTAAATTTTACAGACTTTTAGAGATATCAAATATAAACGATAAACTACTACATTACAATTCCATGGCGAGAATGAATTCCCATAGTGTCTGTAAACAAAAAGTACTTACAGTAACCCATAAAAAAGATTTTAATGCAATTGTGATAACCCCTTACATACTGAGTAAAGGAAAACACTGGACAACAAGACTGCCAAGCAACAAAAAATGTCTAAATAACCGTATGAAAACCAACCAATCATGCCGATTTTCGAAAGGAACCAGCTTTTTCGCCGAAGAAAGCTACACGTACCAGTAAAACTAAAGTAAAACAAAAATATGCAAAATTACAAGCAAAAAATTCCAAACTAAAAAAAAAAAAAATTTTATGAAAATAATTCGATCATGACTTTAAGACTGAACGTGACCTTTTGTCAAACAAACACTTCCACCAAATTTAGTATAACAAATATTTGATTTGGCAAATTGGTAAAGAAAAATAGGTCGGATGGCAACAGTGACAGCATGGAAAAACACTACTTTATACTAGAGATCGAGTGAGTGATCATAGGCACATGAACAAAGCTTAATTTAACTTTAATTTTAAATCTCTTCAAACATTTTCAGAATCTTACTCCTTTTTATTTATCACTATTAACATCATTCCATGTCAAAATAGAAAACCTTAAAAAATCTATCTATTCAGGTATAACATTAATGGGCGAGTGGTTTCTGATTGCCAGCAAAAAGATTTCTTGCAGGTGCATCTAGTCCAGCATCTTGGGGGGTGGGCTCCTGAAACGGGAAATAAATGTTTAAAAACAGGCTACCGTGTAGTTATTTTCTAAGCAGTAAAAGCACCACAAACGCTATTTAGAAATATTATTTTTGTGATTATAAATTTATGTATTTGAGATTTGATAAATTTTGCACCTCGAACGGTGCAAATAGAAAGCACTCCGAGAGTGCAAAATGTACGTTTTAAACTTCTACAGAAAATATAAAGAGATTCAAACTGGGTTTAAATTGTTAGAATTTTTTCCTTCTTAAATAACCTACCATTCTGAAATTTCATCAAAATTTGTGAACAATTTGGAATTTATCTTGTCCACGAACAAAATAATGAAGAAAAGAAAAGAAAAGAAACGGACAAACCAATGACAATAAAACATGATCTTCTTCACTGGCAGAAGTAATTATTACAGTCGTTAATCTATTGAATATAATATTTACAATCGGTATCAACATCAAGGTTTTTTTGGTGTTGGTAGGGTGGGGGCTAACACTTAATTGCAACTCATGTAGTCAAAGAACTGATCAGGTCAATTTTAGTAACGTCACTTACACCTATTCTTTGACGAATCATGGATAAAATTACGTTATTATGTCCAAGGACGAGTGCATCAAATATATCAGACAATTTGATAGTAAATACAATTAGGTGTGGTGTTTTCTTTAAAATAATAATAATAATAAGAAGAAGAAGAAGAAATGTCATGCCGTTGGTCGTGAAATTAATTTTAATACAACAGCAACTTACGACTAACTAGAGACAGAGAAGGTAAATAGTCACTATTGTAGAATAATCATCTAATAATCATTATATTGGAGCAAATGGTTTGCATTTGTGCATGCTTGTTTATGTGCGTATGTGTGTAAAATTGTAATACATAAAACATACTTATCCTACAACAATATTTTTGATGGCTCGCCAGTCTAAACAGAAAATGGCTTGTACCTCACGCCCAAGTCTAATCTGAAATAATAAAAAAAACATACAGTTGCTGCATCAATATATGTAACCTTATACCTGTACACGTAGATGGGCCACGTGCCTGGACATGTTGACGGGGCACACTTATCCTTGTCGTATTAATTTATGTCTTTCGCAGTTACTGCTTCGTTCATTAAAAAACACGTAGTATAAAACATGATTTTAATTTCAAAACCTTACTGTTAACAATGGCACTTGAAAGTAACAAATCGTTCGAACGGCCATTAAAAAACCGAGGAGGTGAGTAAAGGTTCCGGGAATAACGATGAACGGGTAAAATCACAATGTGAAAAAGGGCCAAGATTCTGCTTGGGGCTTAGTAACTGTGCGGGGAAGCAACAATGTGGCGACGTAAAGACATAACCTCATCTATCTCTTGCAACAGTACGTTTTCAATCCTACAACTACTATAGCAAATTTTCAAAATTTGAAATTCTATTCGAGGGATACTATAACAAAGATATGAGGTATAAACATCTGACGTGCCGAGTAGGCCTACAGTGTACATGTATCTGAAAAAATAGGTACTTACGATATATGCATTTGCTTATTTTCAACACCAAAAGGTCGTCCTTGCGACTGCACCACACACTAGTTTTCCTGCGTCTTCACCCCTCAGTGTTCAACTGTCAAGTGACTATTCCAGACGTCAGTTCGCACTACTCAGTGACCAACTCACTGTTATGCATATTACCACAGGCGTGGCTCAGTTTAGGTGAGCAGTTGTCGCCAGGGCACCAGAAAAGCATATGAATGAAACAAATAAGGAAGAAAAAACTCAAAGCCTATGGTCAATTTTAATTGTGAGAATTACACCCTTTCTGATTATGATGATTTTAGTACCCAGTTATTACTGAATCGGCACGCGCAGTTTGCAAATTGAAAATGGTTCACAAACCAACCCAATATCTGCAAAAATTGCCCAGTCTAGTGAGTTGAAAACGAATATACTTTCAGGAATGTCCTCTTTATGAATAATGCAGGCAATAGGCTCTTCAATTTTTACAAATACTGGGTACACATATCAATAAAATATATTTGATATTTAGATACATAACATAATGGGTATGGGGGGGGGAGTCNTGACAGGTTTGACGAGTCTATTTTCATAGGGGTGATAGATAGAACGAGTATATTCCATTGAAGGGGTGACAGGTTGGGCTATTCTATTTTTCTATAGGGGTGACAGAAGGGACGAGTCAATTTTGCATGAGGGTTGACAGGTAAGATGAGCTTGTTCTATTGTAATATATAACATTGTAACTAGGAACCAACTACCATTTTTTGTGTCTGTTTAATGTCTTCAAATAACAGTATTTTTCATATTTATTTTCAAATCTTAAATAATACATAGTTGATTGTAAACAATGATATTCAGAAACTACCATTTTTAAGTGTTACATTTATAAAACCCTAAACAAAAAGGCAAGAAAATATATGCATCAAAAATGTAATCACAAATGTATATGTAAAGAGGCAATAATAATAATCACAAAAATGACAAAAACTGTTGAAACAAAAAAAGCAAAATTTATAAAACTATCCATTTTACAAAAAGTTGTTAACCCTGGATGCAAGGGTCACACTCAAAAAGAGGAGAGGATGCATTAAGTTCATCTCGCAAGTAGGGACATCAATTTTGGAAGTTGTTTGGTCCATGTTACACCGTTTTATTAATTGTAATGCTACTTGCGTATTCAGAGCAACATGGGATTTGTATGAAGAAATGAAAGAATCAGATGTTTGAGAATATCATTTGAACTGCGCAAAATATTCTGCTGACAACAGGATGGGTAAATGTGTGTTTAATCATTTACTATCATAATTCCAAGATCCAATCCAATTAAAGCTTTCCTCTATTTTTCTGTTTTAAACATATATCCATATGAGGATTTGAAGATCGTCCATTATGAATTTATTTGCAGCCGCAAAATCCAAATATTGATCTGAACTATGTAAAGAAAATTGAGAAAACATTATCTCTAGGGGGACCAACAAGTTTTTTTCTAAAGGATATAAATAGCGATTACAATTTCTAAAGGCAAGAATGTAAATGCATTTTCTAATGCAGGTAGGTGGAAAATCGGACATTTTTTCAGGTTAAAGAATTTTTAAATGTCAAAATGCCATATGATACTAATTATGGATTATATTGGGCATAATTCAAAAGCTTTTTAATAAATTTTTATGAATGAGTTTGTTCCAAGGAATATTTAAAAAGTATGCTTAAAAAACAAAATTTTGAATTGAAACAAAATTTCAACTAAATAGTAATGGTGGAATATAAACAGAGATCATACAAAGATATTCAAAGAAACGGATCAATAACAATATGGATGAAAAGTTTAAAAAATTCAAAAAATAAAACTACAATACATACCATAATACTTGGCTAAAAGAAGTAAACGTTTCACCATTCACAATCTCATGGTTTTCTTTTCAACCATCAAAATACAACTACATCAACAAATGTTCCATGTCTAAAATTATCAATAATAGTTCACATAACACAGCCATCATCCTACATAAGTAAGCCATAATTCATCTTACATCGGAAATTTAAAGGAAAGCGAGAAAGTAAGAGATCATCCCTAAATTTAACAGACTGAGATATCAAATATGAACGATAAATTACTACACTACAATTCCATGGCGAGAATGAATTCCCATAGTGTCTGTAAACAATAAAAATTACTTACAGTAACCTATAAAAACAATTATGATAACCTCTTACATACTGAGTAAAGAAAAACACTGAATAACAAGATTGCAAAGTCTAAATAACCGTATGAAAACCAACCAATCATGACGATTTTCGAAAGGAATAATCTTTTTCGCCAAACAAAAATATCTAAAATACAAGCAAACAATTCAAAACTAAACAAATTTCATGAAAATAATTGGATCATGACTTTTAAACTCAACGTGGCCTTTTGTCAAACAAAAACTTCCACCAAATTTAATATAACAAAAATTTGATTAGGCAAATTGGTAAAGAAAAATAAGTCGGACGGCAACAGTGACAGCATGGAAAAACTACTTTATACTAGAGATCGAGTTAGTGATCGTAGGCATATGAACAGAGCTTAATACAACTTTAATTTTAAATCTCTTCAAACATTTTCAGAATCTTACTCCTTTTCATTTATCACTATTAACATCATTCCATATCATGATAGAAAACCTTTAAAAAATCTATCTATTCAGTTATAACATGAATGGGCGAGTGGTTTCTGAATGCCAGCAAAAAGATTCCTTGCAGGTGCATCTAGTCCAGCATCTTGGGGGGTGGGCTCCTGAAACGGGAAAATAATGTTTAAAAACAGGCAACCGTGTAGTTCTTTTCTAAGCAGTAAAAGCATCACAAACGCTATTTAGAAGTATCATTTTTGTGATTATAAATTTATGTATTTGAGATTTGATAAATTTTGCAAATAGAAAGCACTCCGAGAGTGCAAAATGTACGTTTTAAACTACTACAGAAAATATAAAGAGATTCAAACTGGGTTTAAATTGTTAGAATTTTTTTCCTTCTTAAATAACCTACCATTCTAAAATTTCATCAAAATTTGTGAACAATTTGGAATTTATCTTGTCCACGAACAAAATAATGAAGAAAAGAAAAGAAAAGAAACGGACAAACCAATGACAATAAAACATGATCTTCTTCACTGGCAGAAGTAATTATTACAGTCGTTAATCTATTGAAAATAATATTTACAATCGGTATCAACATCAAGGTTTTTTTGGTGTTGGTAGGGTGAGGGCTAACACTTAATTGCAACTCATGTTGTCAAAGAACTGATCAGGTCAATTTTAGTAACGTCACTTACACCTATTCTTTGACGAATCATGGATAAAATTACGTTATTATGTCCAAGGACGAATGCATCAAATATATCAGACAATTTGATAGTAAATACAATTAGGTGTGGTGTTTTCTTTAAAATAATAATAAGAAGAAGAAGAAGAAGAAGAAATGTCATGCCGTTGGTCGTGAAATTAATTTTAATACAACAGCAACTTACGACTAACTAGAGACAGAGACGGTAAATAGTCACTATTGTAGAATAATCATCTATTAATCATTATATTGGAGCAAATGGTTTGCATTTGTGCATGCTTGTTTATGTGCGTATACATGTGTGTAAAATTGTAATACATAAAACATACTTATCGTACAACAATATTTTTGATGGCTCGCCAGTCTAAACAGAAAATGGCTTGTACCTCACGCCCAAGTCTAATCTGAAATAATAAAAAAAAAAACATACAGTTGCTGCATCAATATATGTAACCTTATACCTGTACACGTAGATGGGTCACGTGCCTGGACATGTTGACGGGGCACACTTATCCTTGTCGTATTAATTTATGTCTTTCGCAGTTACTGCTTCGTTCATTAAAAAAACACGTAGTATAAAACATGATTTTAATTTCAAAACCTTACTGTTAACAATGGCACTTGAAAGTAACAAATCGTTCGAACGGCCATTTAAAAACCGAGGAGGTGAGTAAAGGTTCCGGGAATAACGATGAACGGGTAAAATCACAATGTGAAAAAGGGCCAAGATTCTGCTTGGGGCTTAGTAACGGTGCGGGGAAGCAACAATGTGGCGACGTAAAGACATAACATCGTCTATCTCTTGCAACAGTACGTTTTCAATCCTACAACTACTATAGCAAATTTTCAAAATTTGAAATTCTATTCGAGGGATACTATAACAAAGATATGTGGTATAAACATCTGACGTGCCGAGTAGGCCTACAGTGTACATGTATCTGAAAAAATAGGTACTTACGATATATGTATTTGCTTTTTTTCCACACCAAAAGGTCGAACTTGCAACTGCACCACACACTAGTTTTCCTGCGTCTTCACCCCTCAGTGTCCAACTGTCAAGTGACTATTCCAGACGTCAGTTCGCACTACTCAGTGACCAACTCATTGTTATGCTTATTACCACAGGCGTGGCTCAGTTTAGGTGAGCAGTTGTCGCCAGGGCACCAGAAAAGCATATGAATGAAACAAATAAGGAAGAAAAAACTCAAAGCCTATGGTCAATTTTAATTGTGAGAATTACACCCTTTCTGATTATGATGATTTTAGTACCCAGTTATTACTGAATCGGCACGCGCAGTTTGCAAATTGAAAATGGTTCACAAACCAACCCAAAAGCAAAAATATCTGCAAAAAATTGCCCAGTCTAGTGAGTTGAAAACGAATATACTTTCAGGAATGTCCTCTTTATGAATAATGCAGGCAATAGGCTCTTCAATTTTTACAAATACTGGGTACACATATCATAAAATATATTTGATATTTAGATACATAACATAATGGGTATCGGGGGGGGGGGGGGGGGGAAGNCTTATTACCACAGGCGTGGCTCAGTTTAGGTGAGCAGTTGTCGCCAGGGCACCAGAAAAGCATATGAATGAAACAAATAAGGAAGAAAAAACTCAAAGCCTATGGTCAATTTTAATTGTGAGAATTACACCCTTTCTGATTATGATGATTTTAGTACCCAGTTATTACTGAATCGGCACGCGCAGTTTGCAAATTGAAAATGGTTCACAAACCAACCCAATATCTGCAAAAATTGCCCAGTCTAGTGAGTTGAAAACGAATATACTTTCAGGAATGTCCTCTTTATGAATAATGCAGGCAATAGGCTCTTCAATTTTTACAAATACTGGGTACACATATCAATAAAATATATTTGATATTTAGATACATAACATAATGGGTATGGGGGGGGGAGTCCGACATAAATATTTTTGGAAATAACTGGAGTTTTTCTATTTTGTTCACCGAAAATCAAAACAAATAATTCAAATCTACTCTACATTACAAGAAATATATATGGTATGATATAATGATATATGATCACTGCTGCTTGTGAGTTAGTAAAAAAAGAAAATAGCAAACATTCTGGGTTATTTGGTTATTTTTTAACAATTTTTGTGATTTTCACCCATACCCACTTGTATACCAAGGCTCATGATCAAAACATTTCCCCAAAAACCTCAACGACAGGGAAACACACCAAGATCTTCTCTTATACAATCATTAAGAAAAAAATCTCCATGTAGTAACAAACCAGGAAGCACAATGAACTAAACACATCTAATGGAATAAGTGTAAAAGAAAACATTGCTTATAATCTGAATAATTAAAGGGGCTCCATACAGATTTTTTGCCAAATCTTAAATATTAAAATTTGCCTAATGCACGTCGACCAAACCTACCAGCACACTTCACGCTGCGTCTTTCCATGGGGCCATTTGTTTTAAAAATTGAAAAAATTTGCGAGCGGTTTGCTCACGCGTTAATATTATAACAACTTTGTCCAGAAATGTTATAACTTAAATAAACTTTGAGACTAGAATTTCTGGTCTACTTCAGATCAGAAATATAATATACATACACACCGATTATGCCTACTCAAAAGTAATCACTGGTCCAAATCAATTAGCCACATCTTTTTTATTTTATAAAAATTGAGGCAAATAATGAGCCGACTACGACTTACTTAAGTAGCTTTAAACTGAGCTACGATAGCGAGGAACAACTCTCCATCTCGAGTTATCTGGGTTGTATGCAGATTAATATATCATTCAAATATAAACAGATATCAAAAGTAAGAGCGTTCAGTTGTCCTTTGACAAAATGAATAAATATAGATAAATAATAAATTAAAAAACAAACAAAATGTGTCAATTTAAGTACTTTACCCTTTTTATTCTTTAAAAAATCTATACACTGTTGACAGTGAATTTTTTTGTGGCAGCCAAAACTAGCACACTGGTAAATTATGCTTGGTGGAAGGAAATTTTGGTTGACAATGTTCACTATTATGCTAGAGTTTAATATTATGCTGGTACAGAAAAAAAGAAAATGTAAGCATCTTGACAGACTACTTCTATGCAAGTGGTGGACGCACTTACACTAAGCTCCCCCTTCCCCTAAGCATATCTACTGCTCTAATTGTATACAAGATTCCAAGTTGTTTCATTCTTCAATGAAATATTTCATAAAATTCTGGAGTACAGTAAATCGGTGTCAATGAATAGCTTGCATACATTAAATAAATAAATAAATAAATAAATAAATAAATAAATAAAGTTAAACAGTAAGTGTGCATATTAGATACTATAGTTTTTAACATGTTTCTTTATAATTGTCCTTAAAATATGTGTCAAGAACACTTAGTATCTAAATTGATATTATAATAAAAAACAAATATCTATCAGCATATATAATTTTATGGCATAGAACGCTCCATAGCACCTGATTATATTTATATTAGATATGTCATTGTAAATGCCATCTGCACAAGTTTTTAAACAAATTGTTCTGTTTTTCTTTGTATGCAAAAAATAACCATTCAACAGTTTCGTACTCATGAAGTAAACAAAATGCCTGCATGAGTTTATAACTGTGCAAGATTAAAGAAAAAACGTATTAAAATTTCAGTCAATGAACCCATTTAGATCTCTTGAACTTGGGTTTTTATATATCAATAATATCTAGTAAGGAAAAGAGTCATTTTTACAATAAGTCTGAAAAAGCACCAAACATATATTTTTTCTAATTTTCCATCTTCACCAATCCTTGCTCCAATTCTTTCATTATTCTTAGACACAGTTCTTCTTGGAATGGAAGAGTTGCACACTGTACAGTGACAGGCAATCCCTCACTGCCTTCACAACCCTGAAACAGAAATACTATCTTTCTCACAGCTGAAGATTTTTTGATTTTCAAAAGACAAAAATCATCATGCTCTATGATTTGGTAAAGGAAGAATCCACTTTGTATCCTTCAAATAAAATAATGACAAAGTGTAATTTCTGCCCACATTTGGTTAATGAGAAGGCATTCAATACCACATTACACCATCAGATGATACAGAACCTTGAATAAATGAAAATAATGTTGGATAATGACTTCTTTCATAGCATGTCGATCACAAGGTTGGGTTCATCTACATGACAAATGTGCTAAATTTACTGTACAGTGGTTTGCATTTAACACTTTTACTAAATATTCAAATCAATCACTTAATGTATAAACTCATCTAATTTTTATATAACTGTTTTGGTAATTAGCTAATGACTTCACTTGATTTCTTCTGAACTGTTTCTTAGCAATTAACCTGATAATATGAATCACTATATTACAGCTATGATGAACTATTGTCAACAGAATTATTTACCCTTTTCACCACTTTTTCATATTTGGAATTTGGCTTGTATTGCTTCAGTTTTTCTTCATCGTCTGCTGTCACTTTGGTGACAGGAATGATGCCTGTTGGGTAGTTAAGCAAGTTGAACAACCAACTGAACCTCTCTATGCCTGAAAGATGTGAAAATGATGTGGATTTAAAAAACGACAAAATAAAAAGGTATGCAAGTATGCTTAAAAATGCACTACAAAGTCATTAAATGGATAAAACTACTTCTTGTCAGATGCAGTTACAACATCATACATCTTCAATCAAATTTATCATATTCTGATGATTTAATTAGAAAAAAAAAAACAACTTAAATGGCTTCAAATCAGATTACATTCCAATCAAGTCAATGTTGATAACAGTACAACCCAGCACCTAAATTAGTAACAACATATTTTTTCGTATATTTAAAAAAAAATATTACTAAGAAATTCGAAGTTTATTTTGCTTTATAGCCCTAACTAATGCTATTACTGCCATTAAACTGGGCTCAACAAAAAGGTGACAAATTATCAGAACCCCACATAATTTAGAAATATTGTCTTACCAACAGAATCGGCCATGTCACCAAGAGGAAGAGCGGTACAAGAGGTGGTGGGGCAGATGACAGCATCCAATCCTTGGCTTTGCCAAGCAGTTTGGAATTCTGCTTTCCATGCCTTCAACCAAAATGTAGAATTTTCTTTGAAAATTTGGACATTTCCAGTTCTAACTGAATGGTTTAAGATACCAGAATATACTCCCAACACACACTTGTTTATAAAAATAGTAAAATGGACTAACAATATGTGAATTTGCACTAAAAAGTCACCTATTAATTAAAAAAACTTTCAAAAGTAAAAAAGCGCATTTCTATTTCTCTGGGAAAACAGTTCAATAAATTTAAATTTACAATGTCTCTTGCTTCAGTTGAAGTACTGATATTCGTTTCTTCTAACAAAAATAATCACATTTTCAAACTTACATCAGCTTCTTTACCATAGGAAAACCATTCATAAAGAGAACTGGAAAAAAACATAAATAGACTAGAAAAATGACAAATATACACAGACCTAACAGAGAAAAAAAAACATTCTCACTGCTTCATTTTAACATGAAGAGGCACATTCCAATAAATGATACAATTAAAAGACAATGTTCAGTATTTCAATAAGTATGACATTCATTACAATTTTTTTTGCAAATTACTACTGTCAAAAACTTACAGACTGCCTGAAAAAATCAATACCTGAAGGGTTTACTGGCATATAAAAACTTGGACATTAGGCCGTCCTGCATAAAAAAAGAAATTATCATATAAAAAACAGTTTTGAAAGCATTACAGAGTTGTATGAAATTTTTTCTCAGAAATGTGGCAATAGACCCCAACAGGTTGTATTAATTTCTGAATAACTTTGAAATAATCATAACATTATCAAAAAGGAAGACTTTTGTGTTTATTCAACTGTAAACAGAAAAGGAAAAAAATCAATTAATGAGAAAACATTCATTTACTGAGATATTTTACTGACATCAATATGATTGGATACAGACAAGAGACTGCTTATCTGTGAATAGTTCACTTGTTTAGAAGTTCTTACCACTGGCTTTACCAGTACTGCCAAAACACTCCTAATGAAATAAGGTATCTTGAGAAAAATGTGATGGGCAATACATGTATCTCTTTTGTCCCCATAACTGAAATACAGAAAACAGAGCGGTTTATTTTATACTGAAATTCAAAAGTTAACTGGTGAATTATAACGAATAACAATTTTTAAAATTTTTTACTGAATATTGTATGTCTAAATATCACTCAAGTTATCATGTACTGTTTTAACCTGGCTAATGACTAAATATTTTGCATTTATTTTATTAAACCATTCTCTTTGTCAATAAAATATTGATTATATTTTTATCAATTTGATCTCGAAAAAACTTAATGTACAGTGAGTTGTTTAGTAATACTTTTCACATTTATTATCACTTTGCTAATGGTGTTGAGATCCATGCTTTTTGAAATCCCACTGATGATTTCATCTGGACCTCATCCACATTTGCTTGTGATTTTTAAAGCACCCTAACCAGACAGTATCAACAAAAGGGTGGGAGGACATTTCTGCTAGCACACAACAGAACTTACGATAAAAGCAGTGTTTCCTCAAGTTGGTCAGCCAAGGCAATGCGATGAAAATACTCAAAGGCTTTAGTCTGAACATCTGGAGGAGTCCATGGCAGCAACTAGTATCAGAAAAATCTCATTATTTTAATATTATATTAACTAATTGAGACCTTTTGGCTATATTTAGGTGCACAAGCAGGTGAGCGCATGCACACACACACACACACACACACACGTGACCTAGTGATATAACTGGTTCTCTGAATACTTCTACGTTGACTCTCGTGACTATTAAGTACCTTCACATCCTTTGAAAACTTATCTTCTTTAACTGACTGTGCCAGGCATTACATGGAGGCTCTGTTTCAGTTGCTCTCTAAGAGCATATTCAGATTCAGACATTGTACCAGGATCGATCTAACTCTGCGGGGATTCTCACTAGAGTGCAATCAATGTAATCAGCAGAGTTGGATCGATCCAGCTGGTAAGATGGTCTGAATATGAATGCTGTCTAACATACTAGTAATAGACAGGCTATTAAGGTGTCAATCTGTCAAAATGGGCTGTACAGTAAACTGTGCCCCTCCATTTGACAAGGGTCTAAAACTGCTGCTTTGGTCATATGTGTACATACTAGATGTCCTTTTTTCTCAAGGACACTTTTGGCCAGCTGGACTGCTCTCTGCACTGCTGGCATTGCATCTCCGCCTCCATCATTCCAGTAATATCCTATCCTCAGAGGTCTGAGGCCTTCATAGATCTGGCATGAGGATAATAACACACATTCAAATACCTGAGACAATTGGAATATAAACCAAAGGAAACAACTAAGGGGTTCATCCCTTAAATACTCCTCCAGGTAATGTACCTATACATGTAATTACCAACAGCTTTGGGAATTGTGCTGCTCTGAAAACTGAGTCCAGGATAAGGGGACTGTGACAGTTCAGCCAATGGTATACATTTCAAATTTTGTCATTACTACATATTAAATGCCCCTGCTTTGAAAAGATGATAACAAATACATTTAACCCAATTTTCATTTTAAAACAATTCTTCAGCACACTGTACATGCACATTCAAAATTATTTCCCCTTACCTCATCTCTAAATGGAATTGGTGGGATGTAAGAGTCCAGCTCAAACATGTCTGGACACAACAGGGCCTTCATGATGACCACCAGACTGTCCACATCTCTGCCCATTGGCCCCACACAAAACTGTACTGAAATTGGAGCCATTTAAAATGTATACAATATTTTGTTATTAGAAATTTCATTTATTTAGCTACAGTGCATTTTAAATAGAAATGTATAAGTTCTTTGGTCAGTATAATTTGAAAAACTGATGCTACTTAACAGTTCATATCTCAAGCACATATTAATGAAAGCATTTCTACATTTCTATACAATATTGAAAGGAAAAGAATATCAAACTTTTTCATGCTGTAACAATGTCTGTTTTGAAATGGTTTTAGATTTGTTAGCATTTTTTGTGATGTTAGGGCACTAATTATGTTAACTGGCTTTTAGTACCTGTACGTATGATATAGATCAGTGACTTCTATATATAGTATCAGTAGTTGTGGTAATCTTGTAGCAATCATGTTGGAAGTGTTGTTTCTTACTGTCAGGTGTGTCATACTGTTAGAAGTGTTATACAGAGTTCAATTCTAATCCACTTACAGTGTTTGTTTCCTGACATCTGTGGGTGGTTCCCTTTGTTGCTGAAATATCACAAATAATATGTACTGGTAATTACACTAAATATTTCATTTCTAAATTTAAACTCTTAATATATAAAATGTGCTTGACAATAACCTGTTTTATATGAATTTATATTTCAAATCATTAGAAAACAATTCCTATAAAAAATTAACTGAAAAATTTTGACATCTGAAATAAAATATTTTCATAATAACACCATCCCAAACCTTATTCTGTCCCACGAGGGTTTGAGTCCATACACTCCACAGAAAGCACATGGCACTCTTATGCTTGAACCAACATCTGTCCCCAGTCCCACAATGCTGGCCCCAGCTGCCACAGCACTTCCTTCACCACCAGAAGAGCCACCAGTAGCACGAGTCACGTCATGTGGGTTTTTAGTCAAACCATATATAGGGTTGCTGCAGACGCCAGTCCTAATGTATGGCAACAGTTATAGTTTGAGTGGATGAAAGAAAGCTTGTCTTGCTCACACACACACAAACTGAACTTTAGAAAAAAGGGTACAACTTTCAATCCACTGAGCCAAAAAGCTAAGTGTGTGTGAGAGAGAGAGAGAGAGAGAGAGGAGAAAAATGGTATACTTACGACACTAAGGTTTGTGGAACATTAGTCTTCATAAATGGAATGGCTCCTTGTCTTTTTAACACCTGAAAATGGTATTCATTTCATGTACATTGTTCTATGAAACAATTCACTCACTCATCCAGGAATTACATGAGAATCTTGGGATAATATAGCCCTAGCCTTTGCTCAATCTACTGCATTAATAAGTTTGTGACACAGTTAAGCTAGCATACAAAGGTGCTAAATGCCCAGTTGCACAATCATCTTCAAGCCTTTGGTAAGATTTCACTAAACTGAGAGAAAACCTCCAGCTTTAACTGGAGAACAACACTGCATAAAATATTATAAGTACCAAATGCAGTCTTTAAATTTTATACAAAATGGAAAAATTAAAGAAAAAACTGCTTAAGTTGCAAGAGAAAAATACATGTTGATTTTTTTCTGTGTAAACTGTTACACTGAAAATGATTAAAAAAACATGCACTCTCCACACATAACATACAGTGAAGGTGGAAGTGCATTAGTATAACTTTAATTGAAAATTTATTCTGGAAGTCACAAATGAGGGAAAATACCTTGACAACTACAGAGTCCTCTTCCCAGGGTCTGTCTATCCAGTTGGCACAACCTAGTGTACAGTCATAGCCCTGAAATATGTCAAATACAGAATTGTCTGTTTTTCACATAGCACCTCTTTAAGGATATTGTAACCCTTTATTATCATCCAGATACGGAAAATGAGTGTTTTCCTGCATCTAATTATTCAATAATGCATCTTTCTTAGTGCTGCTTTAAAACAATGAAAAAACCCTCGAAAATATAAAATATCGACCTTTATATTTTTTAGTTGCAATGTTTGAGCATAGGCAACTCAAAAGCTTTAATTGTGTTTCAAAATAAAGGAAATATTCAACAAGTAGTCAGACTTACCTTTACTCCAATACTCTCTTTGATACTGACAGGTAACCCATGCAGTGGTCCTTTCTTGACTGCAGCATCACAGGTCTGGGCAGCAGCCTACAAGGACAAGAGCATCCTACATGATGTTCATTTATCTTTATCTTTTTCTCATAATAACAGAACATGCTACGGGTGTGTGTCTGTGTGTGTGTGTGTGCATGTGTGCACGTGCATGCATGTACACTCCAGGGTCTAAAAGAAGACCACAACATGTGTACACTTTCAAAATTTATAATAAGTACCCTTCTTGGCTTAAAAATTTACCATCATTTTTTTTAGAAAAAAAAGGGAAAAGATCCAAGAAATTAGTTACAATTGCTTTATGCTATTGGACATCTTACCTCAGCTTCCACAATTGGAGTACTGATGAAATTCAAATCCTTGTCACATTCAAGGGCCTGCAAAAAAATGGAAAATAGGATTTTTAAAAGCCACATCATTCCAACACTAAAGATGTGATTTTAGTTTATGACTCGACTAATAACATTATGAAATCAAACTAACAGAAAAGGAAGAAAATTCTTGAAGATTCTAAATCAACAAATCCATATCTTTAATACCCCAGTATATACATGTAGTTACAGGCAAAATAAACATATACAATGGGTATGATATTATAGACACATGAATTCAAAAAGTAATCCTCAGTGATTAGTCAGGTTTTTCTGTATGTTTCACTATTTTTAAACTTATTTGCTCTTCCCAGAATGCTGATCATGCACAGCTATCTATGAGACCAAAGTCAGTCAAGAATTATAACTGCCTCAAGGTTTCACAATTCTGACTGACACCTGGTTTGTTACTGAGCATCAAGCAAATTCCCATTTCTCACAAAGTCTGAGTTGGTCGTAATTAAACAATGTCAGTCCTGCTCAAATGCCTTCAAAAAGCCCTGTTCCAGTGAATGAAGCTATTGGTCTTATGGTACATTGCTCTAACTCCACCAGGACTCTCGCTGAATGCAATCAGTGCATCAGATAAGGAGATTAGGTCCTATTTAGTGTCTCTGATGTGTGAAACTTATGCTAACAGTAAATAGGAGCACTAATGCTATGAACTTCATGTATTATATACTTAACCTTGTGTTGGAATGCATGAAGAACGTCTACTGCTAAGAGTTGTCCACTTTTCAGCTGACCCAGCAGTGCTTTGGTGGGTAGGTTAGTGATGCTATCGATGGTCTCCTCAGAAAGCTGAAATTAACCAGATGAATGATTGTTTTTGTCTGGCATACGTGAGATAATATAAAAATGGTATATATACTGTAAATGAGTATCCCTACCACACAATCTGTAACAATGTTTTGGTTCATAATTCTTTAACAATGTACTTTCTTCTTTTATAATAGAGTTAAAATTCAAGTGAGAAAGGTACACATGTACAGCCATAGACTGCAGAGCACTGTCCATATTATCAGATAGATTACTTGTAGTTAATGAGGGGAAATTGATTAAGAAATCCATGTGGGTTCATTTCATGTAATTTGGCCCCTCGTTTGTATTTTGAGACCATTTTATCTAATATATAAGATTTTATCTAACAAGGGTAAATATGAGGGTTCTATAAAGAGATAATGAGGGATAAAGGAAAGGTCCGAGATAAAGATTCATTCAGCAAGGGATTTACACCTGTGTTTACCCCCCAATATTCACCACATCTTAGCCACTGGTTTTAAAAATAATTCGTTTAAATACAACTTACGTGGTGCTTGTGTTTACCGTATTTTACAGCCTCTGCGTAAGTCTCTGACTGTACGTGACTATTCCGCACGATGTCTATCATCTTTTGTCTCTCCTCGCGTTTTCTCTTTCGCTTTCCAGCATTTTTGACCCTCAACCCGAACCATTTCAACCAGGCCCAGACGAAGTGCACGCCGATGATGCCCGCGACTGCTAGTAGTACTTGGCGGTGGCCAACAGTTGACAATTCATCAACTATTTTGTTTCTTAGCTCATTAAATTGCATATTTGACGTTTTTTCTGCTTTCAATACTTTTTTTGCGTCGTGTTTACAGTCTTATCGACGTCCGCCGGCATAAACGTGCAATCTCCTTTAATAGGTCAATCAAGGTCATGGGGTATGGCCAAGATGAGACCCATCACAATTTGTTTTAAATCGTCACTGAATCGTAACGTCAGTCCGAATAAGTTGTGAAAATGTAACTGTTCCTACAAAAAATATCAGTGAAATCATCAGAATATTTAGCCCTACAGATGAGAAATTAAGTATTTTTAGTTAAATTAAATCGTGTTTAGCGAAGCTGTTTGGCGAGTTTTTATAGTATTATGAATGCGTTAGTTGTGCTGCACTGCTGCGCCAATGCTTCTTTGTTGAAATATTTGTGTGAAAGCCCCAATTTTAGACCTAAATGATGTCTGTTGGGTGTGTTTAGACTTTTTTATGTGTAATAGGTGCAGTTTAGTGATATTTAAGATGATTAGAAAAACTTCCGTACTTTAGTGATTTATGTTGGCGTTTTTATTCAGAATATCGATACTTTTAACTAGGGTCTAATGTATGGAATTTGAATTCAGTTTCAGTAACCAAAACATCATGATTATTTTTTTTGCTTTTATATGCCAAGTTTAGTTTGTTTGAAATTTAAAAAACCGTCGGTCCTGACTCCTCATCTAACAGCTTTCATGTCGGTCCAGAAACCTCAATTTTTTCCCCACCAGTTGTCAGTCCCACAACTTTTGACAGGTAAACGATAGAAATAATTATATGATTTATTCTCCGGCTCAAAAACTACCGGGAACCGAAAAAAGTGTACATTTTAAATGTAGTGTGCAATAAGTCCCAATGCAAATATATAGTTAAAGATTTTACATTAAAAATTATATAAAACATTGATAACAGCTATTTTAGTGCTAAGTAAAACCCGTGTTCAAATAATTCATTATTACAGATAAGCCTAAATTTATCTAATATAATGAAAGTGCAATTCAAACTAAGACAGGTCCAATTTGAAGGTAAAAGAAAAGAAGACAGAAGCACATTTCAATACCAATGGATTGTTTACTTTGATGTTCTTTGACTTACATGCTCTCAGGCCGTTTCGTTCACTTTCAGGGCGAATGCCTATCGGCGCGCGCCATGTCCAAAATCCTACCTTCTGCGAGGACCACAGATCGGTTTTTCACTCGTTATGCACAGNCTAACTATTGTCAACAGAATTATTTACCCTTTTCACCACTTTTTCATATTTGGAATTTGGCTTGTATTGCTTCAGTTTTTCTTCATCGTCTGCTGTCACTTTGGTGACAGGAATGATGCCTGTTGGGTAGTTAAGCAAGTTGAACAACCAACTGAACCTCTCTATGCCTGAAAGATGTGAAAATGATGTGGATTTAAAAAACGACAATATAAAAAGGTATGCAAGTATGCTTAAAAATGCACTACAAAGTCATTAAATGGATAAAACTACTTCTTGTCAGATGCAGTTACAACATCATACATCTTCAATCAAATTTATCATATTCTGATGATTTAATTAGAAAAAAAAAAAACAACATAAATGGCTTCAAATCAGATTACATTCCAATCAAGTCAATGTTGATAACAGTACAACCCAGCACCTAAATGAGTAACAACATATATTTTTTCGTATATTTAAAAAAAAATATTTCTAAGAAATTCGAAGTTTATTTTATAGCCCTAACTAATGCTATTACTGCCATTAAACTGGGCTCAACAAAAAGGTGACAAATTATCAGAACCCCACATAATTTAGAAATATTGTCTTACCAACAGAATCGGCCATGTCACCAAGAGGAAGAGCGGTACAAGAGGTGGTGGGGCAGATGACAGCATCCAATCCTTGGCTTTGCCAAGCAGTTTGGAATTCTGCTTTCCATGCCTTCAACCAAATGTAGAATTTTCTTTGAAAATTTGGACATTTCCAGTTCTGACTGAATGGTTTAAGATACCAGAGAATGTCCCCCCACATACACAATTGTATAGAAAATATTGTAAAATGAACTAACAATATGTGAATTTGCACTAAAAAGTTACCTACGAATTAAAAAAAATCTTTCATAAGTACAAAAATTCATTTCTTTCTCTGGGAAAACAGTTCAATAAAATTACATGTATAATGTCTCTTGCTTCAGTTGAAATACTGATATTTGTTTCTTCTAACAAAAATAATCACATTTTCAAACTTACATCAGCTTCTTTACCATAGGAAAACCATTCATACATAGAACTGAAAAAAAAAAACACAAACAGACTAGAAAAATGACAAATATACACAAACCTAACAGAGAAAAAAAACATTCTCACTGCTTCATTTTAACATGAAGAGGCACATTTCAATAAATGGTATAATTAAAAGACATTGTTCAGTATTTCAATAAGTATGACATTCATTACTATTTTTTTGCAAGTTACTACTATCAAAAAACTTACAGACTGCCTGAAAAAATCAATACCTGAAGGGTTTACTGGCATATAAAAACTTGGACATTAGACCGTCCTGCATAAAGAAAAGAAATTATCATATAAAAAACAGTTTTGAAGCATTACAGAGTTGTATGGAATTTTTTTCTCAGAAATGTGGCAATAGACCCCAACAGGTTGTATAAATTTCTGAATAACTTTGAAATAATCATACCATTATCAAAAAGGAAGACTTTTGTGTTTATTCAACTGTAAATGGAAAAGAAAAAAATCAATTAATAAGAAAACATTCATTTATCGAGATATTTTACTGACATCAATATGATCAGATACAGACAAGAGAGTGCCTATCTGTGAATAATTCACTTCTTTAGAAGTTCTTACCACTGGCTTTACCAGTACTGCCAAAACACTCCTAATGAAATAAGGTATCTTGAGAAAAATGTGATGGGCGATACATGTATCTCTTTTGTCCCCATAACTGAAATACAGAAAACAGAGCGATGCTGAACATTTAATACTGAAATTCAAAAGTTAAATGGTGAATTATAATCTAGCAAAAAACTTAAATAACAGTTTTTAAAATCTTTTACTTAAAAATATTACATGTCTAAATATCACTCAAGTTATCATGTACTGTTTTGCCCTGGCTAATGACTTATGATTTTTCATTTATTTCATTAAACCATTCTCTTTGTCAACAAAATATTGATTATAATTTTATCAATTTGATCTCAAAAAAACTTAATGTACAGTGAGTTGTTTAGTAATACTTCTTCACATTTATTATCACTTTGCTAATGGTGTTGAGATCCATGCTTTTTGAAATCCCACTGATGATTTCATCTGGACTCATCCACATTTGCTTGTGATTTTTAAAGCACCCTAACCCGACAGTATCAACAAAATGGTGGGAGGACATTTTTGCTAGCACACAACACAACTTACGATAAAAGCAGTGTTTCCTCAAGTTGGTCAGCCAAGGCAATGCGATGAAAATACTCAAAGGCTTTAGTCTGAACATCTGGAGGAGTCCATGGCAGCAACTAGGATCAGAAAAATCTCATTATTCTAATATTATATTAACTAATTGAGACTTTTTGGCTATATTTAGGTGCACAAGCAGGTGAGCGCATGCACACACACACACGTGACCTAGTGATATAATTGGTTCTCTGAATACTTCTACGTTGACTCTCGTAACTATTAAGTACCTTCACATCCTTTGAAAACTTATCTTCTTTAACTGACTGTGCCAGGCATTACATGGAGGCTCTGTTTCAGTTGCTCTCTAAGAGCATATTCAGATTCAGACATTGTACCAGGATCGATCTAACTCTGCGGGGATTCTCACTAGAGTGCAATCAATGTAATCAGCTTAACTGTCTAACACACCTCCTCAAGCAGCTAAGGGGTAACTTAGCCAAGTGCTCACAGAAGTAAATTACCCCCTAGCTGCTCTAGGAGGCATATCAGACAATTAAGATGATTACACTGATTGCAATTCAGCGAGGATTGCCTGCAGAGTTGGATCGATCCAGCTGGTAAGATGGTCTGAATATGAATGCTGTCTAACATACTAGTAATAGACAGGCTATTAAGGTGTCAATCTGTCAAAATGGGCTGTACAGTAAAATGTGCCCCTCCATTTGACAAGGGTCTAAAACTGCTGCTTTGGTCATATGTGTACATACCAGATGTCCTCTTTTCTCAAGGACACTTTTGGCCAGCTGGACTGCTCTCTGCACTGCTGGCATTGCATCTCCGCCTCCATCATTCCAGTAATATCCTATCCTCAGAGGTCTGCGGCCTTCATAGATCTGGCATGAGGATAATAACACACATTCAAATACCTGAGACAATTGGAATATAAACCAAAGGAAACAACTAAGGGGTTCATCCCTTAAATACTCCTCCAGGTAATGTACCTATACATGTAATTACCAACAGCTTTGGGAATTGTGCTGCTCTGAAAACTGAGTCCAGGATAAGGGGACTGTGACAGTTCAGCCTATGGTATACATTTCAAATTTTGTCATTACTACATATTAAATGCCCCTGCTTTGAAAAGATGATAACAAATACATTTAACCCAATTTTCATTTTAAAACAATTCTTCAGCACACTGTACATGCACATTCAAAATTATTTACCTCATCTCTAAATGGAATTGGTGGGATGTAAGAGTCCAGCTCAAACATGTCCGGACACAACAGGGCCTTCATGATGACCACCAGACTGTCCACATCTCTGCCCATTGGCCCCACACAAAACTGCACTGAAATTGGAGCCATTTAAAATGTATACAATATTTTGTTATTAAAGGTTTCATTGATTTAGCTACAGTGTGAGTATTTTCAATAGAAATGTAGTTCTTTGGTCAGTATAGTTTGAAAAACAGCTGCTACTTAACAATTCATATCTCAAGCACATATTAATGAAAGCATGTCTACATTTTTATACAATATTGAAAGGAAAAGAATATCAAACTTTTTCATGCTGTAACAATGACTGTTTTGAAATGGTTTTAGATTTGTTGGCATTTTTTGTGATGTTAGGGCACTAATTATGTTAACTGGCTTTTAGTACCTGTACGTATGATATAGATCAGTGACTTCTATATATATATATATAGTATCAGTAGTTGTGGTAATCTTGTAGCAACTATGTTGGAAGTGTTGTTTCTTACTGTCAGGTGAGCCATACTGTCAGATGTTTTATACAGAGTTCATTTCTAACCCACTTACAGTGTTTGTTTCCTGACATCTGTGGGTGGTTCCCTTTGTTGCTGAAATGTCACAAATAGTTAGTGCTGGTAATTACACTTAATATTCCATTTCTTCAATTGTTTAAACTCTTCATATAATAAAATGTACTTGACAATAATATAATATAATATATTTATATGAATTTATATTTCAAATCATTAGAAAACAATTCCTATAAAAAATTAACTGAAAAATTTTGACAGCTGAAATGAAATATTTTCATAATAACACCATCGCAAACCTTATTCTGTCCCATGACGGTTTGAGTCCATACACTCCACAGAAAGCACATGGTACTCTTATGCTAGAACCAACGTCTGTTCCCAGTCCCACAATGCTGGCCCCTGCTGCCACAGCACTTCCTTCACCACCAGAAGAGCCACCAGTTGCACGCGTCACATCATGTGGGTTTTTAGTCAAACCATATATAGGGTTGCTGCAGACACCAGTCCTAATGTATGGCAACAGTTATAGTTTGAGTGGATAAAAGAAAGTTTGTCTTGCTCATACACACACAAACTAAACTTTAGAAAAAAAGGTACAACTTTCAATCCACTGAGCCAAAAAGCTAAGTGTGTGTGAGAGAGAGAGAGAGAGAGAGGAAAATGGCATACTTACGACACTAAGGTCTGTGGGACATTAGTCTTTATAAATGGAATGGCTCCTTGTCTTTTCAACACCTGAAAATGATATTCATTTTATGTAGATTGTTCTTGGAACCTTTTACTCACTAATCATCCAGGAATTACATGAGAATCTTGGAATTATATAGCCTTAGCCTTAGCTCAATCTACTGCATTCAAAAGCCTGTGACACAGTTAAGCTAGCATACAAAGGTGCTAAATGCCCAGCTGTACAATCATCTTCAGATCTTTTAGTAAGATTTTATTGAAACTTTTATTGAAACTGAGAGAAAACCTTAAGCTTTAACTGAAGAACAACACTGCATAAAATATAAGTACCAAATACAATCTTTAAATTTTATACAAAATTAAACAAAGAAAAACTGCTTAAGTTGTAAGTGCAAGTTACATGTTGAGATTTTTCTGTGTAAACTGTTAAACTAGAAATGATTTAAAAACATGCACTCTCCACACATAACATACAGTGAAGGTGGAGGTGTATAAGTATAACTTTATTTGAAAGTTTATTCCTAGATGTCACAAATGAGGGTAAATACCTTGACAACTACAGAGTCCTCTTCCCAGGGTCTGTCTATCCAGTTGGCACAACCTAGTGTACAGTCATAGCCCTGAAAAAATGTCAAATACGGAATTGTGTGTTTTTCACATAGCACCTTTTTAAGTAGTCTAATCATATGTGTGTGTCAGGGGCAGATCCAGAGAATTTTTCTGACAGTCTTCCAAATTATCTTTGTTGATCCATCCTCCATTTTTGACCGTCTTCTGACAGACAAAAAGAAGTACCCATCACTGTAAACTTAAAAATCTGACAGTCTTCCAGAAGACACAGAAGACGGTCTCAATCTGCCCCTGTGTGTACCCAGGCACATATTAGTTTACAGCTGCAGCATGCTGGTAAGGAAAAGTATTGACAAAGTCCTGTCAAGGCAGACACTCTACAAGAAAAATGTGATGTGTTTCAAAATAAAGGAAATATTCAACAAGTAGTCAGACTTACCTTTACTCCAATACTCTCTTTGATACTGACAGGTAACCCATGCAGTGGTCCTTTCTTGACTGCAGCATCACAGGTCTGGGCAGCAGCCTACAAGGACAAGAGCATCCTACATGATGTTCATTTATCTTTATCTTTTTCTCATAATAACAGAACATGCTACGGGTGTGTGTCTGTGTGTGTGTGTGTGTGCATGTGTGCACGTGCATGCATGTACACTCCAGGGTTTAAAAGAAGACCACAACATGTGAACACTTTCAAAATTTATAATAAGTACCCTTCTTGGCTTAAAAATTTACCATCATTTTTTTTAGAAAAAAAGGGAAAAGATCCAAGAAATTAGTTACAATTGCTTTATGCTATTGGACATCTTACCTCAGCTTCCACAATTGGAGTACTGATGAAATTCAAATCCTTGTCACATTCAAGGGCCTGCAAAAAAATGGAAAATAGGATTTTAAAAAGCCACATCATTCCAACACTAAAGATGTGATTTTAGTTTATGACTCGACTAATAACATTATGAAAACAAACTAACAGAAAAAGAAGAAAATTCTTGAAGATTCTAAATCAACAAATCCATATCTTTAATACCCCAGTATATACATGAAGTTACAGGCAAAATAAACATATACAATGGGTATGATATTATAGACACATGAATTCAAAAAGTAATCCTCAGTGATTAGTCAGGTTTTTCTGTATGTTTCACTATTTTTAAACTTATTTGCTCTTCCCAGAATGCTGATCATGCACAGCTATCTATGAGACCAAAGTCAGGCAAGTATTATAACTGCCTCAAGGTTTCACAATTCTGACTGACACCTGGTTTGTTACTGAGCATCAAGCAAATTCCCATTTCTCACAAAGTCCGAGTTGGTCGTAATTAAACAACAGTCCTGATCTCATGCCTTCAAAAGCCCTGTTCCAGTGAATGAAGCTATTGGTCTTTTGGTACATGGCTCTAACTCCACCAGGACTCTCGCTGAATGCAATCAGTGCATCAGACTAGGAGATTAGGTCCTATTTAGTGTCTCTGATGTGTGAAGCTTATGCTAACAGTAAATAGGAGCTCTAATGCTATGAACTTCATGTATTATATACTTTACCTTGTGTTGGAATGCATGAAGAACGTCTACTGCTAAGAGTTGTCCACTTTTCAGCTGACCCAGCAGTGCTTTGGTGGGTAGGTTAGTGATGCTATCGATGGTCTCCTCAGAAAGCTGAAATTAACCAGATGAATGATCATTTTTGTCTGGCATTCGTGAGATAATATAAAAAAGGTATATATACTGTAAATGAGTATCCCTACCACACAATCTGTAACAATGTTTTGGATCATTATTATTTTACAATGTACTTTCTTCTTTTATAATGAAGTTAGAATTCATATGAGAAAGGTACACATGTACAGCCATAGACTGCAGAGTACTGACTGTCCATATTATCATATACTTATTAGTAGTTAATGAGGGGAAATTGATTAAGAAACCCATGTGGGTTAATTAATTTGCACCCCCCTCCCTCGTTTGTTTTTTTGAGACCATTTTATCTAATAAGATTTTATATAACAAGGGTAAATATAAGGGTTCTATAGAGAGATAATGAGCGATGAAGGAAAGGTTCAAGATAAAGATTTATTCAGCATTTGATTTACACCTGTGTTTACCCATGCTGTCACCCCCCCCCCCAAAAAAAAAAAAAAAAAAAAAAA